ATCAGCTATGGCTCAAATTAAACTTTGCCATGGCTTGAAGTTTAATCCTTTGTGGTTTCCTTTCTCTGTGTTTATTTTTCAAGTTATGTTACACAAAAGAACACAAATGATGAGGAATGCTTTTGAATATTGAGAGCCTGGCATAAGCAAGAAACCAAAACTGTTTTCTAAACAGTACAAAGTTCATTTGATCTTCCAATACTATTTAATTTTAACCATTAATAGAATTTGCTATTCAAATTTATCCCCTCCATTGTTTTGGATATTGTGTTGAAAAAACAAACAAACAAACACACATCCAGTAACAACTGTCCTCTATAGTAGTCAATTATCACAAACTACATGGCATACTGTGGTTTGATTCACCAATGTGGCAAAGGCCTTTCATTGTCTATCTATAAAAGGAGAAATAATTTGTAAAATGCAAGCCATTCTACATTTTGAGTGAATACTTATTCATCCATGTGAAATTTAAGGTTACTTGAAATAAATGTGAAAGATTTATGAGATTTTCAGACCCCTGATAACAATTACCGATGTGCTGATTTGTTTTAGAGGAAATAGTGTAAGAAATTTCTGGATCTGGAATTTTGTTGCAAATATCTGTTACGTCAGTTGAAAACTCTCTCTTATACTTTTTCAAGATTTCATGATTGCCACACCAGAACCTTTTGTATTCTATATTGTGCACCATGTTCTGATTATGGTTTCAATAATAAAAGGTGCTGACGTAAGAACTTTGCAAAAATATCTCTGTACAAAGAAATAGATTGTGATAATGTACTCCAAATAGCAGGTCAAACCAGTCTTCTGTGAAGGAAGTGACAGAAATTGCCATTGTGATTTTGGTGGATGCATAATGGGTACCCCACTTTTCCCGGGCGACGCGTTTCAATGGGCGCGATTCCGTAATGATAAAAACATTCACCAAAACCACTTTATTTCATGAGTTATGATTTCATTATGAACGTTTGGTCGGTCAGCAATTGTGCACTAAAATAAATTATTAGCCAGAGCACTAACTGCTAATGCTTTGTGGAACATACAGCTTTTGGCTCCCTGAAGATCTAACAGTGGCTATAGATAAAATAAAAATGTTGTTGATGGATTTGGTCAGTGGTTTGGTGGATGTCCATTCCTGACATCCACCAAAACTACCTAACACCTTAGCACCTTTTAAATATATGAAATATCTGCATAAAATTGCGCAAAATGTTTATAATACTAAAATCGAACAATAAATCTTTACTTACCATTTCTTGGGTAAAAAGTTTTGACACTATTTCCTAAATAATTAATACACACAGGTCATCAGGATAAATCGGCATGTTTCCGTAGCTTCATAATTTTCGATTAGTATAACATATCATGAGGTGTCCATCATTCTATCTCAGAGCCTCTCTCCCGAGGTGCATTCGGATGCACTTGATAGGGATGCTGGCGGTGTGCGTACGTTGTGTGTGCAAAAAAAATTTCTGCGTGCGTGGGAGTTACTACATCACGGGCGACGAGTGGGGGATGAAGAAAAGACCGAAATACGAGTGGTCAGCGGGTAAACAAATTTAATACTTCATATAGTCACATATCAGTTATAGTTGCGGAAAACAATAGTCTTCTAAAGCCGAAATGTCAACAGTATACTTCTCTAAATAAAATGTTAAGCAATTAAACAGAAGGGAATATATATAACGGCGTAATATGCGACTAACACAGTCTATATACTGTAAGATTTTACGCCACTAACCCAGTCGGTGATTTAATTATAAATTAAAATATAATTAAATTATATTACTGGCGTAAAATGTTACATATATATATATATCACTAAAAATCTAGAACGAAATTGTTTTAGAGTTGCTTAGCTTTTCATTTTTCCGGAATCGAAAGTCGAGATTGCAAAATTCAAGTGAAAAGCAAACCGACTGTGATTAATGCCTTAAATAAGTCAAGATACTGTTTTTCGTCATACAACAAGTTACATGTGGTAAATATCATTCTTCTTGATGCCTTTCCCGATGCTTCTGTTGGTTAATATAGCAGTAAAAATATTGTTCCAGTCAAAGCGTTTGGAAAATTGCTTAACTTTTGAATTATCGAAGTATAACCTGGTAACATTTTGGCTTTACAACACGATTGTTTTTTGCAAGTTACAAAACGTAAATATAATTTTTTTTAGTGCCTTTCCGAATGCAACCGATGCTTTTCCCGATACCTGCATTGTTTAATATAGCAGTAAAAGATACATGTGCCATCAACACTTTTGAAAAATTGTTTCACATTTTATTGAGCGAAGTATACTGTTCACATTTCGGCTTTACAACACTATTGCTTTCTGCAACTACAACTGATATATCTCTATATGAAGTATTAAGAGTAAATGTCAGTAAAAATCAAGGAAAATTAAAAAAAAGTGGCCACGGTCAAAAAATCGATTTCTCTCATACTTTGTCAGTTTGAAGGCCTAGGTAAGTAACTGAAGGGTATGAGGTTAGTTTTTTGAAATATTCCATATAACGGCAGAAAACCACGAAAAACGGTCACCCTACCGGAAGCTCGGATTTCACCTAGCGGAAACTCGAAATTTTACACTTTTCAGCTTCTCGCTACACAGACGTTTACATAGCTGTGAATCTTTCTTAAGTACAATTGAATACATTGATTCTTCCTTAGTCAAACCATGGGAATTATTTTTATCTCTGCTTATTTGTGAGCGAACTGAGACCCGATTAAGAAGACACACTTTTCTCATTTACGCGAAGGTGTAAAATAATCCAAACTCAGCGACGAAAAAAGCTGACCGGTAGTTCTTCAAATCCTCTGATATTATAACCAAAGACAGTTCAGTCATTGATTTTTAGGTCTACGGCTTTAAATCTTTAGGATCTAGTAGCACTTTTGCATGAACGCCGATCAAAATTCGATAAAATTCCAATTGAGCGCCTTTGAAATCATAACAAAGCACTATTGAATAAATTAACTCCTCGGCCAAAGTTTGTACATAAAACATAAGGGTTTTGCTTTTTTAGCGATTTGAAGCGTTTTAAAAATATATATTAATGTTAAATATTGTCTACACAGGTAAAACAAGCTATGAAACACCAAAATTACCACGAGCTGAAATTAAATCTCACAGGCTCGCTCCCTAATCTGCGTCACGCACGAGCGACTTAGCTACAATTAGTACAGTAACAAACAGATATTTACATCCGTTGATTTTCAATAAGTCGTATTTTTAAAATATCTTACTCAAAGATGTGCCAGGTTTCCCAGTTAACTTGCTGAAAAAAAAAGAAAACCTTAATAGTAATTCTAGCTCAATTAGAATTGATTTTATTTAGTATGAGAAGTTTTGTGCCGTCGAAAACCAATCGGAAGTAACTGTTTCCACGAAAAGCAAATATTGCATCGTTCTCTAAATAAACAAATCTACTTAACCATATAACCAGAGTATGTTGTTGGCGAAGTTAATAGACATACATAACAACGACGTCTTGCTTGTTCTTGAATATTGTCGGTGGGATTTGCGGCGCAGACGAACGCACTTGCTAAGTAACTTCCAATGGCTAATTTCTACCCTTATTCAGCTTTCGTCACACTGCTCACGCTGTGTAACAAGGATATAAAACATCGCACGAAGTCCTAAAAAACTCTCCGGACTTGAACCAGAATTGATTTTATTAAGATTGCGTGTTTTTAAAAGCCAACGAGTTTATTGGAGATGACTACCCGTACCGTCTCATCGTGTCACTTAGGCATAACCTGACACGATGTCGATAGTTTCGACACCTGATGGCCGAGAGCACTCGGATTTCTTTTTTTCCGAATACGCCTGTGTCACTTACTGAATAATACTAATTCTCATTTATTCACCAGGCTTAAAAATATTCCATCACATTTATTCCATTGCGCGTATGCCACACATGACATTCCAATCCTAGCAGTATGCAGGATGTTTGTCCCATGAAGCACTCGGATTTTTTTTTCGATTATGCCTGTGTTACTTACTGAGTAATACATCATGTTCAAAAGTATTAATTTTTGCACCATACAGGAAGTTGTTTCGGGTCACTCAGCAAGAGCTGTGAAAAGTAGCCGCACTGGAATAGGAATATATTTTTTCCAATCCATGAAGATATTTGACCTTTCAAAATAGCTCGTCCCTATGGGCTCAGGTAAATAACAATTTAAAAATGTACTACCAAGCAGGAACTGTCTCCAATGAGTTTTGTATCCTCTTCATTCTGTTGTCCAATGCGACTATTAAAAACACTATGAGTTTTACGACTTGCATGTTTTATTGATTGCGCTTGTCAAACAACACTACAGTCTGTCATTGATAGAGAAAATAAAGTTTAATTTTGACAATATTCGATGAAAAATACTAAGAATTTTCCAAAGAGGGCACCGAAGAATAAATAATGTGCACGGTCATTTTTACGACATTTAAAAAGGAGGGAAGGGGGTGGGGGAAAGGATTTAACAACCATACTACTCTCTCTCCCCAACCACCCACGAAGTGCACAGTTTGCACAGTATACTAGTGGAAACGTCACATCAACATTTATATGTTTACGTTTAATAGCACAATTACGGTCGTTGCATCATTCCAATATGGCCATTTCCCCACAAAACTATATTTAAGTAGATCTCTGATCAATCTTGTAAGTCAAGCTTTGTTACTTTGAATTTTTCTTGGCTTCTTGCGGAGACAATTTCAAACTTTTTAGCCCTAAAACTTTGAATGGATATACAACTGTAATTAGCTTACATTACGTGACTGGTTGGCTGGTTTAATTCGGTGGCAGCCTTGAGGTGGTCGCCATACCATTAGTGTATCTACCTCTTCACTGAACACACTTTTAAAAAAAGTTAACGATCAAATGAAACGATTTTTTCGAAAGAAAATAAATGATGTTATCTTGTATACAATTATGCGCAAGGCATAATTAGTCAACAGAAAACAGTTTATTAATCTGCTTATGAGGTACAGCCGCACTCGCCTTTCGTCTTTGTGTTATATCAGAGACGTCCACACCAAGTTCATCGCAAGTACTGCGCAGCATGTCCACACTCAGTGACATCAGCTTTTTCTTGCCCATGCGCATGAGTTCACAGATGTTGTAACCTGACGACGATACAATGGGGTGCTGAAGGGAAACCTCTCTCATCACTTGCGCACAGATTTCAGATTGGATTACCTGTTCTTGTGATGCTCTGTCATCTTCTCTAGTGCTCTCTTCGCCCGACTCTTCCCGGTTCACTGTACTGGGAGGAAGCCTTTTCTTTGCTGCCAGTCGTGAGAAGAATCCAGTGATTTGCTGTCCTGTTAGAACTTTTTCTGGTAGAAATCGACGAGCTCCTAACTCGTCCCTTGAAGATCTCATCATTTTTGAGACTTCATTCGGATCTGCTTTCCTTCCACTCTGCTCGCCAATTTCAAATTGTTGTTTCAAAAATTCATTCTGTTTTTGCGTAAAACGTGTCTTCTTTGTGATTGTCTTAAGTGCCCATCCCATTGTAAGGGGCGAAAAGCATTGGCTGTTTTGTTCTTCACATTGTAACTGCACAGTGGAAATTCTGCTACCTTCATCCATTAGCTTTGAAGCATATCCTCGTTTTGCTTTGTCATACAGCGTTTCCTGTTCAGGTGGTCGCTTGTGTTTCCCCGTGTCTAGATGTGCTTGTAATGATACAAAGCGGCTGTATGCTTTAATGCACCCTTCCTCGGGGCATGGGAAAAGTGGCGAGGCTTGCTCGTTTTCACCATCATCATCTTCTTGTTCTCGGCTATTGGCATCACTGGCTGCGTTTGGATCACTTGCAGATTTTTTATTTACATGTCTGTGTCTCACCTTCTTGAAAGATGGCTTAGTACTCAATTTCTGCGATGGGGGATCAACCACTTCAAGAGTTTCCGGGACCTGCAAAACTCCTTCAAACTGAGACCACGGTAGCAACTTTCTAGGACCCACATTAAATGTCCTCCACGCTCGTATTCCGTTCTCCTCACACTTGAAGTTGTTGAGTAAGCTTACACCATCCCATTTGACGTGCCGAGTGCTTGACGGGTTGAATGTAACGTAACTAGCCTTAGCGCAAGATCCTGGACCAGACTCTATGGCTGTTTTGAGCTGAATTGCTGTTGTCACATCATTGCCCTCGTTTACATATCTTCCAATGTCTCCTTTAATAGTCGCTGCTTGGCGGTCGCATATTCCTTTTCCACCTTGAGGATCGGAAAAGTCGTTCCGTTCCACGCCCACGCCAGCAATGTCGCCTGCAAATTTTGCTGAAACGATAGTGTATCCGCTGTGGTAACAGCCGGCATTATCTTGTTTATAAAACGCCCTTTCTAATTCCGGCATTTCCTTCTTCAGCGAAACAAGACAATCCTGCATTATTGATACCACTACAGCACTGTCTTGTAAACAGTTCTGAAAGACATGTACGAATGTTTGAGACTCAAACTGCTCGCCTTCTTCCGACTTCCTTATAGCAACTGTTATGTGCCATGGTAAACCGCGCTTAGCAAACCAGTCTGATTGCGGCTCTCGAAATTTTCGTGGCATAAATTTCATTGCCCAATCCTGCACTAGTAACACGTCGCATTTGCTCTTCCTTTTAGCTAGAACAGAACATTTGGCCTGATCTTGGTGAACGGAGCGCAACTTTGCCTGGGTTTTTGCATCAACTTTCTGTCAGTTTTGCGCCTTTCTTTTGAAGTACTTCATAACAAACCGTGTAATGAAATAAATCAAATACCTTGTAGTCACTTTTCAGGTATTGCTTTGATGAGCGTAACTGTTGCTTCATTTCCCTGGCCCACACTTCTGTTTTTCCACAATCAACCAGTTTATCGACCACTTTGTCCAGGTCATCAAATGCCTCTGCTCCTTGAGATGAAAAGTTATCAAGTCCTTGAAAAGACTTCCTAACAGATGCAGAACACTCATCTAGCACTCTATGCAGTGTTCGCCTGCTCATGGGCTCAAAACCTCTTTCACTGCAATATTGTTGGTACTGTTGAACAATACGCTCCGGAATCATCATTCTGATTACATTTGGTGTTTTAATAACCTCACCGGTTGATAACTTCAAAAGCCTTTCGCCAAATGGAACATCTTGAATCACATGTGAACTTGTGATAAATGAAATGAAATCTTCCAATTTTCCTTGGTCAACTTTCATTCTCCTGTTTTCTTGGCGAGGAATCGGTTCTGCTCTTCCATGAAGCAGGGTGTGGTGTCGCGCTATGTCAAAGCGGTAACTTGTCAGGGTTGGGATAAATTCTTGCACCTCTTTGAAAGACAACTTGTCAGCCAGGATTGAGAGTATTTGCCGACGGGTACTACAGTGTTGAGCGTTCAAACAACTCTCGGCAAACGCTTGAAGAAGCTCCACTTCCTTACAACTTTTCCCGCCAGTTGTTCTTCGATTCACTTCGCGCTCACATAATTCCCTCCACAAGCAATTCGAATCTTCAGGAGCAAGGACTTCCATTACTGCTGAAGCACACTGTTCAGCTTTTCTCAAATAACGGCGTTTAGTACGGCTTTGAGCTACATTCCATGGTACTGATAGTACGTGGCGGACTGGGCTGGTGTCACGAAGCTGTAGAAAGCGATTGAGCTGTTTCAGGGATTCACCTTGCACATAGTTTATGTCATCTTCGCTTTCTTGCGAATCTTCGTCTGGCACGTAAAGGCTCTCTCGTTTAGATCTACCTTCTTTGCATTCAGTATCAGTGATCGGTACGAGAAGGGAAATATCAGTGTCAGCTTCACGATCGACCTGTAGTGCGAAAAAGTTAAAATATGTTCTATATACAATGAACAAAAGATTCGCCCACGATTAGCGGGCCAGTTCGACATTTCTAGTAAAGTTAGTGTTAAAACACCTATGACTTCCTTATATCATTCACGAACCCTGCTTCCGACTCTGGATTACCAAGTTTTCCAGTTAAACTTTAAATTAACGAAATTCTAATTAAGAGCTGTCTAATTTCAGCTGCCATGGACACATATCATAGGACAAGTAATTTAACAGTCCTCGACACGCTTTTTTACATTTCAAATGGTGTAATATAACGTATTTAGGTTTTGATGTACAAATTAATTTTCTTACTTCTGCAGATACACAATGGAGAGGGTTGGCCACCCATCCAATCTACATCCTCCTCTCTCCTGCCCCCTCGCAAATTCCTTTAGAAAAAACATAGTCAAACTCCCGTCAAAACTCCGAAATTACCGAAAGGCGCGTATTTTTTAAACACAAAAGTCTGAAGTTTTGTCGACCCACAGAATAAAATAACAATCGAAAGTTGACTGCGCGATAAGAGGTGAGAAGAAGGGGGGGGGAGTAGCATTGTGATTAGACTATCCTTTTTTTTTGTTTATTGTTTATATCTTTCTCAAGTGGCTTTTTGCGAAACGAAATTGAAATGTTTTAAACAAAGTAAATTAACCCCTACTAACCGAATTCCAGGTGCGTACTGTAAGTTACAGACCGTGAAACGAGGTTAGTAAGATATTCATTATGTCTCTGAGGTCAATCGGGCGCGCGGGAATGGAAACTAGTTAAAGTTTAGTGGGCCGCGCAAAATTGACCAATCACACCCCGCGTACGAACTGAGAGATACTGATAAAAAATAGGAACTCATTGTATACATGTGGGTAGTGCTGTGCACGCGCTGCGGACCTGTTTGTTTACGGACACCAGCACTCACTCACTCACTCACTCACTCACATACCTGGCGACAAAGTGGGTAGGGCACTATATAGTGCACACACTAATATAAGCGCAATCCATAAAAAAATGAGAGGCATGAAATAAAGGTTGTTATAAAAAAATTGGATTGGACAACTGAATGAAGAGATAAGTAACGAAATGTCCTTCATCAACCTTACTTATTTCTCTCCGTCGTTTAAACAAATGATTCTTTCATATAATCTCAAGTCATCAGAATGAATAGACTAAAAATAATTCATTGGAGACAGTTTCTGTTTGGTAGAACATCAAGTAGTTGGTTGCTTACCTGAGCCCACAGGGACGAGCTGTTTTGAAAGCTCAAATATCTTCATGGATTGGAATAAATTTATTCCTTTTTCCAGTGCGGGTGCCTTCCTCAGCTCCTTGCAGTGACCAGAAACAACCTCCGGGATGGTGCAAAGATTACCCGTCCTTCGCCAACCTAAACCTAACTTGGCACGATGAACCGGACAGATAGTCATATCCGATAAATTCGCCGGAAAATTTCAACGACTTTTTGTGATTTTTGATATCCCTGTTACACCGCGTGAGAGGCGTGACGGAAGTTGAAGAACTTGTGCGTTCGTCTGCGCCGCAAATCCCACCAACAATATTCAAGAACGAGAAAGACATCGCTGTTCTATGAAGTTCCCCGACAATAAACTCCGGTTTTAGATGCAATGTTTCACAGATAAAGATAATTCGATTTATTTATTTAAAGAACGATGCAATTTTCGTGAGAACAGGTACTTCTGATTGGCTATCGACGGCATAAAACTTCTCATTCTTAATAAAATCAATTCTTATCGTTTCAGTTTGAATTGCTATTATGATATTTTCTTTTATTTTTACTTCAGCAAGTTAACTGGGGAACCTAGCACATCGTTGAGTAAGATATTTTAAAATAAGACTTATTGTAAATTAACAGATGTAAATATCTGTTTGTTACTGTACTAATTGTAGCGAAGTCGCTCGTGCGTGACACAGATTAGGGAGCGAGCCTGTGAGATTTAATTTCAGCTCGTGGTAATTTTGGTGTTTCATAGTTTGTTTTACCTGTGTAGACAATATTTAACATCAATATATATTTTTAAAAGGTTCAAACCGCTAAGAAAGTAAAACCCTCATGTTTTATGTACAAACTTTGGCCGAGGAGTTAATTTATTCAATAGTGCATTGTTATGTAGAGTTGTAGATTTCAAAGGCGCTCAATTGGAATTTTATCGAATTTTGATCGGCGTTCATGCAAAAGTGCTACTAGATCCTAAAGATTTAAAACCGTAGACCTAAAAATCAATGACTGAACTGTCTTTGGTTATAATATCAGAGGAATTGAAGAACTACCGGTCAGCTTTTTTCGTCGCTGAGTTTGGATTATTTTACACCTTCGCGTAAATGAGAAAAGTGTGTCTTCTTAATCGGGTCTCAGTTCGCTCACAAATAAGCAGAGATAAAAATAATTCCCATGGTTTGACTAAGGAAGAATCAATGTATTCAATTATACTTAAGAAAGATTCACAGCTATGTAAACGTCTGTGTAGCGAGAAGCTGAAAAGTGTAAAATTTCGAGTTTCCGCTAGGTGAAATCCGAGCTTCCGGTAGGGTGACCGTTTTTCGTGGTTTTCTGCCGTTATATGGAATATTTCAAAAAACTAACCTCATATCCTTCAGTTACTTACCTAGGCCTTCAAACTGACAAAGTATGAGCGCAATCGATTTTTTGGCCACGATTTCTTTGATTTTTACTGACAATCACTCTTAAATTTGTTTTCCCGCTGACCACTTGTATTTCGGTCATTTCTTCCTGCCCCGCTCGTCGCCCGTCATCTGTACGCGTACGTGTTGGGAGTCATACATCACGGGCGACGAGCGGGGATAGAAAAAATCAGCGGCGAAAACAACTTTCATACTTCATATATAGACAGATCATTTGTAGTATCAGGAAACAATCGTGTTGTAAAGCCGAAGTGTAAACAGTTTACTTCGCTAAATAAAATGTTAAGCAATTCAAAAGTGTTGATTGTATATATATCTTTTACTGCTTTAATAAACAATGAAGGCATCGGTGGCATCCGAAAGGTACCAAGAAGAATTAAATGTACGTTTTGTAGTTGCAGAAAACAATCGTGTTGTAAAGCCGAAATGTTACCAAGTTACACTTCACTACTTAAAAAGTTAAGCAATTTTCCTCAAGCTTTAACTGGAACAATACTTTAAATGCTCTATTAACCAACGGAGGCATCGGGAAAGGCATTGGTGACACCGGGAAAGGCATCAAGAAGAATGATATTCACGTTATGTAACTTGTTGTGTGACGAAAAAAACGTATCTTGACTTGTTCAAAGCATTAATCACAGTTGGCTTCCTTTTCACTTGAATTTTGTATCCACAGCCTAAGATGAGAAATTTAAAATTTCTATCAGCTGAAGTTCTTTTACTGCATATTATATCTATTCAATCGCCCCCAATTCACGTGGAAAAAAGGCAAGTAGGAAAACACTGAGCTTCGAGAAACAGCCATGTTAAGGCTAATGTATTTACCATTCCTTAAATATTTACAATCAAGACCACTCGTTTAGGAGACCTTTTCTCAAAAGATCCACACGCGCAAATAATGCTGTTTTCCGTTCGAAATGTTTTTCTTCCTATTCAATTGAACAACTGACTTAGCGTTTAAGCCGAGAAAAAAATCACAAAGTTTGAATTCTGGGATGTTATCCACTGTTGGCTCCATCAAGTTACGATTCTGCACCATTGACGCTCGTGAAAATCTATCTTTCCCTCGAAATATCCAAAACAATAATTGTCTTCAACAGAAAAGCCATTGAGATGTTCTTTCAAAAAGTCGATCTCTAAATCTCTTAACATTGTTGGCTTTTGGTCTTCATCCATGGCAAAATCTTCCAGGAAAAGCAAACTACAGTGCGAAAACCAAGTTCCTGCCAAATTTGATTGACATTTTTGACAACCGGAAACAGAGATTCCAACCCTCCCGATTTGATCGGGAGTCTCCCGATTTGATGTCTTGCCTCCCGCTCTCCCGATTTTTACCAAATTCTCCCGATTTATCATAAAATTCTGAAAACTAGGGGAAAATTGCTAATCTTTAGAATTTTTGGCGATCTGTCACTGTGAAACACTCATATTATACTTACTTTCTTCGCGAAGAGCATTATGGTATGTCATAACTCAGGCCGGAATGATGTCAAAATTCAGGAAATGGCACTTGAGAGAACCTAAATTTGCAAAATTTCCCGGGGGCATGCCCCCTGACCCCCCCTAGAAGCTCGCGCCTTTGGCACTAATAATTACTCCCTATTTTCCATCACATGGGGTTGGAATCTCTGCGGAAATCATGATACTTTTTTTTCGTCACGTACGTCACGCAGCTAGCTACAAACCATATATATAATTATTCTTGGTGCCTTTCCAAATGCCACTAACTCCCTCTCCGAAGTCTCCATTGTTTATTAAAGCAGTAAAAGATATGAGTTCAATCAACACTTTTGAAAAATTGCTTAAACTGTGAAGTAAACTGTTAACATTTCGGCTTTACAACACGATTGTCTCTGGAACAACAAGTTATATGTCTCTATATGAGGTATAAAAGCTGTTTCACCGCTGACCGCTCATATTTGGGTCGTTTTTTCTATCCCCGCTCGTCGCCCGTGATGTAGTATCTCCCTTACGTGTTGTGCTCTTCGCTGATGGTGTTGGAGATGGCAATTTTTGGAGAGTACATATATCGTATCCGAGCGGCTGAGAGGGGACTTGGTAAAAGTTTGCACCGGTTTTAACCGGTTAGAAGTGAATGCAGTTGGGCCACGAGTGTTTCAGAAGGAAATTTTTTCAAGCTGTTGGGTGAAGAGGTCTTCTAAAGGTTCAGATTATCTGGAAAAATGGCACAGCAAAAGCCTGAACAAGTAACCAAGTTCAAAGTAGGTTTTCTCTTCATTTCAGTGTTTCAACTCAAATTTGCTATTTCTACAAAATGTCTTGAGTTTAGTACACGAGGGCAGTCAACTCGCCGACGCCAACTCGCCGACGTATAAATTCGAGTAGAGACGTCGGCGAGATTTTTTAAGGAAAACTTGGCTTTCTAGACAAGATCTTTAGTATAAAGCAATTATTTTTATTTGCAACAAAGTTTATAGGGATCTCAAGGCGAATAAAGTAAAGTAAACATCGCCAATGACTACATCCGCTTCAGACGCGAACGAGTAATTGTGTGACAACAACACTTAAGACTTAAGACTTAACTCGTTCGCGTCTTAAGCTGTTATAAGAGTGGTTTAGCAAGAGGACGGGAACGTCATTTCAGAACGGCACGCGCAGCAAAAATGCCGAGAAGAAATTGGTTCGAGAACGCCGTCGCGTTGTGTTGAAAAGTGACTTAGCAGTCGTTTCAACGAACCGTCCACGTTATATTTGTTCTTGAATATCCTAACTTTGGCTCTTTAGGATCATTATCAGCTTTGAATTTTCGGTTTCCTAGACCACTTGAAGGACAACGAAATTATCTTCTTTGAGAGTGTAACAAGCACAAACCGAGGATAGTTTACTACAAGTGAGTTGTTAATATGAATCCACTTGGGCGATTAAACTTTGAAATTATTTCATTCCAGTTAAGTCTCGAGTCTGCAGATTCATCTATCAAATTTTGAAGCCCACTAAATATTTTTTTCTATGATTTGTATCGCTGTCGTTTCGTTTCGTGCTTCTAGATTTCAGCACTACTCGTTTTTCTTCATAATTTGGAATTGAAATCGTCACCGTTTTTTCCCTCGTTTACTTAATATTCTTCTCAATCATGACAGTACACCTATTTTAAGCACCACCTTCTTAGAGTTGCAATGTATTTTGAACGGAGTTATTAGGAGTTATGGCGAAAAAATGTAGAAATCAAGCGACCCAACGATGGAGTTGTTTACAATGAGTTCCCGTTTAACCATGGACGAATGAAATGTACTCAAACCAATCACCAACGAAACGGTTAGACTGAGAAATCAGACTTCGTTCCTGTTTTATTTTGTTTTTGTTTTATTTAATTTTTTTAACGAATAAATTCGTTCAAGAATGAATCAAATTAATAGATTTAGAAAGCCGTGCCGAAATCAAGTTGATTGTTATTTTCTTTCGTAGATGACTTTCTTGTCTAAGTTTTCACCGGCGCTGATCAAAACTAAAGACATAAAAAAGTGCAAACCCGAGCTATTCTCAATTTTTTTTTTATCTCTGACTGCAATTCACAGAACAATTTTCAATCACGGTTAAAACGACAACGACAACAAATAACACTGAATAATATAGCAGGTAGCCTTCGTGTTGTTTCATTTTGATAAACTTCAACATGAAGCAAGTTTAATTTATTGATGAATTAATTCACGATAAAATTAACAGCACCCGTTCTTAGAGTTTTCATACATGGTTTAAGAAATGTATCAAAGAAAAGCCCTTATGTTGCTTAAAGCCACGCTCAATTACAAAAGGTAACTGAGCCCTAAAATCTTAGATCGCTTGCTGACGATCGTGTTTCCTTTCGGGAATCCAGAATAAATGTAGCGGTAAATTTTCACAAATTCACCGAATAAGACAAAGAAAGGAATCTGGTTGTCCTGGAAATGGGTTCTGAAATCATTCCAAACAGCATTATCTCGTTTATAAGTGCACAATTAACGCAAATCCTAGGCGTTTTGGTCACGACGGGAAAACCAGCGAAATGACGTCCTGAACTTGATGGGGAGAATGGCAACGCTAACACCGGAAGTCGAAATAGAGTCGTGTCCAGATTATCTGCGCGGTTTCCCGTTCTGAAATGACGTTCCCGTCCTCTTGCTAAACCACTCTATAGTCATTGGTGATGTTCACCAATGTTCACCAATGTTTAAGCTTCTGTTTGATGTTCACCAATGTTCACCAGTGTTTTTTTACTAAATATCGTTTAATTTTCTGTATGTTTAACTTCTAATAAGTTGTATTGGATTGACGACCAACTCGCCGACGTCCCTAATCGATTTTATACGTCGGCGAGTTGGAGTCGGCGATTTGACCGTAATTCATCATATGGTAGTACTGAACATTCGTATTTTATATTTCTGTTTAGCTCGTTCTTGTCGGCGATGGTGGTATTGGAAAGACAACCTTTGTCAAACGTCACTTGACTGGAGAATTTGAAAAAAAATATTTTGGTGAGTAACCTACGTGATCATAACTTCATTTCGCAATTTTCATCGTATCAGGGACACCGTTTGCCTACATTTAACCCAAAACCACGTTGCTAAAGATATCTCATTCGTTTTACGTTAAGGAGTATTAACTGCGAACCTATCAGTACAATTTGATACTATATTTTTTCTACTTAAGCTAGGAATGAGTAACCTACGTGATCATAACTTCATTTCGCAATTTTCATCGTATCAGGGACACCGTTTGCCTAAATTTAACCCCAAACTACGTTGCTACAGATGTCTGAAATCAATTATTTACAATAATTCGCTGTATGGGCATGACTCTTGTAAAGACACAATCTATTTGGAGAAAATAATGACAAATACCTACTAGCTCTGTTAACTTTATTACACTTTTATGGATTATCCCAGAACCTTTAAACAAAAACTTCGCTTTATTTCGTTGTTTTTCAACTTTCACATGAGGATGCACTTCAGAGAATTGACTTCTTGAATTAGTTCCAAAACACTATAGAAGAATAGTATCTTTGCATGCACTGATTGTCTAGTTTGGAAGTGATTAACAAGTACTCTTCACCTCCAAAGAGCAGAATAGACAAAATCGTGGCAAGAGTTTCATTTCTGACCATTTTTTGATAAATTGGCAGAAATGAATATTTTAGTGTAGGGTATGTGCTAAAACAATAATGTACCATACTGTAGATGAAAGTGGTGGATATGTAATTTCCCAATTTGCAGTTTGGTAAATATCTACCATTTATCACCTCCACCTTGGCAAGTAGTTGGTAATCAATAATGCAGGAATATTTGTGATTTCCCTGAAAAATTTTTCATGTGTAGATGTGGGTGTCATCAGAATGTTTGGTAGCTCATTGGTAAATGTTCCACTGGGACTTAATAGTCCTTTTTTTTATGGAATTCAAAGATATGGTGCAAGTTGACAGTAAAGGAATAATTGTTTCTTGACAAGGACGTGTTATATATTGGTTTGTTTCTGTATCCAGAAACAGTAGGAGTTGAGGTACATCCACTGGTGTTCTACACAAGCCGAGGGGTTATCCAGTTTAATTGCTGGGATACTGCTGGTCAAGAAAAGTTCGGTGGTCTCCGTGACGGCTACTATCACCAGAGCCAGGGTGCAATCCTCATGTTTGATGTTACATCACAAGTATCATACAATAATGTGACACGCTGGCACAGAGATCTTGTTCGTGTTTGTGGAGACATCCCTATTGTGATTTGTGGAAACAAAGTTGATGTAAGATGTCATCAAGTCAAGGCTGATTCTATAACATTTTTGAGGTTAAAGAATTTGCAGGTACTGTTACTTGTGAACTTACTAAGGAATACCTAATCATATTATAAGAAATGACGAAGGAAATAAGAGTGGCATTTTATCTGAAAAAATGTTATAACTTTGTTTTCAGTTCTATTCTTAAAGCAGAAAAGAATGCTTAATTTACAACTTTTGAATCCTTTGAAATACCTGCAAAGCATATTTACCTTAATGCATAACTGATCAAACATAGGAAACAAGCATGACAAGTATTTTGCATGCAAAACTAGTTTGGTAGGAAAATAAAAAGGGCCAACCACTAGTCTTGGCCAGCCTTATTTCTATTCCATTTAGCAAAAACATTTGTAGAATATATACCTCTTCCTGTGAGACCAAACTAAGGTTATTATGAAGAAAAAGTCCTTGCATTCTTCCAGCCATGCCCAGTAGGGTGAAGTCAGTAGTTTGAAATGACCTCTGCACTACATTAAATCGAACTGAGAAAAAAATTGTGGGGGCCAAAATAGCATGATTCTCATTTGGCAGTTCAGTTAAGCCTGAAGGCTTTTCTGTACTTTATCACTATGTTACGCAGATAAAATACTATCATTTAAAATCTGCAGACTCCTAAAGCAGGATTTTGTGATTAAGAGTCTTAAACTCTAAGCAGAATGCATTGTTGGTAATATTATCTAGTCTTTCTTTATTTCCTTACAGTTCTACTATGTAAGCGCCAAGAGTAACTACAACTTTGAGAAGCCATTCTTGTGGTTAGCACGAAAACTTCTTGATGATCCAAAGCTAAAGTTTGTGAAGATGCCTGATCTTGAACCACCAGAGGTCCAAGTTAATGTAAAACAAATGCTAGATTACCTTCAGGAGCTTGTGGATGCCTTACAAGCAGCTCCCTCATAAAATGTCAATAATGACATATAGTCTGAATATTCTTCTGGGAATGTGTGCTCTTTTGTCTTGGCCATTCAATTATTTTTGTCTCTCTGTTATATGTTTTTGTAGTTTAGTAATACTGTAAACGTCCATGTATAAGCTGCATCCATAGATAATAAGACCTGTGTCATTAACTTGTCAGTTAGCTTATCTTTATTTCCTTACAGTACTATGATATAAGCGCCAAGAGTAACCACAACTTTGAGAAGCCATTCTTGTGGTTAGAATTCATGTAGTACTCACGAGAAACAAATCTTCTCTTTGTGTACTCTCTTTCACATATGGCTATTTAGTTAGCAAAGAAGCATCGAGAAAAATTTATGGAAAGTGGCCTGTTGTAGATAACTCACCATGCAGTCACAAAACAGAAATTATTTATATAACTTTGTTCAAAATATGTCAAGACACCTTTTTTTGTCTTGTGTTGCTGCAACAGTTATATGAAGACATGTCCAGATAACTCATAGCTGTCAACAGTGAAAGTTCAGAGAAAGATGTAGCTATGACACGGTCACACCTGATTGCTCCTAAAGCATGAAGAATAAATCTTCTAATCTTTTGTTTGTTACACTCTTATTTATGTCTGAGCAAAAATGATGACAAATCAATCTTTCCTGTTAGGGAGAGTGATTGAAATTGGGGCATAGACAGTTCACTGGTGTCTTGTGTTCTAAGTGAAGTGTCTTCCTCTGCACTGGTGGGTAGTCCTCTTCAAAAATGTAATTTCTGATGTTTGAGTGACATGGGAATGAATTAGTCAGAAATTAATATTCTGATGGCATGTTGAAGAGGTTTGCATGGCAACACGGTAGTTTCAGATTATTTAAGCGTTTTGCAGGAAAATTAAGTCATTTTACATTGGTCAGTCTTAGGTTTGACCACTTTCTTTTTTTTTTTATTTAATGTAATTTTGTTTTACAACTCTCTGTAAAATATCACTGCTTTCACTGAATTTTCTGTGTGATTAGTAGTGTAACTAGGTTTATTTTAGTTACCCTTTCCGTGGGGTATAGTGCTGCTGCATTAGATGAGGAGTATGATTCCACATATTTTTTGGCCACTTCTAAAGAGTGGTTTTTTAGTGGTTTTTTTGTATCTGGTGTAGCACAGCCTATTTAAGTGTAACCCTTCAGTTTCAGTGAATACTTGCAGTACATTGCAGATTGTAGTAGGATGTGTAGACTACAAGACTAGCTGACTCATCAGTAGGATGTGTAGACTATAAGACTGGCTGACTCGTCCTAAATAAACTTTCACATTGAATATCTTACCGGAGTGTAGTCAGAATCTCTGCTTTTTTTAAAAAAACTTCACTCGCCAAAGAAAAAAATAAAATTAAACAAAGCCTTGAGTTGATGATCTTTGCAAAGTTTCTGGCTCCCTCCCAAACAAACTTAAATGTTGGCTATGCTGTTTAAACTTTGTAAGATTGAAACAAACTTGGAGTTAAATTTTCCTTACCAATTTTACTTTACATGAAAATGTATTCTGAAAATGTATAATTATATTCACAATCATTGTTACAAGCACAACTGGAGGACATTGGAACCAAGTTACATTAGAACCATTGTTACATGTTTCAGGTGAACATTACATGCTTTGCATTTTCAAGTTGACAAATTTGAAAGACAAGAATTGGAGCAACGAATACAATAAAAAATTATGAAAACAAAAATGAGGCCTGCATTGAAAAACAATCTGTTACAAATTATGAAATGAAGGGAGCTTAAAGAAGCCTCTGGTTCACTCCTTCCTTCTCACTGGTACACCCACCTTCACATCCTCTCGCTTTAGGAGGTAAATAGTGAGCAGAGTACTGATTTCTATAGTATCTCCAATGACTATTAGGCCAACGAAAATGATTTGAAATCACAGCATGTTCACTGTTTTTCATATAATGTGTTACCACTTGCAAAACTAGGTTGCCACATCCCTGGAAGAAGCATCAGCTTTTTTTTTCTTGTTTCTGCAAGTAGCATTTATAATCTTAAGTCAACAGATCTGCCTCTACACCAGTGCTACTTTTTTTTCGTTTTTTTTTTCTTCCTAGACTGAGAAGTATACATATGATAACAAGCCCTTATTAGGACACATTTTCCAAGTACAAAAAAAAAATAAAATGCAGAAAATGGTGAGTTCAAAGCTTACATTTGTTCAAAAAAAAAAAAAGAACATAAACTGTAGACCAAGTTCAACAAAAAGTTTAAATGAAAGTACAAATTCTATATTTTTGCTTTATGTAGAAAGAGTTTCACCTGTGAGTGGTGAAAAACTCTGTATCTATAGCAAAGCCAACAAGAACCTTTTATTGACAATACAAGGACATGCACACCCTGCGCGCAGACAAAGGAACAAGTGAGATTATAATTGAACTACAAAATTTTAATCAGTTTTAATTATGCTGTCTTATCATCTGACTGGAAACTACCCATCACTTCCTCATGATGGTCAAAAATAGTGTCTCTTCTCCTTATATACCATAGATCCTCATACAAGAGTTAATTTTTTCTTTGCATTCTCAGAATCACAACAAACACAAAACTAAAAAAAAAAGGGTTTTTTTCTTTTGTGTGAGTTCTTTGTGTCAGTAGATGTTTTAAAAAATGTAACACTTAATTGGTGCATTTTGTCAAGACAGGATAATTTTTTCGACTTCAACACAGAACATATCCACAATCTGCAAATTCAATGTATATTGCTCTAAGCTTCGTCATGGACTATCTGTGGCTTGTAACCAGGTTTCACAGCTTGAGTCAATGATTCTGCATACATTTCCAACCTCTGAGTCATCTAGGAAATGAAGAGAATAAATTTTAGTGATATCTAAAGAAGTCTGTTTCACAGCAGATTTTTTTGGATGTCTGGCAATGATCTGGAGAGGGGAGTTGCATGACATCTTTCAGAGTGTAAAGTGAGATGCAAAGGAAAAGTGGTGACCTAGTGGTTGAGGCACTGGACTATGGATCAATAAGTTCAGGTTCAGACCATGGCCTGGTCATAGTGTTGTGTTTTTAGGGAAGATGCTTCACCCTCACTGCCCCATCTCCTCTCAGCAGTATACAATGGTACCAAACAAACTGCCAGGGACACTTAACAAAATTCTGGGGGGAGGGAGTGGGTTTAACAATGATGTAATAGCATACCATGGTAAGTTGTCCTCCAGGACTTAACCTGAAGTCTGTAGCAGACCCACAGTGATTTTAGTTCCTACAAATAGCAAGAAACCTTCCACCTTACACACCTGAAAACACCAGCGGTCCTTAACTTGTCTGCAATGGTTTAAGTCTACCTCAGTCACAAGGAGGCCATCTTTAACTCTGGATAAACCCTGTGCAAGAAAAACAATACTTATTATAATAAAAAGGTGTAATCTGTCACAAAAATCGTCTTTCAGTCCATGATATTGCTGACCCTTGGATAATCTTGGACCAAACCATCCAATGAGCATTGTGCAATGAGCAAGACTGAGATTGATCTTCAAACAAGGTAAAAAACTGGCTGCTTACATTCTGAGAAGACTATAAATATATATATATATCACTACCTGTGTCTATCTTTCATTTTGTGTATTCTATTGAAGACTAATAATAAAAAAATAGAAATCAATATAGCTCACTGGGGTACGACTGCCATCTGGAGCAGCAACATAAGAGGAACCTAACAATTAAAAGTTAAATATTATGGTCAGACATGGTTCATTATCACCTAATTTAATCATAAAAATCAATTAAATATCAGCAAGTGGAAAACTTACCATAAAAGTGACCAAAGTCCTTGTGAGCTAAGGAAATAAATGGCAAATTTACATAACTAATTGTTATTGTCAAAGTTCATTATTATTGTACTCCGTTCATCACTTAACCCCATAAATATAGCCATGCCCTTTCAGATTCTTGTAAAACATTTGATAACTACAACCAGCTAGGTTTGTATTGCAAAGACCCTGCTTTTGAGAGTAACATCCATTTTAAAATGTTTTTTAAAAATATTCTTCCACTCTCATATATCTTACCGAAATCATCTTATTCCTAGTTGCAAATTGAAGATTGGTTAGAAAGGGAAAAGAGAAAAAAATATCCACTTTACTGAGTTATTTTTTTTTAGCTACCTGGTTTGCCATCCCCTGAAGTAAATTCATTTTCAAAGACTTCCTATGGATGGGAAAAGAAAATGTAAAGAAAAAGCCTTTTATTTTCTCAAATGTAAGGTACCCTATGCAATATTACATGGATCTGAAGCACTATGTCTCCTCTCAAGTCTTTCTGACAAAAGAATTTAAGACCTCAAGTCTCTGATTCTCTGAACAAAAAGGGAAGGGCCTTAGTCCCACATCTTGGCCTTATATCCCTACCCTCCTGTAAGAGATAAAAACCTGAAGATATTCATCCAATGAAAAGGCAAATGTGAATGTAATGGGACAGTTTTGTTTCTAACAGGGTAAGTGTACTTACAGTTCCAATCCTGTTAATTGCCACAGTGAAGTAATTGTTGGCTATAGATGCACAGCGAGCCTCAATTGGCCACATGGGTTCACTGCAAAACAGATAAGAATATTAGTCTGTAAGCTTACAGTGCAAAAAAAAAAAAAAAAAAAAAAAATGGGGGGAAAAGAGGGAGGGGAAAAGGGCACTCCCTTACTTGGACTAAAGGGGCATGTGCTAGTGACAGGGTAGGATTTTAAGACCTTGATGGGATAACCCCACAGGAGTTTCCCTTGAGTGCCCTTCCCCATCAAAAGAGACTGAAACCTGAGCTCAAAAAGACACATATACCTTAAAGCACCGACAGTTGCTGAAGGATTAAAGCAGATCTCGGCACCATTTATTGCATACATTAGCCAGTTTAGTGGGTGGTGACGACCATAACAAATATTGACTGCAATTCGACCTGCAGAGGAGTGAAAAAAAAAAACTCTTAAAGACCCTTCAAGTTTGATTAAGATTAAAAAGAAACATTATTTTTTGAGAGATCCAATACCATCCATAAACATAAATCATTTGATCAAATTGATAAAAGTGAACCTCACCAAACTGTGTCTGGAACACTGGGTGTCCTGTATCTCCTTCCATGTAGTAGGTTGACTATTTACAAATTACAAAAGAAATGACAAATGCCAAAGTTTTAGAGCTTACTTGTTTAATTCATGTAAATTTATGAGACTACAGAGCTTTCCCTCGGGATATTAATGGATCTGGGAGGATTTCATGTAGAACCCTGTTTAACTAGTTTGAAATTATTTAACCATACAAATAGTAATAATGAAAATTCTTGTACCTCATTAAAATCTCCAATTCTAGGAATGTGATTTTTCCTTGTTTTCCCAAGGACAGAGCCATTGTTGGAAATTATCACTGAAAAATGGAAGATTTTGTTTGGATCAAACAATGTCTCGCAACAAATTGACTTTAAGGAAATAAAATTGCTGGACTAGATCACTTTGACAGATGAATTAGTTATAAAAGTTTAAAAAATAATTAATTTTTCATGAAATTTCATTTTATTGTCAAGCATTGCCATCAACTATACATGAACCAAAGTTGGTTCACAATATAACTAGATTTGTGCGACAGTTGCCCAAACAAACACTGCAATAATTGCACTGTTATATCATAGTCATTAACAGTTATGTAGAGATGGTTGATTAAACTAACATGTAAAAGTTGATAAAATTATTGCACTCTTAAAAATCAATAAACACAATAAGATCACAGCAATACCAATTTAGAAATGTTTAAGTACCTGTTGTATTGAATATTTTGTCCTGATGTACACTGTCTCTTTCCAAAATTGGAGACACTATGACCATGTTGTGCTGTTTGGCAAGCTGGTAAAACAAATAAGGGAAAGAATTAAGAGGAAATTGAAGCCATGAGAGGCAAGTGAAACTAATAACTGGTATTTTAGTTAATGACTATCCAGAAAATATCAATCATCATTGTTTCCAGGGGGTAGAAATAGGTAGTTTTGAATAACAGGCAGGTAGTTTTCAAGGGCTGGAGAGCCTCCTGCTTCCAAGGAAGTCCAAACTCTGCTGGTAAATTTTGGAATTCTAGACTGTTGCAATTGTATTTTGAGGTGTATTCCAATTTATGTTGCTTCATTTTTCCTTGGAGTCAACCAATTTGAACAAATTTAAAGAGAAATACTCACATGTTGAGAGTGCAATGACATTTATGCACTGGTTATCAGCAGGTAGCAAGCACTTTACAAGCAAATACATTTACTTACTACCTAGCTACCAGAAAGCTGTACTGTTTCTAATAACCAAGATACCTTTCTTGGTCCTCCTGGCTGACCAAAAGCCTGAAGCAGTACCCTAACATACCTCTTGGCAGAGTTTAATAGTTGGCCCATCATCTGCTGACTCAGCAAATTCTGTCCATGGGTGCTTTTCACGGGTGCAAAAAGCAAATGGCATGGCTGATAAAAACAAATTGGAGGATGTATTATCAGAGAAAAACTAATATTCTAAACCTAAAAAGAGCCAAACTTGAAATATGAAATTTCAATGCTCACAGCTACCAGAAGCAATCTAATAATTGCCATTAAATGTAAAAGGAATACAAGATGCAGAACTACTTAAGGAAAAATTTAAAGATTTTATTTATTCTCTATCATTAAAAGTCTTCTACCACCAAGTAGGTGCCTATTTGGAGTTGCTTGTACCTGACAAATGATACAACACAAACTATATTGTCAATCTCCAGTTCCCTTACTGCACAGAGCCTATAACAACCTAAACAAGTCACGTTAAGGCAGGTGACGATTACTAATAGGTACTGTATTTCTTGTACCCTTACACTTCGATGTCTCTCTCTATCTCCAGCCCTTGTACTTATGTCAATCATCATTCTCTTTATATGTAGATTTACAAGAGGTTTGTAAGGACACAATCAGATATATCCCACCCTTAGTTCTAATATAACTTACTCCAACATTCTTGAAAACAGATGATGTTGACTCCACACATGGCTGCAGCCTCAGTAATTTCTTTTATTCTTCCATGGAGAGCTGACAGCTACACAACAAAAGAACAATAAATTGTAAATACCACAATAAAAATAGTTTGAAAACAGCACAATCACCAGAGGTGAGGTAACTTTCTTTTAGGGAAACAACACCTAATCTAACACTTGTAACTACAATAATTATTATTATCCATGGAACAACTGTGGTTTTATTGAGTTGATGAGGAGTGATTTTAGAAGACATTAACCCTTTGGCTTCCAAGAGTGACCAGTATCTAATTTCTCCTTACAATATCACCCCTGAATCACACATTGAGGTCACAAGAATAGAGGAAATGATCGACAAGCTCCTTACCTGACTTGCCAGTGGTGCAGATGTAGGCAGCACTATTTTGTTCTGTACAGCCCCTATTCTAACTATTCGAGGTCTGCGCATTTGCTCCTCTTGGACATCAAACTTGTATCCTGCCAGTTCAAAGTTTCCATGTGCAGCCATTTTTAATGCCCCCTCAGGTAGCTCTAATTTACTGTTCAAAAAAAAATTAAAATCTATATATTAAAAACAATTAATAATTAGATAATAGATTTTTAACTAAGTCTTGTCCTGGAGGAGATGAAATGGTCAACTCTTTACATCCTAGCATCAGTATTCATATTCTCTGTACAGTTCTATAAAGTTTCCTATGGTGATGACAAAGAGAATTTGTTTAACAATCAAGAGCTTAATTCATAAGTGATCAGTTCCTTTATTCTCCTGACCTTTATGTTAGATTCAGGGGTGATGTGGTAAGGAGAAATTAGTTGCCAGTCACTCTTAGGGGTTAGAGGATTAAGAAAATTGTTGGAGTGCTGGAGTTGGGATTGAAAGGTTGATTTTTCAACTCTAGCTGGGGTCATGTTGGTCAAGGTTATAATAACCCAATAGGTGACCCTGATGAAATGCTAGAACTAGCATTCCAGCTAATAAGGAAGGGAGGCAGCAAAACTCCTAATAGCTTCATGCTACAGAAATAAAAAAGGCCACTGTAGCTTCATGCTACAGAAACCAAAAAAAGGCCACATTTGCTTTCAGTCACTTGGCATATGTGCAGGACTGTTTAACCCTTTAACTCCCAGAGGTGCTTAACGTGTAACTTCTCCCTACAATAACTATATATTATCAAGCAAAACTGTAATGAGACCACTCAAACTTATCAGGTAGAAGTTGCTATCTTGATCCAACACCAAATTTTGTAACTAATTTATATGGAAATATGTAGCAGCTAGAGGGAATAACTGACAATCAGATTTTGGGAGTTAAACGGTTTGGAAAGAGACAACTCCACAGGATTGATAGGGGTTACTTTATCCTCATTCCCACTTCCTCAAGACACGCAGAAATCAGAACTCCTGATTTTTGTCAAGGCCCTCAGAAAATGAAACCTTTTATTGTCTTCACCCTTGAAAAATTGTCATCAGCGTCCAAATCCTGTCAGCTTCGAGTAATGAGTCCAAATGTTCTTGGCTTGTAACATCTATGTTTTGGAACGTCGCGAGGTGTACGCACCGTGGGACCGGGGGGCGCAGGGGGTGATTGCACGTAGAAGTATTGAAATCGCCAATTGTCCAGGAAAATTGTTCCAAAGTATTGCTGAATGTGTTCTGTCGGGCGCAATCGTCTCGATCAGCCAAGCTGACAAATGGATTGACCGCTGTCCTACAGTCTTCTAGAGTGCGTTCGACTTCCACGCGACTACTTCCAGACAAAGACACTAAAAAAGCTTCACTGGTAAAGTGATCTCGACTGAAATATACAACTTACCTAACTGGCTTTCCATATAAAATTCTCTTCACTTCTTCTAGCTCCTTCGGTGGAAGATGTTTTTCCAAGCAACTCTCCAGACTTATAAACTCAGCCGCCATGTTGAACTAGCTCCGATGACCTTCAATGACCGAAGTTTCATCCGTGGAAGTCTGGATAAAAAAAACAGCAACTTCTACCAACTAAAGTAGGGTAAGTTCGGGGTTTTTCAGTTTTGTTCTAAAACATTACTTATATGTAAACATTCCGTTCTTCTCAGGAGTTTTTACTTGTAAGAGGATCAAGTTGATTGCAGTTTGCTGCAAATAAATGACATCAATTTCTAACGTCTCAAAATCTAAATTTACCTACCCTCCCCAAGCAGATAGTGTAATGACGGCGGGTTGACATCGGATGATGCGGCGTTAGGGCAATTCTCAGTGAAAAAAATGCTATTCTTACAATTTTTCCAGCATTGTTTTACACGAGAGAGAATTATGTGTCCAGAGTGATTTCTCTTACCGGTTGAAGAAGCCCATTTAATTGTTAATGAATCACATTTAGAGAAATTTTCTGACAAATCCCATAGGGCGCTGGCATTAATTAAGTGACGTGGCGCGCCAAGTTACGAAATTTTGCAAACAAGTTTTGAAATATTTGTTGGAAGACCATAACGTTGCCTAGACAGAATAAGACAGGCAAAGTTTCGGGAAGACAGAGCTATCCTTATCTATAAGAACAGCTTGGTAGTTCCCAGAAACGCGTATTTTTGTAATTTATGTCTTCTGATACAAGCGGAGATTCGAACTCGATGGCTTCCGTGCGAGAAGAGAAACCTAAATGTATGTGGAAGCCAAATGCAGATCAGTCGACCAACATTGGCGATTTCCAGTCAGTTGTGAATCAGACATTTGGCTTGAATTTAGGTGAGTACAGAAGTCATTTTAAAATATGAACCTGTAATGTGGCAGAAATTCAGAAAATCACTCTATTTGCACTTACAGTAACAGCGAGGTTTGTTGAACTGAATAGTAAGTCATCTTTGATTTTCTCTTCAGTTTGGCTATTTAATTGGTTGAGTTGCCTTATAATTTCCATTTTATAGCCTGTAGTTAATTTCAATTTTCATTGTTAAGCTACTGAAAAAGATACTGTAATCAGAGAAGAAACACACCCCTTGACACACCCATTTTCGCCCCCCGTTGACATACCGCCAGATGCTGCTTCAGTTTAGCTTCAGGGGAATTGATTGAATAATTTCAGGAATAGTCGAAAAAATACAATGCAATTTCTATGTAGTTTTCAATTTTCAATCAGTTCTATACCATGAAAAAGTCTTGAAGTTAAAACACAGATCTCCTGATTCTGTTTCACACACTATTACATATGATTTTGCTTTACTTTGAATCCATACAGAAACTTATGAGGAGCTGCGTAAGTGGAGTGTCAATCAACATACAGATTTCTGGGAAATGTTTTGGAAATTTGCCGACATTATCCACTCCCATCCATATGATGAGGTACCAGATTTTTCTATCATATCTTTTGCTGTTCCAAGTTGCTAGATGAGACAAAATGTTCAATAACACCTTATTCAATCTCCTATTTATGGACAAATAAAATCAATTACAGATACTTGTGGTGTGATATTCAAAGAACACAACATGGAAAGCACCCTTAAACAAAACTGACTTGTTGATTTCATTTCACTGGCAAACTTTGGGAGTAAGATGAGATATAAGAATCTCATTGGCTGCTTTAACCCTTTAACTTCCATAAGTGACCAAAACAGAATTTTCCTCTACAATAGCAATGCAATATCAGTTTCATTTTTTTAATAAAGGTTTTAGATGAGTCTAAACCAATGGAAGAGGTTCCAGAATGGTTCCATGGCGCTCACCTTAATTTTGCAGAAAATCTTCTACGCTTTGATGATGAGAAAGTTGCTTTGTACACTGCAGGTGCAGCTAAGTGATAAGTTTTTTTTTTTCACCAAAATACCAAGATAAATTCCTTCATCTTGAGCTCATATAAAATTTTGGAATTCGTTGTGGTTAAGAGAACTGTAACTTGTCCTCCTCCTAATCAAAACATCAGTCTTTAGCAGTGAACCCCCACCCTCCTCTCCAACATTTTTTTCAGGTTGTGATGCCATTTCATATTCTCCCAAGTGAGAGGAGTGTGATTGGGGTGTGATTAGGGTGTGATTGGGGGTGGAGAGGGGGTGTCAGGGAGGCCTGCCCTCTTATCACAATATATTTAGCCACAGACAGTCAAAATATTGAGGATTCATCTCTATTAATCTTTTGCAGGAGAAGGGCAAGAGGTCAAGACCATAACCTTTCATCAACTAAGAAAGAGTGTGGCATTACTAGCTTCTGCTCTGAAAAATCTTGGTATCAAGAAAGGAGATAGAGTTGTCGGTATGTACGAAGGCGCAAATTAACCTCCTAGAAAAGAACACAAATCAGTGACTCTAGTTACGACTGAAACCCTCTCTAATGGTCCTTATTTAACCCTTTCACTCCTAAGAGTGACCAACATCTAATTTCTCCTTGCAATAACTCCCCTGAATCAAAAATTAGGGTTGTGAGAGTAAAGGAGATGATCAGCAACCTAAGAAGCTCTTGATTGTTGAACAAATTCTCCTTGCCAGAACCCTAGAAAATGTCTAGTATTTGGTATGTTGGGGAGTAAAGGATTAATGTATTTGGACTCAAGTCAGAAAAACTGAGTTGCATGCATGAAATTGAGGCCTATAAACTTTTCATATAAAATGAATTTCAGAAAGCAAAAGCAGTTTTTTGTCATGGCTTAACTGGTTCGATTTGGCATTCTGTTCTTGTAGTAACTTTCCACTGGAATATGTTTTAAATGAATATTAATCTCTATTAATATTAATCTAGACATCAATAACTGAGAGGTCTGGACTGGGTACAGGCGGGTTACATATTAGTCCTTTCCTTAACTCTTTAACTCCCAAGATCTCATTAGTAATTCTCCAAACAAATTATTTCTAGCTTCTATAAAGCTCGACTTTGGCCATTGGAGGCAGTTCTTCTTGTTCATGTCCAGATGTACTGGGCTAGGGGCCATTTCTTGGCTCATGTTTTTACTAAATCTTTGTCTCATTTTGCAGGTTATATTCCCAATTGTGCCTTAGCTGTGGAAGCCATGTTAGCTACTGCAAGCATTGGAGCTATTTGGAGTTCTACTTCACCAGATTTTGGTGTTGCGGTACTTATCAACAATCCACATGTCTCTTTATTTCATATTTTTTAAGTTATGATGACAAATTTCTGGGCCAAGTTTTATCACATTTTACTTGAATTTTGAAGGGCCAAGGATCAGTGTTAAATTAGCTACTGTTTTTTTTTTTTGCAGGGTGTGTTGGACAGATTTAGTCAAATCAAACCAAAGGTTATTTTCTCAGTAGATGCAGTCAGATACAACAACAAAAGTCACAACCATTTGGTGAAGTTAACTCAAGTAGTGAAAAGTATGTCATGTCACAATACTTAGACCTAAGGGGGGCGAGTATTTAGGTATGTGTCATCTCACAGGGTGTGATTTTTTTCATGTCTGAATATGGCCACCCAGCAAGAGTTCTAAGCAGCCCCCCCCCTCCCCCAAAACCAGGCTAGTGACTGATACTGGCCTGATCAGAGGCAGTATTGCTTCAGTAAATCCTTCAATAGTGGAAATGGGAGTTGATTGTCTTCTATATCACAAAGTGATCCTGACCTATGCTAAATTCTTGTCTACATTTTCTTTATGGATTAGCGGCATTTATAAATGAGTGAAGTACATGTTACTAAAAACCAACAATAACTTTGCTGAGCTCAGAGGTAACAGTTAATAAACTGCTACTCTTTGGGTAGTTATTTCTTAAAAGTAATGATGATAATTAGTGGTTAATAAAGATGTTGATAGTAATTGTGCTGTTATCATCCACATGAATGTGTTTTATACATCTCTGAAATTTTTTTTTAATGCAGGTCTTCCTGAGCTAGAGAAAGTAGTTGTGATGCCATTTGTTGGAAAAGCAGATGACATTGACCTTTCTGGAATCCCAAACAGGTATTTTGTGTCCTCTTTCAGCTGTTTTAGATGAGCTGTTTCTTCAGATTTCTTTGATGCTAGTATCGCTGAGCAACCAATCATTACATACATGTGCTTCTCGGGTGGGGGGGGGGGAGGGGGAGGAAAGAGAGGTAGGGTGAAAAATGTTTATCAAATATTTTGGGTTTCTTGGTCTCTTGATCTCAGTTTTTTTGCAAAGCTGTCCCACAATCTCAAATTTGTTTTTGAAATCTTAAAAAAGACTCAAGCTTGTGGCTAAAGTACCATAATGATATTCTTCTTATCTTATGGTCCACTAAAAAACAGAGACATCAAAATCAGTAAATTGGTGTAATTCATATAGTATATAACTGCACCACCAGCTAACTTGACCTTGGAATCTTTAATCCTCATTTTTTGTGATAGCCATTTAAGAGGTCTGAAAGTAATTTGACAATCCTTGCTTCTTTCTTACAAGTGTGTTGTTGGATGATTTAAAAAAATTTGCTGATGAGTGGCCAGTTCTAGAGTTTGCACAAGTTCCCTTCAATCATCCCCTCTTCATCATGTACTCATCTGGAACAACTGGTCCTCCAAAATGTATGGTGCATTGTGTTGGGGTAAGTAAAAGCTTTTCAATTTTCTTTTGCCACTCAAAAATGTTTTGCCATCTTAAACAAAAGCAAAAATAAAATTTTCTTGGACTTTTTCTTCAAGGGAACTCTAATCCAGCATCTGAAAGAACATATCCTTCATGGGAACATGAACAGACAAGATGTTATCTTTTATTACAGCACTGTAAGTGATATTAATAAGATTTTCAAAACATAATTCCATTTATCTTTTACTTCTGTAATCATCAACAATTTCTTTCCAGGTCTTGGGCATTAATTTTCCAGACCAATCACAAAGTGTAGTGAAGCAAAGCAAATGTATCCCAGATCACTTTTGATGTTAAATTGAAAATTAGATCAATTAGTTTAAAGTGTGATTAGTATGTTGCTGTGTTAGTTTGTCTTCAGTCTTACAAATAAAATCATGGGGATATTGATCAAATGAAGCCTTTAAGTGCTACTGTGGTTCTTTCTTTATTCACTCCAAGCTTTCGCCGTTCTACGGCATCATCAGGGAGGACGATAAAATATTTGCACTATGGTTTTAAACGTTGGGGGTGCCACTGTAAATTAGCATAGTGTAAAACTAGCCAGTACGGAGCGTATTACATCAGAAAGCACAAGCCGGGACTTATAAAATCATCATTGTACATTGATCCCAATAGACAGGTTGGATGATGTGGAACTGGCTGGTGTCTGCCCTCGCTGTTGGAGCCTCTGTCGTGTTGTATGATGGATCACCTTTTATTCCTTCACCAAATGTCATTTGGGACTTAGTCGACAAAATAGGGTGAGATGAATGGCAATGAAATTTGGTGAACTGTAGAGCACTACCATGCATGCACTGCAGGCACCATGTACTGAATCATTATTTTTTACTGACAACCCCCTAAGAAGTTCCCTGTTTTGAGCTTTGAGGCCTCCCCCCCCACTTCTCATTTTCTCTTTCCCCTGCCCATTTATCAGAAACTATGAAATATCAATTGTAATGTTATTCAATGGGTCTACAATGAAGTTTTGGATCAATATCAGTATCCCTACCCCTCCCCTAACCCAACATTAACCCTAACTTGTTATCAATTGACTGTTGTTGAGTTAGGGGAGGGGTAGGTGAGCAGTTGCCCAGATACTGATATTGATCCGAAGTTTTTAATAAGCACCTGAGGCTCATTGGAGAGTGACAGCATTTACAGTAAGGTTTACACTGATATCCAACATCATCATAATTAGAGAAAGATTTTTTTTTTATCTTGTCACAAGCGTGGAACAAAGAAAAAATTCTGAATCCCCATGTGGAATTGAACCTCAGACCTTCGGATTTTGCGCTCTGATGCGTAATTAATGAGTAGAAATAAAAATTGACTTCACCAGCTCAGATCACGCATATGTCATCTCGAACAAAACAGTTTTTCGTTGAAAGTTCTGGCTGGCTCAAGATTCTACTCATATTAAATAAGTTGTTGCTATTCCACCTAACTAGAATAACCATTTTGGGAACTGGAGCCAAGTGGTTGTCAGCTTTGGAAGACAGGGAAGTTCAGCCAAGTAAGCTATAAGGCCGTCCGATATTGCTTGTTTTTGTTAGTTATTTATGAACTTGACATCTTAATTTTGGAGCCATCTAATTATTAGCCATGCTATGACGATGGCTGCTAATGTGGTGGCTTATATACCTGTTTGGTTTATGGAAGTCAAAAACTGCATAATAATTTTATATAACATATTTTCCCTCTTTTAGTTAGGACGCATAATCTAGCACGTTTACACACGATATTGTCAACGGGCTCCCCCCTGAAACCGGCCAGTTATGACTACGTTTACAACAGTATAAAGCACGATGTACTCCTTGGTTCTATCTCAGGTGAGCCTAAAGCTATTTACTGACTGCTGTTCTGTAGAGAGATATTAAGAGATAAAAAGAGCGTTTCCGGGGTGCGGGATTTTATAGCAGCATGGCAGGTAGCGGGATTTAGATTAAGTGAGCCGCCCGTCACTTTCAATACATGTATCTGTCTGTGGTCGTGCTTTTTTTTTAACGGAAGTGCGGGAGAGGTAAAGGTTTAAATGGGTATTAGCGGAATAGGGAATAGAACTTAAATTACAGTGCGCAAATATAAGGATTTGTAAGGTTGATGATTATCGATATGTAGAGAATGCAGACATGGGGTAAGACTTGTGCGTTGTGGTCTTGGTTTTCACGTGACCTATAATTGCCAATTCTTGTCCCTGTAACCGATGATTTTTATTCTGCGGCATGAAGGGACTTGGAGTATGACCTGCAAAACAAGCGGATGTATAGATAAAGATGTTTTATCGTCTTGTCACGAGCGTGGGACAAAGGAAAAAAATTCAGAGTCTCCATGAGGAATCGAACCTCAGACTTTCGGATTCCGGGGAAGAGGCAGGGCGAAAAAATTGACACATTTTTCCACGCGAGTCTCTTCCCTCGCGCTCGCCTCGCGTTCGCCTCGCGCTCGCCTCGCGCTCGCCTCGCGCTTGCCTGAAGAACTTACCGAAATGACGCCTGTCGTGCACACTATTTGGAGTATGTTTACTTCTCCTGGATGTGATGTAAGTTCATCACAAGTAACCTCCTAGCTTTTCCTCTGGTCTCCTGAAATTTCTTAATGATACCAATTTCTGATCTTGATCGAAAAAAGCGGGGCTTTGAAAGGAGAGGGTCTTTACCTAAGACTTGGCTAGGGCTCGAACTCAGACCTCTCGATCTGAAGTCCAGGGTTTGAAACCACCAGGCGACTTCTCATTCTGATTGCCGAACTAACGTTTTTTAAACCCAATTTTTTTTTAATTTACAGGGGGCACAGACATTATTTCATGTTTTGCCGGTCAAAATCCAACTGTCCCTGTGTACCGTGGGGAAATTCAAACAAGAAACCTTGGAATGGCCGTGGAGAGCTGGAACGACGACGGTAAAAAATATCAATGATTTCCTAACATTATTTTGTTGTTGCGGTTTTACGTACCATGCGAACAGCGTGGATAATCAAAATTCGTTTCACGACTCCGACCTCTCGGGATACAGTTGCGACGTTGCAGGGGTTTCGAAAGGTCGTCTTGTTTACTTGTGATCGGAGGATTTCGATCCACTTTGTTTGTTTTTGCACTTTTATGTCCGTTACGATAATGATTGACAGCGGCACGAAATTGAATCACAAGTTTGTCATTCTGTCTCAGATTTCGCATGTTTCTCACAAGGACAGTAATTTTCCATTTTACTTTCTCATCTTTTCTTTTGCGGATCCCTGGTCTGTGATCATCTTTTGGATTCTGCTCTCTGACGTCGTCTTTTTGTCCATGTCTAAGTAGTAAACTATTGATTTGTCAAAAGTGTTCTTCGCTAAAAAGCCGGAAATCTTGGGGCTAGTTTACGTAGCAGCCAGACGTGTCACGCACACTGCCACGCAAGTTCAAGTTCAAGTTCAAGTTCTTTAAGGCCAAGTTCAAGTCCAAGTTCAAGTTCTTTAAAGCCAAGTCCAAGTTCAAGTTCAAATTCAGTTCTTTAAGGCCAAGTTCACTCGATCTGTAGATGTGGATGACGTTTGACTCGATTTTCTTGACGGCTTTTTTTACATCTTCTCCTCGGAATAAAAGCGACTGCAATTAGCCAATCAAATGATGGGAATTCGCATGACAACCCGTGATAAGTTAGGGATTAACACCTGCGACCTGTCAACTGGCCACTCGCACCATTCCCCTCAGTCAAACGGAAAGAGAGGATAGTGGAACCACACTGTGAAGGAGCTGGCTGACTGGCTTAACCACTTGGATTTACGTCATAGTGTAGCTAAATACAGGATCATTTGTGTACATTATACGGAGACAAGAAGATCACGCCATTACTCGTGATCCAACAACCAATAAAAGAAAATTTGCTCGTCCCGTTGACCTGAAGTTGTTGAAGAGTGATGGAGCATGGAATTTTAAGTAGTGAGCGTGGACCAACAAAGAAATCGTGAATTTCTCTTCGTGGTCAAGTACCAGGCTCTCATTTTGCCATATCTCGCGGTACAGACTTCATTTTTCCAGCGCCAGAAAAAACTGCTTGTGTCGTACTCAGAGCGCACTTGCCTCGCGCTCGCCTTGCGCTACCTCCCGCAACCTTGTCCGGCAAGCTAAGTTTGCCTATATATAGTCAGTCTGTGGAAATTACATAAAACTATTTTTCTTACTGTGTTCATGGTTTCTTCTGAACTCAGGTGAAGCTGTATATGATCAGAGCGGAGAGCTGGTTTGTACCAAACCCTTCCCTTGTATGCCTATTTATTTTTGGAATGACCCTCAAGGCCTCAAATACAAGAAAGCCTACTTCAACAAGTTTGTGGGTGAGCTTCAAAATAGCATCTACATAGAGATTATGTCAAACTGATAAGGTATGGAAGTCGGTATGGTTAGTCATGGAAGTTGAGGCAGCAGCTGATTTTAAACCAATTCTCGTACGTCATTCCGTACGGCCTGGTTACTAAGTTGTTCCCCAAAAATTGTCGAGTCTGAGCGCCTAAGAAGACAACTTTTGAACGTTTAATTACTCAATGGAATCCCAAAACGCAGTATGTTACTGAGATGAAAATTAAATGGTTTCTAGACCAACTTCCTTTTAATTTCTTCTGCCTTTTTTTTTTTGGCGGTAGGTGTTTGGACGCACGGAGATTTTTGCTCAATCAACTCATCTACCGGCGGAATTCTTATGCTGGGGAGAAGGTAAAATAATGCATGTGATAACGTGAATGAGACGGCGTCTACTCTTAGTCACAATTCGGTTTCCTGTGGACAGTTCTTCCTTAGCTCTTATATAAACAAAACAATTTTATCAATTCGCTTGATGAGTTTTTCCTGGTTACTCATTTGGCGATATGCTGATGTCAATATCTTGATTGTGGACTGCCTTGACGTGGCGGAAACGTAGAACCATTTTGTGCTACTGCTTAGGCGCACAGAATTTACATTGCTGTCTGAAGTCAATCAGAGCATTGGAACCCTCTCGTATATCGTTACCTTTGCTTCAACTCAAGACAGTTTTGATTCTTGACAGTTTTGTGAATGTTTCTTTTCAAGCTAGAATTGAAAAACTCGATCCACGGGTTGATACACGCGCACGCGATAAACACCAAACCAACATAGGATCCTTTTTTTCTTTATTCCTTGGGGCGTTCTTATATCGAAGCGGTCAACTGAAATCATTACGTGATGAAATTACCTAAGTATTGTGTGATCATAGCTTAAGAATAATCTCAATTTTGGAAATGAGCACGTGACAATTAACGAACCAAAAGAAAAATAAAAAAACAAGCGATAAGTTTCCCTTTGAATAACAACTACGAGTTAACATAATCACAAAACAAGTTGTTGCTTACCAACGTTCGTGGGTCTTGATTACTTTATCGAGGATCACGGTCTAACTTGTCTTCTATTCAAAAAAAGATCTTGATCACACAGGGTCTTATCCTGAACTGAAACGCTAACTATAATTTTCTCTAAACACGCAGGCGTCGATCTAACCAGAAAATATTTCGCAGCTTCTCTCGGAGGCGGTAACATTTAGCTTTAACGGAAGCGGTTAAAATTTTTGATTAACCCCTTTAACCTTAAGGGGTGACCAGCATCTAATTTATCCTTACAGTAATGCTGCCGAATAAAACACTAAGGTCGCGAGAATAAAGGAAGTTATCACTGTCTTAAGAAGCTCGTAATTGCGAGATAAATTCTCCTTGTCAGCACCTTAGGAAGTGTTAAGAGAGAACATGGAGAACACACAGATTGACCATTGTAAGGGACCAAAAGGGCTACGATGCAATTTTGACGATCAGTTTCAACTTGATTGTTGGGTGTTGTTGTTGTTTCAGTGATGGCACCCTCAACCCAGCTGGTGTGAGATTTGGGAGTGCGGAAATTTATAATATTGGTGAGTTTTTTCAGTAGAGGAAATCGAATGGCAATATACGGTGATGGTCGCTGGGCAACTTTTTGTCCGCACTGAACCGTTGATTCGTTTGGTTCATGCCTTTTTCCCACTTTAGTAACAAGATCCTGTCTAATTTAAAGTTTTTGGAAAACGTTTCCTATTTACTCACACGGCGCTCTTGACAGTACTGATCTTGGTAGTATTCAGGGCGTGTATCACATTTGAACCATGAAATGACCTCGCTCATCAGAGATTTCACCGTGGTTCAGTGGTAGAACATCAGAGCGCGGAATCCGAAAGTTTAGGGTTCAATTCCTCCTGGGCCCAGTTGTTCGAAGGCCGATTAGTACTAACCCAAGGTTAAATTTTAATCGGGTTGTTTACTTCTTTGTTCAAATGCTTATTTTGGATTATGTTCCCCACTCTTTTTAAAGCATCCAATGATCAAATTGTGGACGCAAACAGTTATACTGAATTATGTTAAAACTTTCATACCCAGAATAATTTGGATTATGAATATTGTGGTAGAATCTCCCATAAAAAGTAAATAACATAGTCAATCAATTGTACTTCGGCTGACACTAGACTGTTGCGTTTTGACCTGATCTGTTGTAGTTGAGAGATTTGAAGAAGTGGAAGATAGTTTGTGTGTTGGTCAACAGACGAAGGATGGAGAACGGGTGGTTCTTTTTCTGAAGATGAGCAACGGATTCAGGTCGGAAATAATACTTTAACCCTTTAATTCCCAAGATCTCATTAGTAATTCTCCTAACTATCCGCCATACAGTTCTTGTGATATTAGTTTGCAGAATTTGGTATTGGATCAACTTATAATCCCCTAACTGATATTTTTCTTTATTCTCATCACTTGTCTGCTTGATATTGTATTGATATTGTAAGGGGAAATTCTCTCTTGGTCACTCATGGTAGTTAAAGGGTTAAATAATGCTTCGTAATGAAAGAAAAGAGGATTGTAGATTGATAGAAGAGAAAATTGGTGGGTTACGTCGAAACAGGAGAAAAACGAAACTTTAGTACAAGAAAGTAACTAATGAGAGCGTATGGAGATAAATTGAAATTAATCGGCGGAGTAAATTGAGATTATTGTTTAATGTCAGTGAGAACATCTTGCTTTAAACATTAGCCAGCCATCTCCTCTTGTGAGTTATTTTAAACACTGTTATGATACAGCAATGTTCAATTGGTTGTCGTAGGTTGCCCAAGATTGCATTGTGATTGGTCCAGAAAACTCGCGCCAGACTCTCAACCAATCAGATGCAAAACTGAAACTAATCGTGGCTTAGTCACCCGCGTTTTCCCGCGCTCCAGGCAGTTTGTTTTAAGTTTGAGCTCTCATCGTTTCTTGGGGGTATTTTTATTCGCTTTATGTGGCCATTCTGCCTGCTTTGGTTTTACGATACTCAGTCGAAAAGCTCTCTAATGAGAACAGTGTACGTGTTACCTATAATTCGTAAAGGGAGAGTTGACAAAATAAAATTCACTTGAAGTTTACTCCTTCCCAACATTTAGCTTTTCAGCCATTTTCCCAAACTCTTAATTTCACTTTAAGATTTAACGAGGAGCTTGTGGCGCGCGTGAAGTCTACGATCCGACAAAGGCTGTCTGCCAGACATGTCCCAGAAATTATCCTGGAAACAAAAGAGATTCCTTACACAGCAAGTGGGAAGAAAGTGGAAGTTGCTGTCAAACGGATACTTGCAGGAGAACACATCCAAAACAGAGGAGCTTTAGCAAACCCGAACTCCTTGGATCTTTACTGTGGCATAGCTGAGCTCAATCAAGGATAAAATTTATAAATCCATGTCTAAGAACACGCTTCATCTAACTTGAAAACAAACAGACAAACACTCGAGTGGAACTAACATGTTAAATGTGTCAAACTCAAAATGTATCAACCATGGGTCGTAGTGGGAAATTTTTTAAAACCTTTCAGGGATATTTGAAGCAAGTCAGCGCAAGCAAAAATTGTTATACTAAAACTCCTTTCAAAAATTTTAAGCAATCCAGTCAAGGAATTATTCCCGTGCTCTCCGATTCTTTCCTGGCTCTTCAAACACAATCATATATTCCCAATCAAATCACAAAGAAAAAAAAATTTATTTTGAATTTTTCTGAAATTTTTATGGGCCGACTGATGCCCCAGTAAATGACGTGTTCGGAGTCACGTGACTAAGGAAACCATCTCACTGCACTACACGTCACCCCAATATGTTTCGAAAAGCATCTATTCGCAAGAAATTGTACGCTTCTTTTACATAAAGAAAATCAGGGATAGGTTATTTAATTGTCGAAAGCGGGCACTGTGCCACTTTTGATTTTTAAACTTTAATATGTTGTTGCACAGTTAGCTAGATTTTAATCCAAAGGTAAAGAAAGTATTTATACAGAAGTAAATATTTTTAGTCACAGTGGGTATATAGATGGTGCAGTACACATACCCGATGCCAAAGCTTTGTTTTCTTTAAAGGTTGGGGACTATTCCTTTAGTAGCATGACTTGGAATCAATAAATTTATTTTATTTTTAACAAGGTCACGATGAATTATGCGCTATAATTCCCTTTGAGGTGAGATTTCTGCTAAGTCAACTTGAAATTCGGCACCTCGTAAAAGTACCTCTGAAAATTTCCTGTCTTTAAGGACACAGCGAACACGCTATGGAATTCCTTTTTCGAGTTGCGCTAGCTGGCTCATTTGACTTCTTTGTATGGTATTAGATAAAAGGGAGCAGAGAGAAAATTAAGGTAAATGTTGCTTCTCTCCTCTTGTTTACGACAGAATAAAAACATCGTGAACAGCTCTAAACACGAACGCTTTTGAGCTAGGAGCGGAAATCTCTGTTGTGCTGAATCCTCTTTTCTTCAAACAATGAACGAGGAAATCCAGGTGTTAGCACTTACGAAGTTAGAATGTTGGATCGACTTCTAAAATTACTTTCCTGTTCAAGTTAAGTTCGCTTGCATGATCAATATGAGACACTCGGTATTTGAAGGTAAGATGTCCTCTTTACTTTGCCCTCAGCCTTACCTTGAGTGACTGATCCTAAAGTTGGAATGATCCCTTCCCTGAACGTGATTTGGCTTAAAATTTATTTGAGTCGCTGTTGGCTGGCTAGGGGAATGGCGATGCTATCGAAAATTGTCTTATTTCTTTCCAGAACTAGTGTTGTTACCTTCATTTCTAAGACAGAAGGTTGGTAAATTAAGTTAGCAGATTGGGCTTGTAGCGGTCAAAGGTGATTCAAGGGCTAGCAACTACACTCATTGGAAGCTTGTTACATGATATGTGGTAGGATCTTTCAAAGCGTTATCTTCGTCTTGATATACTACATCCTTGATGAAAAAGGGAAATTTCGGCTGGAATGAAAGCACCATTAATTGCTGTCATGTCTAGAATTCCACTTATCTCTTAGGGGATCTCCGAATGGGCGGGTTTGAGGAGGAGCGCAAAAGAAATGAAACAGGCGAACTTTGGATATCTCTTCCTTTCTGCATATTACTCTGTTTATCTCAAAGGTTGAAACTACTGCAACAGCCGTCGATTCGATGCGGTAACAAATAAATTAGAGAAACGAGAATCTAGCATAAGAATTTGTTCTGCTCGATCGCTTTCAGAAAAATTTCATAACGTCTACGGATGCAATATCAGTTTGTTCTAGCTCATGTTCGTTTAAAAACAACCAGGTGAGCACTTGGCTGGAATGAACCCCATGCAATAATTAAGCCGTTTTTTCCCCTTTTCTCATGGTATGAATTAATGAGGGGTAAATTAAGATGGCTCTGAACCGTAGAATCAGCCAAAAGTTTCCTAAAACGTTGCCGAAAGACGAACAAAGTCATCTAACTTGGTTTTAAGTTACAAGCAAATACCTGAAGGTATTTCCAAGAGGCCGTAGTGTTTCTTTAGCACTTTTTACTCGTAAAAAAATAATCACTGTTCGATAAGAAATTATTTTGCATCTTAACGATGCTATATTCAAGGGATACAACAAAAATGTGTGAAAGCTACAATAGCAAGAATCAAATGGTTTACTTTAAAAGAGTTTTACATTCAATTATTTCGAAATAGTGCATCTATTCTTTATGAAATAATATACAGTCACTGATAGCCCTTTGTAATTTAAACTTTGTGAATCTTACGGTCTGAATTACAAATGTTGATTAGGACTTCAATAGTGGCTGAAAAAGATTAGATAGCCGAAATTGTCGTTGGCATAGACAATCCTTGAAGAGTTGCTCGTGATTAACTCTGATCAAACGTTCGGAAATCTAAATTTCGCTCCCCAGACACTATTTCACTTCACAATAATCGGGCACAAGATTTAAGATCGTATAAGCTGCTTATTGAAAGAGGTCTTTGAACGTAAAGCAAGAAATTTGTGTGGTCCTGATAAGGATGAAGCAACACTCAAGTGTTATCCAACTCAATAGTTCCATCTGGATCCAAAAGGGATAGGTATTGAAGCCTCAGGAATATTTTTGTAGATGAAAAACCTCGATAGATGAGTCAGTGTTTTGATTTTTGGTTAACACCGTGACATTTCACCAGTATTTGCGGATTTAACCCTTTACACCCTAACATCAGTATGCATGTTCTCCCTACTGTTCTTTCTACATTTCCTAAGATGCTGACAAGGAGAATTTGTCTAACAATCGAGAGTTTCTTCAGTTGGTGATCATTTCTTTTATTCTTCCGACCCTAATGTGTGATTCAGGGTCGATATTGTAAGGAGAAATTAGATGTTAGTCACTTATAGGGGTCAAAGGGTTAATGAGAAAAGAAAAAAAGCGGAAAATTGCGCGTCCTCTTATTTTGACAAATAATGTTTACTTTCTCACTAGGTAAATGCGTTATTTTTACTGCAGTCTCGCGGTTGCTGCATTAAAGTTCTTATTTCCTTTCAGAAAGCATTTCATACCCATCTTAGGTGTATTCATTTCAAAAACATCAAGTCACCCTGAAAAAATTCAATGCTCTTTAGATATCGTGGGTTATCAGCTAATCACCGATCCATTTTCATTTCCGAACCAGGAAAACATACCAGTTGACCATAAAGATGCCACACAATGTTGCTGGTTTCCGTTTAGCATTTCTACAGTGTTAGAGGTAATGGAATAAAAAAACCGCTCCCTCCGATAAAGTCTCAGAGAACAACGAGGGAATATAAATAGAACATGATCTCGGTTACACCTCTTCTTTGTCCCGCTTCTGAAAAGGAAATTGAAAATTCTCGAAAGTGAGTTATCACACTAACCTCAGTTGATAAGCATTTGATAAAAGGACATCGCTTCGATTTAACTGAAGTGCCGTGTTATGGGCTAAAAATCCGAGAAAAAACTATTTAAATATTCCCTCGTGTGAGAGATGATTCCGCAAAAGCTGCGAGCAAACGTAATCTATAGTGCATGGTGTAATAATTTTATATGCGAAAATTACAGAGGCCGTATCGGTACGAGAACTTATTGATCAGAAAATCAGTGTTTTTTTTAGGGTCTATCGAACGAAAACATTTCAAAATAAAACGTATCTTGATGCAAAACCAATAAACTAAGAACACGCCTTAAAGAATTTGGAAATATGTGGGTCTGTGGGCGTTTATTTGCCTTCTACAATGATTGATGATTCTAAACAATCTTGAGAGGTTGATTCCCTTCCAAATCCTAAACACACGCTAGCTTTGTATTATGTTTCATCTTTCGTTAACAAAACAAAAGATAAATTACCCATATTAGGCACATTTCCTGCTAAAGTTGATAGTTTTTGCTGTCATGGAAAAAAACTTAACCTTACAGAGGTCGGTAGTTTTTTTTAAGTAATTTGACGAGAGGAATTGTGAATTCATCAGCGAACCTATATATGCAGTATCGATGTTGATGTTAGTGATAAAGCTTGTTTGTTGGAAAACTTATCAGAGGATGAAAAGGCCGAGAGGACCTATTCCCACAAGGATATAACATCAGATGAACCCCATAGTGCCCAGTGTGTATATTTGTGTTCGTGACCACACACTAACAAAACTTTAACGAGTCAGATTGAAACTTTAGAAGTACATTCTCTCGTTATGTCAAGACTGCTGCCATTCTGCTCATTTTTATCAATACGTTTGTGAAGAATCTTTATTTTTCATTTTAAAATTGGGGTTTTATCTGAACTTGATGTTATCCACGCTTGGGAAGATGTCAGAGAAGCCATTTCCTGAATATTGTATCGTCTTTTTCTCTTGGGCTCATTCAACGAAAGAAGTGGGGTTTGTTGCGACCCGATACGATGGTACGCAGCGACCTCAGGAGAAAGATATAGAGTTGGAGTGCCAAAGATAAAATTTCGAAGTTAAGGGAAGAAATTGACCTCATTGAACAATGTTCTCGGAAGTATCAAAAATCGTTTCCTTTTCTTTAAAGCCAATTTCCTGATTACTATCACATGATTCAAATAATACTTCTTTTGAAATCCGCTAGGAAATCTCCTGACTTCACCTTAGTCTCCTCTCATTTATCACAATCGGCAAGAGACAAAATTAACTAGTTGGCGATGTAAATGAAAACTTACGCCCCCTTCATATGGTTACATACGATAGCATTGTTGTATTGACCCCTGAAGAGGGGTTTCACTAGAATCATCTTGTGGATAATGAAACACATATGTCGTGTCTAAGCATCCGTCTTATTCATCTAGATTTCCTCGCAAGAAACCGAACTTTAAACTCGATTTTTTTTTAAGTTGACCTCGCTGTGAGCAATTTAGGCTCGTTTTCTCAATTTAAGTTATTTTTTTTTTAGGTTCAACTTCGATATTCTGTCTAATTTTGAAACTTCTGTCATCATATAAGGTTATCGGCTCTGATTAATTTATCTCTCTGGGAATGTTCAATTTACACCTTGCTAAGCGCTCTTTAAATACTGTTTTCACTACATGAAGTCAGACTATCTACGGTGTGATACGGTATGTGAAATTCAGTGGCAAATCGTAAAATCAAAACTTAGCAGAAAACAAAGGAAACTGAGTTTTGCTTTTACCATTGAACGAGACGGTGAGGAACTAATTTCTAAACTTAGTTAGCGTGTGAAGACATATTTCAACCGTCAGCTTTTATCTCTATTTTTTTCGTCTTTACTGAACCCTGTTATCGTTGTTATGTAAAGTTCAAGTGGGTAAAATCTCAACATGCAACCGATCGGCAGAGACATTATTTTTCAGGGAAGATGAAAAAGTTTTGAATGAGCGTGTTTTCTACAGTAAAGGTAAGCTTCAATGGGATGCAATTTACTCGATACGAAAAAAAATAAGGAGAACCCAAGGGTGCTCTGCCAATTTTTGGTTTCTTGGTCAGTGATAGGACAGAAAATGTTGCGATGGCACGCGAAAATCCTGACCGACGTGGAATTTGATTTTATCTGTGAAATCTAAGAGTCATCTTACACCTTTATCGATAAACTTAAACGTCGGCGAGTTTAATAAGGCGTGTGTAGAAATGAAAAAACTGAAAAAGGGAAAAATGATATTTCTCTGCAATTGTGCTGTGTTCAAAGAATACTTGATCTGATTTAAGGTAAATTGAAACGCAACAGACTGAAAAAGAAAGTGGAACATGATTGTTGTTATCGTGATCAGAGAGCTCTTGAAAAAGCGTCGGAAATTCTGGTTTAAGTTTCATTGTCTTTGATGGCCGCGTGATCACGACTTTGAAATGTTCATTTTGTATCTTTAGAGAAAACTGGATGTCTAAAGCTTATGAACATTTTCCGTCCAGGAACCCGCAGTTTTTGACTCCAAACAATGTAGTAGGATGAAGAAGAGTTTGCCTCTAAGATTTGTTGAATTACACGAAATCCAAAGTAGCTAGAGTATCGATAAACCGCGAATGGAAAATATCAGTTTCCTCATTCCTTCAGCTAGGAATTCATTCAATTCCTGCTAATGGTTCTCTCTAAATTGTCCCATTTGAAGATACATAGAAATCATATAGCGCTCCTCGAAGTATTTTTTTCGAGAAGAAATAGTGAAATTTTGTTTCTTTTTTTCTTCTTCCAGTTTCCTCTTCTTTTCACGCCACATACCAATCTTGTCACCCAACAATCTGGCACTGTCAATCAAACCTGATCAAATTAACTACGTCAAACTTCACTGACTGAGCTTCGCGGCGACTCACAGTTGTTTTCGAATGGTACATGTTTCTATTTGATGCCGGCGAAAATACCACAAGATTCATGTAGGAAACAAGACTACGCAACCTTGAAATTCAACGGCAAGTCTAAAGGTGATTTTATTATCTAAGAATGACGTTGATTTTGGTGATTTTCTGTATCTGACTGCGTTTATGGCCATTGCCACATCCGCTTCCTAAAGGATAACTAATGCATGGCTTAAGATCACACTTCGGCAGATACACTGAAAATATTGCTTGGGAGTTTTTCCTAGTGGTGGGAGTTTCTTTCGAGCTTAGAGGCTAAATGAGGAACACACGGGTCTTCAAAATTCGTGTCAAAGTGACAGATACTCTATTATTTACTAGCGTCGGCCATTTTCGTATATCAAGTACGAGTACAGCTGCCTCTTGTGTTGCACCGTTGAACGCCATCCTCTGGATAGTTAGGAGTCAAGTTGAAGATAGCACAGTTTAAAAGGGGCCAGAGTCTAGACTAATCGTTTTTTTGAGAACAAATTTGCTGTTACCTACGTCATGTAGGACTGCTATTTTAATGTTCAATTGTTTTGTCTTCAATGATTTGTCTGAAGCCCCGGCGATCCTCTTCGACGGCCTGGAATAGTTGTCCATCATGAATTACTCTTATCATAAAGAAGAACTAGACATAGTATATTCTGATGTGAAATCTAATAACAATAAGCAAACAATAAACTTATCTTTTGTGGCATTAATGCATTTTCTAACCATTGATACCAGTAATGGTTGAATTTCTCATGGTTAATGCCAAATTCGAGCGATCCTATAATGTCAGGTAATGAACAGAACTTGGCTTCGACGAGTTCAATTAACACATGTTTTTATCTTACAAATAAACAAAAAAAATCCATCACGCAACTTGAAATTATCGATTTTGGCTGAGCAAAATTGGACTCGGTAGGTTAAGAGGTTAGCGAGGTTTCGGTTTCAAGAAACTTAAGCTTTATAAAAATCTTAGTCTTACTTTACTTTGATGATGTACGAAATTCGAATTAAATGACACACATCACGCTACCTTGTAACGAAGGAAAATTCTTTTCGGCTTCGCTTGGTCGTGTACTATGCGGAATTTACCATCCATGGCGTAAAAAGGAAAGGAAACGAGGTTTATTAATGAGTTTAACGTTTGTTTAAATATTGGAGGATTTGGGTAAAATGTAAGTACAGAGATTAACAGAGATATTTCTTTGATTTCCTTAGGTAATACCGATAAAAGACGCTATGCAAGACTCAAGGCATTCCTATCTTCCCAGCATCGTTGTAATGTTATTTCTCACGAGATTAGGTAAGGCTCTCTTTATTTGTAATGTAGTAACTTTTGCTACGATATGTTGTTTGAATACAGGAACACACATTCGGAGTAAATAGGGTTTTGGCTAATTTGTAATGTTCTAAAGGAATTTTGCAGAAATCTGTTTAATATTGTCGCGTGTCGCTTTCAGATTATACAGTTCGTGTTCATAGTTCCTTCATTTAATCCTCGTTCTGTGATAAAATTCGTTTCATAAGGGCTCGTGAGATAAGGTGATACCATTTGAAGCCGATTGTTTTAAAAGAATTCTCTGGCGCTTGGCTCCTGGCACGCGTTCAAGTTTTAGCCGCAGATAAAATTTACTGTGATCGCCGCTGTTACTTATAACCTCCAACACGTATATAAAAAATGTTTCGTTTCATATTCAATAGAAATGTGTTTTATCATAATAGCTTTGTGCTCCCTCAACAAACCAATATATAACTAAAACTATTTAACCTTTTCAACTGATTATTGTAATTTCATTAGGGTTTGTGGTTATTATTTGCTAAACGTGCTGTTCAGCTTTACTTGTTCCAAATTTCCTTTGAGGCGCTAACGCGGTTGGGGTAATCCAAAAGCTTTGTTAAATTAACATATCATTTTCTATTCCTTGTTTGAAATAAAGGAAAGTTTCTAAATACTAACTCAATCTCTCATATATATAATATGCTGTTATTTGACAAAAAAATTACTTTACCCTCAAAAAGTAAGTACTTTTGTTTTAAGGAGAACAAAAGTACAACAGCTATCGGCAAAGAATGTTTTTGAACAGATATGTTAGGATATTTCCTTGTAATTATAGTCCTTTCAAAGCCAGTGTGTAGTGACAGGTGTTTTCCAGCTGTTTGGGAATTAACAAGAAGTATCCAATCATAATACACTCCATGGGCCAAATTTCATCAAATGGTTGAGTAACATATTTAAGAATTTGATATGACTCTTCTATTATTTCACCAAGACTTGAATTTTATGTTAATAAAAGGTACAGGTTTAACCTGTGGACTAAATTAAAACAGGAAGACTAGATGATTTAGAAGTCCCCCATTTCACCCGTGTGAAAAATTGACAAATTATCAAGATAAGGGCATGGAAATGGATTGTAAGTGGGTGTGAATGGAAGAGCCCAAACCAGATGTCGTATAGCATACTATGTCAGAGGATTGTTTTGATATATTTTCCTCAGTATTGTGTTTGTTACTCCTCTATGAACATGTCTTATTTTCAGATTGCAAGTTATAGATTTAAGTCTCAATCAAGGTATTCTTGACCAAAAGGTAACATTGTATTATTGTTTTCCGGAAGCAAAATTGTCAAACATATCTTTCCAGCTTCCATTTCTTAAATGATAATAATTATATTTAGAATAATAATGAATCTTTACTTATTTGATAAAACTTGATCAAATATTAAAATACATAATTAACTAAAATATTTCAAAATAATCGCTTGCAATATAAAAATGTGCTTATTTAAATCTAAAAACCTATTTACTACAAAATCTATTTTTAAAACATTTCTTTTGTATTTTTAGAAGTTAACAAGAGCTATTTTAATCACACAAAGCTGCAGACTGATACCTGGACTTGATCAAAATAATTTTTAGCCTTTGTCGGCTTGTGTTTTTTATGATGGGCTACCAAAAAAGTACTAGGAGAACACTGATTTTTAGGATACTAAGGAAGGATAAATACAGACAGACTGGTCTGGTTGCATAATTCAATTACAGACTAAATTTTAAGGCTCTTAGAACAAGTAGAGGTCAAAAAAAAGAACAAGCCATGTCTAAATTGGTATCCTTTGGTTTAATTTAGAGTTTACCAGAACATTTCAATGTGTGTCATAAGGAAGTCTTCTCACACATCATTATTTTTATGATTTTATGTCAATTTGTTAAAGTTAGATTGAATGTCAAAAGTATACCATGGCCATATATGGTATCAGACTTGCAGAGACTGAACTTTGTTTTTGGAAATTTACCAGGCTTTTAATCTGTATGGACATGCAGTTGGTGAACACTTTGTAAAAATCAGTACTATTATAAGTGAATCAGTCAATCAATCATCGATTCTGTATCGAGGCGGTACTTACCAAACCACACGCAATGTAAGTGAGTGCGGCACATGCCTGTGGATCACAGGTGTCAAGGACATGCACATAAGACACTTTTTCATGCATGACCTGGAGACAACTGAGGATTATTTGATGTTAAAAAAACCATAATCCGAAAAAAGAGTGCATTCAGTCAAGTGAATGGTGCCAGGGCTTTGATTCAGGTACCAGTATTGCTGATCCAAAGTCATGCATTTTCCTGTCTCTCTTTGCCAAGGAATTTTTTAAGGAAAAATTCATCAGATTTGCAACATACAGGCATTAAATACCTTTCAATAGTTAATTACCATCTTCAGGATGTTGAAAATTTGCTGTCATTGCTAATTTTTCAGGTGTCAAACATCATGTCAGGGCTTCATTTCACAGCTTGCAATGCACATCACTCAATGTATATTGAAGTGCTCTATTCATGTGATCGAAATTCAGTTATATTATTCATGAAATTGACAGCTGTAATTTATCCATATGAATACTTGTGTTTCTTAAATTTTGAATGTCGCAATTTGTAGGGATAGAAAGAATGGTGCCCATTTGGCCGTTGTAGAAGCCAGAATAACAAAAAAAAAAAGCATTTGCTGCATCCATAATTTTTAGGTTAGCGACAACTAAGGAATGTAAGAAAGAAAAAAAAAATGGCTTGCATACCTTCAAATTAAAGAGATCTGTCTTTTAAGTTGTAATTTCCGGCTTCCAAGCATACAGTGTTTGTAATGATTTCCGTGAGTTTTGCCATGTTTGGAAAAATGAAAACAAATTTGTGAAGCTCTTCTGTCTTGTTGTCAGGAAATCCCTACTTTCTTAGGGTAACAGCTTAAATAGTCATGTGGCATTTGAACAAGATGCCTCCATGATTCAACATCTGGCAAGGATACATTGCATTCGGCATCCTTTGAAATTTGCAACTTTGCCAATGTGGCAAATTGCATTTTCAGAATGATCGCAACTCATCAGAATTTTTAGGGGAGAAATCAAGGCAGCATTGATAGGAAAATCAGACTTGTCTGACTTACGACAAGTTGGTAGGTATGTTCAAGCCTGCAAGTAATTTTTGTCTTTTGCAATTCTCCAAGCCACTGAGTTGTTTTTAGTGGGCAAGACATTGTTCAACTCAATGTTTGAATTGTAACTGTAATTGGAAAGTGGAATGAATACCAGACCCTTCCTTGTTGGATCTTTATTTGACATTTAGACTGCAATTCTGTTAGTCTTCATCAAGCAATAAGGGCGATTGTTTATGTGCAGCCATTTGTAGCATGTTGGTTCACTGCTATTGGTGCATTTTGATCCTCACAAATAGCGACATGCAAATAATCAACCTCATTACCTGATGAAGACTAGCAGTATTGCAGTCTAAATGTTGCAATCAACATCCAAAGTGACTCCATTGTGAGACAAACAAATAAAGTTCATCTCCTATCTTACACCACAATGAACAATAAACACATTTTAATTGACATATTTTTTGTATTGTGATCACCATGGTAAGAGTGTTTGATCTAGCCAAATGTTTGCTCATCAAAACCAGAAGTTTATGGGATATTTGTTTGTTGACTGGCTTTTATTTGCTGGCTTTATAAACAAAATACTTGAATGAACAAATATGAACATATTCTGTACTTGTCATTGACTTTCAGGGGCCTCACAGAACGTAGACAATGATGTTGCCTCAGAAACCATGCCTGGTCCCAATAACAAAGAAGCTGATGACTTTTTAAAAGGGCTTTTGCAAAAGCCCAACTCCAAAGGAAGTCCCAAATACCATATGTCATCAGCTGATGAGTTGAATGAAGTGGTCAACACAAGATTCAGGAAAGAAATGGTTGTGTTGTTCTCAAGGCTTTCTGAGACTTACCAATGTAAAATACTTTCGGCTGTGCAGAAAAAAACACACTGTAGTATGCCATCTCTCATTAAACCTCTTTCCAACCTGACAGAGATGAAGCATCCTGTAAATGTCAGCTGTCTTCTCAAGGGAAAAATGAAACTGAAGGAATGTAGCTTTGCTCATAAAACTTTCATTGGTGATGTCTTCAGCCACAAGCTTTTGGATTTCTTTGCATCACTTCCGGCTGCTTTTAAATGCCATGTTATTAACACCATTGCATTGGCATACAACAGGCAGCGTAGACGACATCTTGCATCTTCCATCTCTGTCAGTCAAGTTCAAAAAGCTCTAGAGGACATCTTTCCATCTGTTACACTGGGGAACACTTGTGCTGATATAGAAATGGATCACTTAATACCATCAATTCCTCCAGTCAATATCACAGTGAATATGGTAGGCATTGAGAGGGAGTCCTGGCTAAAGCATTTCTCAAAGACAGGTCCTGATATCTACAAGGCATTCCTAGGGTATGACTGGGAGACTCGACGAGGAAAAATGCTCGGTTCTCCAAGCACTGCTAAATATTTAGCAGAGAAGACAGAAGAGATAAACAGCGCTCAGCTTTCCATTGTAGGAAAAGATGGTCATGATGTTGCTTTTTCAGTACTGTTTTTATTAAAAGTGAAGAGGAAGCAATCCGAGCGATTGCGTGAGATACGGTCAACTTACAAGATTGTACAGGCTTTAAAAACAAAGACTGAGGATGAGCTACAGGAAATTTTCAATGCAACCATCATTAACATTGGTTTAAGTGGACAGAAGTCTAACATAACCAAAACCTCATCAAAAACCAACACTTGGACACTGAATCAAGTTAGCAAAGCAAAGCGTTTGTTTCCAGTTCACTTGTCTGGATATTACAAGGAACTGAGTAAAGCAGCGAGGTGTTTCATTGTGCTTTACATGTCACATCAAATCAAGAAGAGTCCCCAAGAAGCTGAAATGTTCTATGTCTCTTTGAGGCTTATATCAAGGAAGCACACATGTTATTATACTTGGAGAAAAGGCCCTACTGATGATCCTGGCAGCATAATACCTGAGCGTTTTACCGCAAAAGTGACGCAGGCTCCAGTCTCGAATAGCACAGGAATACCAACAAATGCCACAATTAGCACTCTTAGTGCGAATACCATAAATGATGTTTCTGCCGCTAAGGTCCATACAGATGACTTCTCTTCTTTGGAAATTGTACTTTTTGCACTGCTAGGATTTCTTTGTTTTTCTGTTTTGGCGTTTACAGTTAACTGTGTATTAATGGCTGTCAGAGCAAATGGAAGATTTCAAAAGAATGGTGCTGCAAAAACTGTGCTTCCAACTGGGATGAGTCATGAAGATGGTACAAGTCATGGTGGAAATGGTTCTTCTCGGATTTCTGAAAAGAAAGAGAGTTCTCATCTTCCTGTTGCAGTGGAAACTAAAACAGGCCTTGGCAAGATTTGTAAAAGTTTGCAGTGTGTTTCTCTTTCAGCATCACAGAAAGCTAATGACAGACTCAAAGTAAGAACTTGTTTATCTCAAAGCTGTCCTAGTGCTCAAAACACCTCAGAAAATAGAACAAACCCTAGGATTCGCTCAGAAAATGCGTATTGTGTGGGTTATTCAGCAAAATCAAAAACATTCAAGACATTGTCAGGTGTAGAAAGAGACAGAGAAAGGAAAGACTCTTCATCAGAATCAGAGAGAAGGTCCTTGAAGTGTGACACTCAAAGCTCCAAGAGAGAGCTTGATATTCACAGTATGAAGGACAATGATAGAATTTTAGAGTCGCAAGGTAGAGCCATAAGTTACTGTAGTATATCTGATGCAAGTTGCAGAGGACAGCCACCTTGTGTTACACAAAGTGGTTGTCTGCCATCAGAACAATCCCATGAAACAGTTGTTGTTTTGTTAGATTGTGCAGGATTGAAGGAAGCGCAGGTTTGACCCTGGCCGGCCCCACTGTCACTGCTGGAATCATTGCTATATTTAATGAGATTGTTGAAATATAAATTTAATTATTTAATTATAACGTACTTGACCTTGTTGGTACAATTAAGGAAAGCTGCCAGACCCTTTTATCCAACAGATGTATACTCTTTTGAAGGTCAAATTGGTCCTAAATGTTTTTTTTAACTTCAATGTGGCAAGATTTTTACTCAGTGCTTGGGCCTTTAGTTCATTATCTTAGAATGAATGAGGTGAGTTTCATTTGCACAAAAAGTTCTCTGTGGATCCAACAATATGACTTTATTGACAAGAAAGAAAGAAAATAATTTAAAAACTTGTCACTACTTTACTCAATGGCCAATTCTTTGTTTGGAAATTGTTTCCCCAATTAAGGCCAAGAATAGTTAAATTTATTACCCTCTTGCAAAGATTGGTTCTTGGAGTATTGTCTAATATCCATTACATTATATCTCCATGTAAGGTTTTGGTCTGAGAATGATCAACAGGGGGGAGGGGTGTGGTAGAGAGCCATGAGCTTCACCTCCATCACCCACCTCTTCCTTTCTTGACATCACCTGTCAGATCTCAAGGTAATATTTAATTTTTTTTTATTTGTAAACCAAAGGAATGTTTAAAATGTATTATCAGTAAAGTTTTAGTAATTGTTGTGAAACTTTTTTAAATACTAAATGTTTATTCAGAACTCCAAGACCATCTCTAGTGATTGTCTCCCACACTATTCTGCCATTCTTGGTGGCAGCAGCATTCCATTACAAGCCAGCTGTTGTTTTACTTGTTTGTACCAGCCAAATTTAGTAAACCACGGCAATAACAAGCCATTTTTTCATCCGGTATGGATTAGGGAAGATTTAGTCTAATTTGGTTTTATTTTTTTCTGCAATCAGCTACAATCACCTTTACTTCTCTTCATTAACTTTTTTTTGTTTTCTTGGATTGTTATCTTCTCTTGGATTATTATTTCTAGTAAATGTAGCCAGTATGGCCCCTTGCACTTGTGGTTGTGAGTCATTTTATTGTAGTCATCTTGCCCCCAAACTGTATGACCTTGCCTTAAGTGTAGTCAATGTTGCCTCACATGAAACTAAATGAAGTTATCAATTTTTTCACTCAGTGATGCAACAAACTTGTCACCACTTGCCACCAAATGGCTATCACTGGTATGATTACAGACTGAATTGGACTCCAGTCAGTCCTATCACCATTCCAAATTGGACTCCACTTTATAGTCTTACTATAAGCTTTTCCTTAGTAGCTATCTTAGTGGAATTTATTGGCCTCAAGTGTCAAAAGCTATGGTGATCCTTAGGCTGTGTTTTTACACAGATAAAACCTTTTATTTTTGTAGCATTTCTCTCACATGTGCCAGCAGGATAAAATATCAGGAAGACGCCAGCAAAAAGATTAAACACACTGTAATGCTACTTTACAGAAATCATATCTGTAAATAAGTGTCTCAGTTGTAAGGGTTAAAATCAGATCTAGAGTCAGAGTAACCTAATCATTATGAAATTGTCTCTAAAATGTTTAAAACTTGATCCTGTATGTCCTCACTTTGAAGGCACTTCAGTACTCTAGGTGCTCAAACACAGCTCCCTCTGTTGATTGTTCGAACAGATCACTAAGAGATGGACAAAAGAGGAGTGATACTTTCTCATGTCTCATATTGGCCATGTTGCTATGGAAAACTCATGATGGTTACCGCTGTAGACAAATTTTAAGCTCATTTTAAAATAAAATTTGAAAATATAGACCACTCTCAAGAAATGCAAAACTATGTCAATACCATAATTATGGGGGTTAGGAATGGCAAGCGGTGAGAGCACTCGCCTCCCACTGCTGTGGTTCATATTTCATGTCTGAGTTTGTTGCAGGTTTTCATCCTCTAAGGGTTTTTCTCCAGATCCTTTGGTTTTCCTCCATCCTTAAAAACCAACATTCAAAATTCCAATTCTTGCGGGAAACGGTGGAAAAGAAGAGCCGCCTTGAAGAGTGTCCACTGTTAAATTCCCATTTCCCATTATTGTAACATTCTTTGAACCCTTAAAATCCTAAGGGTGACCAGCATGTGAATTCTCCTTACAATAATACTATTGAACCATTCATTCAAATCATGGGAATAAAGAAAATGATCACCAACCCAGAAAGCTAAGATCAGTAAACAAATTCTCCTTGTCAGTACTAAAAGAAATGTATAGCAAAGAGTATAATGAATGTGGATACTGATGCTGAAGAGTAAAGGGTGAGATAAAGGAGATATCAAAGATGTGTTTCCCAGAGTATATCTGTCCTCTTCCTGTGCCCTTAACCTGAAATGTGTTATCTGTCCTAAATATAATTGTGACCACCATTTTGTCTAAATGAAAGCTTCATTTGCATCTTTGTTATTTTTGTTGCAATATAAACCATATGCATATACTTCTAATAGATTAATAAAGCATGTCTAATATTTTCATAGCTAAATTTGCAAGTGTAGGGGGGGGGGGGAAAGAAGGGGAACAAAGAGGTACCTGTTACCTGTCTTAAAACTGTGAATACAATGTTGTTAACTTCTAAATTCCTAACTGCCATTTAAGAAACTTGTTTGATGTGAATGAAAAAAATAAAACAATATACATAAACCTATTAAATGAGGTAGAAACAGGCCTTTTTTGGCCAATTTCCATGCTTCAAGATTTTTTTTTAGATGGCAGGAGTAGCAGTTATGTTTTTGACCTAACAACTGAGGATTGATACAGCTCTAAAGTTTCCAGGTAAAAAGATTTATTATTTAAGAACTTGTACATCTTAGAGGAGCTCTTAAGTATTGTATTTTCTCAAAAATTAACACTCTGTAGGTTTTCCTTTGCCCCCTTCCAAATTTTAAAGGATCACCCTTTTGAGGGAGTAAACCCCCCTGACTCTTCATGACCCTGCTGAGAATCAGAGGATGAAGTTAACTTGCCACTGAAAATAAACAGTGTTAACTATCTTGAACAACTTGAATTCTTATCTCTCTTTATTAAATGTTTCCTTGTTTATGAGCAAATAATTGAGAACACCTGTGTCATGTGCTTAGATAGCTCTGCCGTTCAGCTTTGGCTGTTCGTATCACAGGTATAGTCCTTTTCTGGTTGAACTGAATGAGTTTGTATTTAACGGTAACAGTAAAGAAGACAATCAAAGTGACAAGTTGCAATCCAGCCAGCAAGAAGAAATAGTAGTTTAACTGGCCCTGTAGGGCTTTTTTAGAGTTTTGAGTAAAACTTGGAGTCCATGAATCTTTTCCCAGTGAACATAGTTCATATAAACCTCCTCCAAGTAAACTACCAAGTGACTGTGAAAAAAAGAACATTCCCATGACAAAACTTTGAGCAGACTTTGGGGCTTCTTTATAGGCAAACTCCAAGGCTGAAATTGAAACATTGGTGATTGTTAATATCAAGAACCTTCACAAGATTGTAAAGAAAGAAGTGATTAACACGTAACTTCTTCTCATGATATCCATACATTATCCAGCAAACAGGTAATGAGAATACTCAAACTTATCAGGTAGAAGTTGTTATCTTGATCTCACACCAAATTCTTGTAACTTATTTAAAGGAAATGTCTGGCAGCTGGAAGGGAGAATTGAAAATCTGATCGTGGGAGATAAAGGGTTAATGAAAATGAAAAACAGCTCAGATTCCATTGAAGTGCAAGTGACAAGAAAGTCACAATAAATGCATGAGAAATGTCATTCAACTGAAGGGAAAAGCTTAAAGTTCTGGTAAGTCACAAGGTTGCCATAGTGGATTTCAAGATAGTGGGTTGTGCTGTAGACCTATAAACATACTGGACACCATTAATCCTTAACCTTCATAGGGTTACTTGCATCTAATTTCTCACTAAAATACTGAATCAAACATTAGGCTTATCAGAATTATAGAAATGATTGGAAATGTGAAAAGCTATCTGCTGATGGTAAAGGTTGGTGTAAAGGGTTAAGATTGCAAAGAGAGTTACTTGCACCAACAAACTTCACAAAGGATATTTTAGGAAACTTGAGAAGAGGTTCAAAATTGGCCTCATTAATAATGGCACCACCTCCCCCGCTGCCCAAGTTTCAGAATGCTCTGCACCATCTCTGACTGTGTTACTTACCTCCCACACTTGCAAACACTTCACTGATACCAATCAGGGCATACTGAGGAATTTGGTAGTAGATTTCCAAACAAGCAGTGTAGTTTCTATCATCAATTGTCTGATTCTCACAGTGATGTGAATCCTGTACTTTCAACCTGGCAGTCTCAACTCCACCAGCCACTATCATTGATGCAACCGCAAAGAACATCCCTTAAATGGTAAAATTAGATTTTTTATCAGTGAGTCCATAAATGAACAAATGAAGGAGGCCCTTAGTGAATTTTGATGGAAAATATAATTCTCCTTTAGTGTCACAAGATAAAATAAGACACTTTGAGGGGAGAATTTACCATTGATATCTGCCAGAAGCCACAATGGGCTTTTTCCATACCCCTTCTTTTATAAAACACTTCCATCCAGTTCTCTGTACATGTAGCTGTCAGAATATGTTTCTTGTTTTGAACATTCCTCTTCTTTCTGGAAATTCCTTAGAAGGTATAGCATCTAATAACATTTAACCAAAGTGAAATTTCAAGAGATTATTAAATGTCAGTATCTGAGAAACTACTCAACTACCCCTCCCCAGTCAACTGATAACAAGTTCAGGTTAATGTTGGGTTAGGGGAAGGGTAGGTGTGCAGTTGCTCAGACACTGAATTTGTTGCAAATGACCAGCTATCTTTGTTACCCTTTCACTCTCAGGACTGATTTATATTGTCAATATATATGTCATGCAGAAAGGTTGTAAGAAGAAAGAAAAATATCAACTGGAAGATTTAACCCTTTACACCCAAACATCAGGATGTATATTCTCCAAACTGTTTTCTATACATTTCCTTGGGTTCAGACAAGGAGAATTTGTACAACAATCAAGATCTTCTATAGTTGGTGATCACTCCTTTATTCTCCTGACCTTAATGTTTGATTCAGAGGTGATATGGTAAGGAGAAATTAGATGCCAGTCGCTCTTAGGGTTAAAGGGTTGATTTGATTGAACACAAAATTCTTAGAGATAATATCATAATTAAAAAGTGTGTGTCGGGAAGAATTAAGGCGGAGAATGCTGTGAAGGGAGGGGACCTGCAATAATCACATTCCTAACCAAAAGTACTTAAAACCTTTAACTCCCACATGTGATAAACATGTAACTTCTCACTACAACATCTATACATTACCCAGCAAACAGGTAACGAGAATACTCAAACTTATCAGGTAAGAAATTGTTATCTCGATCTAACCCCTAATTTGGAAAACTAATTTACAAGGAAATGTGAAGTGGTTAGTGGAGAGAATTTACAATCAGATTTTAGGAATTAAAGGGTCAAGATTTCTTGTCCAGTTCTGTTAAAACTTAGTTCAAACATTTGCTGGAAAATTTATTCATAACCAAATAGATTGCAAATTTAACATGAGCAAGGTAGTACATTTCTGCAGAAAACAGTTGTGAGTTCAAAATTTCATTGTACATCTAGCACAAATCATCATACTTACCAATTGAAATTCTATTAAAAACGCTTAGCTTCCATCCCTTTCTATCCAGCCATGGATAAATAATTTTATCCATAAGAGGAATTAAGATCAAAACGAAGAGGACATCTGCCAGTGAGAGTGAAGCTGGAGGAATCACTGCAAGGTCTGAGTGACTGTCTTTATCCTCTTGTAAAGCAATTTTCATGTGCAATCCTTGGAGCAAGAAGGTTGAATTCATCTAAAAAGGTACGCATTTAAATAATTTCACTAGGTAATGGCAACTTGATCTGAGTTCAAGGGCTAAATTTTTTAATTTTTCATTGTCTTTTATCATCTCTACACAGCACAGAAAAGAGACTCATTGGGTAAACAGCATTTCCTTCGTAAAACACAAAAATTCTCATGACTTATTCAATATTGTGATGTTTAGAACCTGGAGGGGAGAATTAACAATCAGTTCTTTGAATACGCTTTATGAGCTCAAGTTTTTGTGAAGGGGCAAATGGAAATAAGCTCTCACTGACACCTGATCAACTGCAGAATTCTCCTTTTGAATCGTCTTGTATTCTCTTGTGAAACAGAAGGAGATGATATTGCAGCAAAAGTCACATAGGACTTTCATGTACTGACCCCATCTAATTTGAATTTATAAGCAGGTGAATTCAAATAAGGTAACTTAAAATTATTATTTTTTTAATTTGGACCATGGACTAGATAATCAGTGACTTTTATCCACTTGAGACAAAATATCACACAACTATAAATGATAAGCATCATTTAAACAATTTGGAATCAGAACCTGGAAATAAATCACCCAATATGGAATGAGTATGGCAAAAATAACCATGATCTTTAAAATTGTCTTAACTTCTTCTACATCAGTATCCAAAAAGCTTCCACCATATTTCATCATAGCACGATCCAGCCAGCTTTTCCTTGGCATGTACTCCTCCATATCAGGATAATAATGTGCACTTTCACTATTCCGTGCCCTAAAAGGAAATGTAATCAACTTGTAGAGAGTCTCTCATCCAGCCACATTCATCCACATGTAGTTTTTTTTGACTAAGCAGAAACATTTTCAACCATTTAAAGCAGCTATCTTTTCTATCAGGATGTTCATTATAAACCAACACAACAAGGGCTATTCCAAAAAGTTTTGATAGAGGGGGGATGCAGGCAAACTTGGATTCAGAAAACAGCCTTGGGTGCCTAAATAAGCCAATATTTCACAACTAGTACATCATGATTAATTCCTGTTGATTAGTAACATGAGATCCTGCCCTTGCAAGAATTTTGGCATCATTCAGCTAGTCCAAAAACCCACAGGACTGATAAAGGGGATCTGAACCCCTGTCCAACCACCCTCCCTGCAGTGGATTAGAAAAACCCACAAGTATAATAGAGGGGTTTGAACCCCTGTCCAACCTCCCCCTTCTTGGATCCTCCAATGCAGAGGAGAGGAGAGGCACTAAACTGCTTTTACTAAGTACAAACTTGTATTCATATGCAAACATATCCTAACCTATAATCTAGAGAATCAACTTTTCCAACATTCTCTACCATGATAGGTTATCAGCGGACTGATTTGAGTACCAATGGAGAAGTGCATGTGTTATCCTTGTAAATCAGGTCAGCAAACAAGGAGAGGTCAAGTGTTATACCAGTGCAATTGCACAGTAGGTCTCATTAACAGACTTCGATGGGTTCAATTTCTTGCAGTTAACTATTATGTTTTTGTTAATAAATTAATTCAATTTCATCTCTTACATTTTGTCATAGTCTAACGAAGTGTGTCCAATAGTATTAATTCATTGATTGATGACAGGAACAGGTGTAATCCGATTTTGTCTATAATCACACTCATGATAAACAATAAACATAAAGAATCCAGAATCATGTTCACTTGAATTAATGCAATTAAATTGGACTCCACTCTGTCCTGTCATTGGTACTGGTGGTTAATTTGCCTAGCATGGGTTGCCCCTACCTGAATATTTAACAATTATTTGTAAAAGTAGAGATGGGTGTTAGTAGATCTTTACCAAACTGTGAAGTGGCAATCCATTGCTAGCCAGCAACACTGAGGTGAGTGGTTGTTTTAGTGTATATATATATATGTATACACACACACATACATATATATACATACACACATATATATATGTATGTATATATATATTGTGGGAGGAAAAAGACAAATAGACTACCAGTTCATCCCTACAGACCTGTTTCGTGGTTGCCCACTCATCAGTGGATTTGTATGTATATATATACACACATACATAAATATTATGAGAGGAAAAAAGGACGCAACTACATTTCCTGACAAGCCTGTTTCGTGAATTGCTTCACTCTTCAGGGGTTTAATGAAAGAATATTCATGTGACTATCGTGTATATACTAGGAAAATTTACATAATATGCGGTAAACTTAAAAACTTTAAAGATCAGCTGTTGCGTAGCAACGCTTTGTTTCTGTGTTGGCATGAAGATACGAGTTCGTTACGCTTATTAACGTATTGTATCTTCATGCCGACACAGAAACAAAGCATTGCTACGCAACAGCTGATCTTTAAAGTTTTTAAGTTTACCGCGTATTATGTAAATTTTCCTAGTATATACACGATAGTCACATGAATATTCTTTCATTAAACCCCTGAAGAGTGAAGCGATTCACGAAACAGGCTTGTCAGGAAATGTAGTTGCGTCCTTTTTTCCTCTCATAATATTTATTCTGCTCTGCTTCAACGTATTGAGCACTGTTCCACGCGAAAATCGACTTGCAGACTTCCTACATACATACATACATATATATATATAATGTTTGAATAGCCAATCAGAGGGCAACTTCAACGCCATACACCGTTTCAGTACATACTACATCTCATTATTAAAAACTGGATCATTGGATAATACAGTTCAAGAGTTTTCATTGGCTTAGCCATCATGGGTTATGAACCATTATACTATGCTGGGAACATTTATCTATATTTTTGGATGTTTTTAATAAAACAACTATTTAACTCGCACTGGTTGGATTTCAGAGGCCCTTATCTATCAAATCATATCCAACGTGGGCTCGTGGAATAATTGATCAATACACCTTAATGGGAAGCCTGGATGATAAAGGTAAACATACCTTGTAGATTCTTCTTTTTTAATGCGCTTTGCTTCCTTTATAATGTTACACATCTTCATCAAAATGTGTCCAGTCGGTGGATAGGAAATATAACGAGTTCTACAGATGCAAAAAACTACCGCAGCCAAAGCAATGCAACCAAACAAGCAGATGAACCCAATTCCGAAGTTAAAAACCTGCTCGACGTATGCAATACCAGAAAAGCCCGTGAAAGAACCAAGGTTTATACACCAGTAAAACCAATTGAAAAACTTCCGATATCTGTTGTCATCCTGGCCTCTTAGCTGATCGCCTCCAAACGCTGTTACATTCGCTTTGTAGACACCTTCTCCGATGGAAACAACTATCAAAGCGAACACAACTAAAATTTTACAATCTAGAAGACAATTCTTACTCCCGCGACTGAAATAAGTCGATCCCAAAATTGCACAGACGCCAACGATGTATATAAGAAGACTTCCCCATACTGCGTTATAACGACCGCTGTAGGAATCTCCAACAATGCCTCCTACAGTCGACATCATCCAAGCCATACCGGTGAAAACGAACACAAGGCCAACAGACGCAGATGGGCTAAATTCAGAATCGTTCATAAGGAAAATAAGAAGGTTCGCCAAGATTCCATAATACGTGACCCTTTCGAGAACAACAGTAGTTAGCACGCACGCCAGAGGAAAGAACGAAGACTGTGTTTGTATCTGGGTTGGTTGTGGTCTCTGCAGCGCTTCTGTTGGATGTTGGAGATGACTACCCATACTTCTGTTTAAAACATCACTCGAAGTGGAAATCGACCGCATCAGCGGAGTTTTTTCGTCTATTCCTGGTGTAGAACTCATTTCTGGAGGAAACGTTCTCAAACTCATTGGATTCAAAGGGGATGTTGAGAAGAACAAGACTTAAGAAGGAAAACACAGTATACTGATCTCGTGACTATGACTTGCGTTTTAAGTCACATGATCGTGACGGAAATTGTGAAAGTATGTCATGACAACTTGCGTGACAAAGCGTAAATAATCATTACATCATTCTTAACCGTTACGGGTTCCTGTAATGTACTGATCAATTCTTTTCTTATCTGGGCTTGGTGTAACACACGACTGAACATGGCATTATTTACAAACGATGACAGGATTTCTTTGAATACCAGCCATACCCAATCGTTTATGTTTTTCTAATTTTTAAATATTAAAATATTATACTTGAGCAATCCCAATCACATGCAACTAACAGTAGTTCGTCATAGTAACATTTTGCAAAAGCCTCGTCAAAATGATGTTAGAGTTGACCTTGCGCTGCCAAGGAGAATTTTTTGCATCTGAAATTCTTACTCTTGTTCCTACTGTTGTAATCTTGTAACTTGTTTGGAAAGTATAAGCTCATCAGTTGGCCAAAATACTGTTTTGCCTATTTCTATCGATAGGAGACTTGAGATTTACAAGAAAGAGAATCGACAAACCACTCTGGTAGTAATTGTTCAGTGACCTTCAGTGGTATTGATCTTTCAGACGGATTTGCAGAAAGTTTGAGCCATCAGAGGTAGGTAGGTAGGTCTGGGTACTCGAGCTATATGGCCCATTCAGCTGGTGCTTATTGCGGTTTCCTTTGCATGAAGTGTATGGATTGAAAGACTTAGTTTACTCAGTAGTTCTTCCAGTTTACAGCAAATCATTGTTAAGTAATTGTCATGACAGGTTGCTTGAGCTTCGTCCTTCATGAAAGCTGCAGTCATTGCTATCAGTTAACCCTTTAACTCTAGAGAGTGATGAGCATCTAATATCTCCTACCAGTATCACCCCTGAATCACACATTAACCTTTAAACCCCTAAGAGTGACAAGCATCTAATTTCTGCCTACAATATCACCTCTTATTCACATATTCAGCTCACCGGAATAAAGGAAATGATTATCAAGTAAAAGGAGCTCATGATTGTTAAACAAAGTCTCCTTGTCGGTACCTTTGGAAATTTATAGAGAACAGTATGGAGAATTTGCAAACTAATGTTAGGGTGTAAAGGGCTAAAAAAAAAATGGATTCTAACTAAAGAAGCTTTGATTGTTACACAAATTCCACTTGTGAGTACCTTAGGAAATGTATAGAGGTCAGTATGGAGAACTTACATGTTGATGTTAGGTAGTAAAGGGTTTAGTCTCAATGATTCCAAGAGCTAAGTACCAAGGAGCTAACTTTGCCAACAGATCAAAACTGTCTGAGGAACACTGACATATGCTAGTCAAGTCTTACAGCCCATAACAACTTGGAAAAACTGACTTCTAGCACTTCTCCTTGGTAATACTGATTTCCAATCAGACGAGTGAAATGTCATTTTTCTGTACAAAATCTGCTGTTAAAAGATGCCTTGACATCTTTGGTTAGAAGTCTTGCAAAATGCCCACCTCTCCACCTGCTTGTATCATATTTGGTATATGGAAATGTGTGCATCAGAGGATAAGAAATTTTCTTTTTATGGTTTATATGACAGTTTTCCAGACCACAGAATTGATAATGTATTTAGATACTTCTTGTGCATAATGAGCAATATGAGATGAAGCTGCTTGAGACACCAGAATCAAACAGCACAAAATCAAACAACTGTTTTAGAATGGCAGGAACTTTGACAGCTAATCTGATTGCTCTTTTAATTCACAATAGGTCAGTAATCATGGAAAAAAATCTGTCAAGTTAGCTGTTAACAAAAGCTAAACGTGAATTTCCTCAAGAAATTTGTTCTGGACTGTCTACTAAAAAAAATTCATTTTGTAAATTTTTCTTTTATCTTACCCTGCAGTAAACATGAGGAATGTCTGATTTATTTGCATGGGACTAAGAAGAAATTCTTAATGAGCTTTTGAGGACATGGACATAAACCTAAATCAAAGGGTCTATTTTTCTCATTAACAAAAATCAATTGTTTGAATATTCAGAGGGGAATTTCTCGGCCCACGAAAGGGCTATAACTTTGACACTCAATCAAAAAAGACAGCTGATCACGCTTTATCTTATACATTAAGAATTGTGCAGAAAATCTTCTTTTCGGCTAAGATATAAGCGCATGAATATTAAAACAAAAGAAATTGGTTAATTAGCTTTTGGGGACCTTAAGGTAACCCCAGTTCAAGATGTCTATTTTACTTATAAAAATTAAACAATTTCTAATGTTTAAACATTCAGGGAGGAATTTCTTAGCCCACGAAAGGGCTGTAACTTTGACACTCAATCAAAATAGACAGCTGATCGCGCTTTAACTAATACGTTAAGAATTGTTCTGAAAATCCTCTTTCAGCAAAGATATAAGCACAAGTATATCAAAACAAAAGAAATTGGTTAATGAGCTTTTAGCTCATTAACAAAATTCTATTATTTAAATATCCTGGGGAGATTTTCGCAGCCCATAAAGGAGCTGTAACTTTGACACTTGGCCGCAGTAGACAGCTAATCTCGTTCTTTCTAAAGCGTTATGAATTATCCATAAATATTCTTTTTGACGGAGATATAAGCGCATGAATATGAAAACAATTGAAATTGGTTAATGAGCTCTTGGGGAGATAGACACAACCCTAAATAAAACGGGCTATTTTTGATCATTAATTAAATTGTATTGTCTTAATATTCAGAGGTGATTTTCTTAGCCCAAGAGAGAGCTGTAAGCTTGACACTTAAGCACAAAAGACAGCTGATCACGCCCTTTTTAACGCGCTATGAATTGTCCTGGAAATCCTCTTTTTGATTGAGAGATGAGTTCATAAATATTGGAACAAAAGAAACTCGTTGATGAGCTTTTGAGGACATGGACATGAACTTAAACCAAAGGGAGTAGTTTGCTCTTTAACAAAATTCTATTATTTGAATATTCAGAGAGGAATTTCTCCACCCAGGAAAGAGCTGTAACTTTAACACTTAATTGCAATAGAAAGTTAATGAAGCTCCTTCTAATGCGCCATGAATTGTCCTGGAAATCCTCTTTTCGGCCAAGATAAAATATTTAAAACAAAAGAAAACGTTAATGAGCTCTTGTTAACACCTAACCCCTGATCAAGAGATCCACTTTGCTCATTAACAAAATTCTATCGTGTAAATATTCTGAGGGGATTTTCGCGGCCCATTAAGGAGCTGTGATTTTCACACTTGGCCGTAGTAGACAGATTATCCCGTTCTTCCTAAAGCGTTACGAATTATCCATAAATTCTCTTTTTGACTGAGATATAAGTGTACGAATATTGAAACAATATAATTTTGTCCATGAACTTTTGGGGACCTCGAGCAAACTCAAGCTGAAGGGTCACCTTTGCCATTAACAAAATTCTACTGTTTGAATATTCAGAGGGGATTTCATCAGCCCACAAAAGAACTGTGACTTTTACTCTTTCAGATAACAGACAGCTAATCATTCCCTTTTTAACGCGCTATGAATTATCATGGTAATCTTCCTTTTTGGCAGAGATATAAACGCACAAATATTGAAAGAATGGACACTCGTTCATAAACTTTTCGAGATATCAAGCCAATTAATTTAGTTTAAGAGGTAGCCTTTTGCTCATTTTGGGGGTTTTCTCAGCCAATCGAAGAGTTGTTACTTAAACAACTGCACACAGTAGACAGCTAAACGGGTTATTTTTAATTCCTTGAGTCGTTGTATCTTAAAGTTTCATGAAATATATAGATATATATACATTTTGGTTCAGAAACAAATTCGTTGTGTATTTCGAAGAGGAGCACACATTAGTTGGCATTACTACAGTTTAAGTTCTTTTTAAGATAAATAGACAATTGTTAGAATTGAAATTACTCCAACACTCGTTGTCTTGTTGTCTCTTTCTTTATTCTCTCTTACTACACAAGTTATTATAACGGGGACTAGCTCTGATCTCTCGAGGAAAGTGTGGGTCACCACTTATAAAGGTGACACTTATGGAGCATCTCTAAGCTTCGTCATGTTTTCACACTTAAATAGCGAATCACGTTAGGCTACGCAGAACGGAGTTCGAAAAACCAAGTAAATACCTTCGCGATGTTTACGCTTCACGAAATGTCTTTCTAACTTAAATTTCTTGGTCTTACAGTCAAGTTTGGGCAAAACAAAAACAAGATTGACAATATAAAAATTATAATAAACTTAGTAACAGAATTAAAATCAGACTTGAAAAGATATCTTAAAAGAAAATAGTCCTTGAAGGCTGTTGCATAACAGCAGAATAAACACAAAATTCGGAGATGAAAGGGCGTACCCAAGGTACCGTCCCTGAAAGAGCTACGTGCTAGTCGTATAAGTTATCTAATTACAAATTCAGTGCGGAAGATCAAAAGTACTAGATGTCTACACTTTAAGTCACCTCTAAGAAAAATAGGTTTCGAACGTGCTAAATTCAAAACTCAAAACTATTTTCCTGATCGGGAATTCGACATGGATTTAGCCTAAAAACGAGAGTATTAAATGGATGTAAGTATAAAGCAGGGTTATTTCCAGGATATTCCTGCACGGGATCAATTTTTATAGGGTAGAGTCATTTTCCCAGTAATTAATTACTTTTTTAGCAACATAATGGAAATATACCGGTATCTAGCCGCAAACCGCACTTTACGCAAAATATCTGTTTCCATGTCAATTTCACGATCACGATAAGGAAAAGGTGACCAAACACTATGTGTAAGGTAAGACCGCCAAAAGGAATAAGAAATGATCAACTGGCTTATTAAAATGTTTACTGAATGGCTCATGCAAATATGTTTATTTCGTCAATATAATGAATCATTAACTTGATTTTCCTGATTGATTTTGATTGACACTAGCTTATGTAATTAAGCCACGTGAATAGTTCAGTTTTCAGTTCAGATACTTAAGATTCGAAGATACGTACAAGTTCTGCTAACCTGTCTTGCTGACCCGTGTTCTGTTATACCCTGACCTGTTTCATCTGTTGCTGACCTGTCTGTACGTAGCTATACACCGTGAAACAATCCTACTAGACATCGTCATAGAAGTAAGTTCTCAGTGCTGTAATTCTATCTAATAGTTTTACTCGTGTGTTTATGAATCGATGGATCCTGTTCAATTTCTCAAATGTATCTCGTTCTTTCTTTAGATCGAATAATAATATATTGGAATAGATTATACGATTTGCGTAGCCTAGTTGGATTGCCTGTTTGGTTTTGTTGGACCAATGTTTTTTCCAGTTATTTTCCAACATTAATAAAGGAAACCCTTACAATGTTTTTAGATTAGATATATTTCTATTTTTTTATCGTTTAACACTATAAATGGTATGATAATAAGATAATAATCCTAATAATCCTATGAAATTCAAGAGAGCAAATTCGGTTAGAGAGACATTTTCAATTGACTGTCGAAACTAATTCGACAGGTTTTCTTCACTTCGTCCTCTGATTGATCCTTAGAGTTCGTGCCACTTTCCTAGCCAATCACATTCAAATCAAAAACTAATTGTGAGCCAATCATTCGCGCTTTCCCGCGCTTCAACAACTCGGTTGTTCTTACTTTGCATTCTTATCGGCCTACTGGAATATTTTTCTGCGTACTGTTAGCTGTTATTAATATTTAGGCTTTGGTTTTAGGACGCTCGATGAAAATGCGCTAATAACCAAATAGCAGCATAATAAAAACAAAACAGAAGAAAAAAACATGAGAATGTAAATTCTTCAATTAGTCCTGGGAAGGTAGGGCTTTGTAATTGCAAGGTCTCCTAGACAGAGGAAGAAAGGCTTGAAGGCTGTACTTATGGCATTACCCGGATGCAAACCCTTTGTGTATCAGCCTTTATAATTTAAGCCAGAATCAGTCGGTTACAAGCATAGCACATCTCTTTATCGCTACATTCTCACAAAGAGCACATAAATAAACCATAGTATAGTCGATAAAGGCAGGTTTTCTGCACAAATAACACATTACCAAGTTTGGCGGTCCTAGAAGGTTATGCGCATGACAAACCCTAGCAGCCTGCATGTCATTTCTCCAAGGCGTAAACCGACCACAGATGAAACACGAGTGCTCACTTAGAGCTCCACGTTTCATGTCGCAGAACCTACAGATGTGAACTTTGTGAGAGAAGGCGGTTCCTGGTAGGAGTCTCATGTCACAACGCAAATCCTGGAGGAGAAGACGAGCAGCTCACTATTAACCTTTTTGATCCCTAAGAGTGACTAGAATCTAATTTCTCCTTACAATATCACCCCTGAATCACATATTGAGGGCATGAGAAGAGTGGAAATGATCACCAACTTTGTTAAACGAATTCTCCCTGTCTACACTTCAGGAAATGCATGGAGAATAGTATGAATAATTTACATCTTGATGTTAAAATGTAAAGGGTTATGAGTTAAATAGCGTATGAGACATGCACTGTCAGGAAAATGAGCCCACGCTCCTTCCCCCCCCCCCTTTCTTCTAAGAGCAGCAATTAGTCACGTCACGTACCCTGACCTTCAACGGCCAAGCAGGTCTGGGCAGGTCAAGTCGGGCAGCATGAATACCTTATTCGAAAGAGCGGTAGAATTTGAGCCCATAACCTACAATCGTGACCAAACGTCCCAAAAGCTCGCAAACACACTCTAAATGACTCCAACTCACACATGTATACATAGATATTGCAGATAACATTTGTAGTGGTGCTGTAAATTAATTGATCTCTACCCACCCCCTCCCACCACCAACATTTGTAATGGTGCTTTCAATTGATCGACCTCTCCCTCTACCCAACCCCCTCCCACCACCAACATTTGTACTAGTGCTTTAACTTGATCGACCTCTCCCTCTACCCACTTCCCCCCCTACCATCAACATTTGTACCGGTGCTTCAAATTGATCGACCTCTCCCTCTACCCACCCCCCCTACTTCCACCACCAACATTTGTACCGGTGTTTTAAATTGATCGATCTCTCCCTCTACCCACCTCCCCCCCCTACTACCACCATCAACATTTGTAGTGGTGCTTCAAATTGATCGACCTCTCTTTCTATCCATCCCATCCCATCCCATCCCCTCCCACCACCACTAACAACAATGTTAAGAACGAAAGGAAAAGTTAGAGAGATTGAAATCATCTCCATTTGGGGGTGGGGGCGGGGGGAGGACAGCACCTCGAGTCGCGCTGAGAGTGCTTTTGCAAATGAATATGATTGACTTTTGTCTAAGAACGTAGCTCCAGTTGCTATCTCAACAACTATAAACTTTAAAACCCAACAGAGGATCAACCAGTTGATTTTCTATTTTAAAAATTTAAGTACTTTCTTTTATGGACTTTTCTCGTCCAACAGCAAGATTTTTTATAGATTTTCAAATTTCAAACTACCTCATAGTAGCGGTCTTTCCATTGTCCTGGTTTTCCAGAGCGCTTCTCGTTCCACAGAAATTCCAGCAGCCTTTTCCTTTTCCCAGCCAATTTAAGCTGTTCTGGTGCCATGAAGATCACTCGGTCTTTATCTTTACAGTGAAGTTCAAAGTAATCAGCAAGTTTCAAATGGAATTTTTTCTTTTCCTCAGAATCCTGGAGAATAGTTTCCAGGACAACCTGTAAAAATATATTAAAACACGAATTTTAAGAAATGTGGCAATTTATTTTCGACCAAACTTCGGACACGAATTTCTAAAATCGGACACAAGTGTCCAAAATTTACACACTACCGTCTGAAAACAGACCCTAGTGTCCAAAATCGGACAGTACCGGCCAAATTTGGATGTCGACATCCAAAATCTGATAATATTATCTGAAAACGGACGATTGAGTCCGAAATCGGGCGATGCTGTGTGAAATAAGGTTACTCACCTCTTGTATTGAAGCGTGGAAGAAATCAAGTCTTTCCTCTTCTCTTCTGCCAGCAATGTTTCTAAGAAAAGGTTTCAGTGTTCGACGCACTTGTGCCCAGACCATCATGGCCACAGCTTTGGAAAGGTCATCACTCAGGAGGTATTGGAGCTCTGTTTCACCCAAACCACCTCTGCTGCAAGCCAATAGTCCCAAAACCTTCAAGAAAAATAGAGAACGTTATTTTCGCTAAGTTTAATTTCATCAACATACTACTGCTTGGAAGGGATGAGAATAAAGATGTATGCATCACACTGGCTTTCTGTGCTTTAACCTCAACCACCCACACAGATACTCCGAAAAAAAAAAAGGGAGAAGCCAAAAGAACAACTTTTATGGGCAAGTTTCATTTTTAAAAAATTTATTTTACTCCAACGATTGACAAGGTCAGCAGCTTCTTGAAGGAGTGTTCTTAAGTAATATGACGTATGCCTATGGTGACAAGATGACGTCATAAATTTAACTTCTTGTCCTTCTGATTAGAGAAGAACAATCAAACACAAGTTTAAAGTTAAACGACTGATCGGCCACTGAATTCTAATCAGCTAGAGTGAGATACCTTTTGAATGTTGTCGTCTTCGTCCTCTGCTGTGAGCCTGTTCATTATAAACTCCAGAAGTTCTTTCAACGCAGACAAATTTTGCAAACTTTTGATGTGGTCAGTGATGGTCTCAAAAACTCCAAATACTCTAAGTTCCTCACAAGACAGTGATAGCCAAAGAGGGTTTGACGCCCCTTGAGATTTGATCAGCAGTTCCATCTGCTCCGCATCCAGTTTCTTGAAACATCAGACAAAATAGTTAATGATCACTAACAATCAAATGACGCTGAGTCAAAATAAAGCAGTTAGTTGCAACAGCCAATAAAAGAAACGTAAACATCGCAATGAACCAAAGGGAGCTCAAAGAAAGCATACGTGATACTTGCGCCATGCGCGGGAAAAAGCACGTTGTGATAACCTGATTGGTTTTGACTGAAGAGGTGTGACATGTTTTGAACCAAGTAGAGGGAATAAGCGACACTTGGTTTAACTTGACTTGTCTGTCTTAACATTATCTTTGTTAGGTCAAAATGCCAGGTATTGAATAGCACTGAACAATACCTTGTTGTATTTGCCCAATTTATGTTCCACTATCTCTTGTCGGGCAGACGTATCAAGGTCTGGTAGAGGAAGGGGTACTGGACTAAGTGCGCGGCGCTCGTCGTACAGGAGGATAACAGAACGACTGTCAGTCACTGCACTGATTACGCAACGAACATTGTGCGGGAAAGAGCTTGGAAGCCAGTCCATATGTTCTTGGGATTCAACATCTGCTAGCTACCACATAAATTTAAAATTAAGTAAAAAAAAGAAGTCCGCGTAGAGATGAAAGGAAATGCACAAAGTTGCTTTTCATTGTGCGACGTGCGCACGTTTAAAAAGGACCTGCATGTTTCTTGACACTAAAAGGCGGGAAATTTTCGCGCCAAAGCTTCGCCGGTGGGCTACGCAAGACATTTACTAACGCGAAACTCGAAGGAAAACAAGAAATTTTGTATATCTTTGGATTTTTCTGCTTTTGTTTTTTAATATACTTGGAAAAGACTGTAAATAAAAGGTCTTACTATTACCTGGTTGACTGCATCGATCATTATCACAAACACCTCTTCCCGTTTACCAAGCTCTTCTACGCCTTTCTTGATCTCTTGTTGAAGTTGGTTCACACTCATGTCTGCATCGAGGGTAAGAAGGAAATGATTCTCTTACTTAACTGCACATAAATCACTGAGTTCTCTCGATTCTTTGTTAAGACGGGAATTTAACACGCAGATTGAGGTTTATCATTGTCTGCGGCCAGTCCTAACTGTGCATAAACATCAGTTTCAAGGGAAAAAATCGCGATTCAGTTTTAAAGATCAGCATTCAAGAATTTGCGAGTGTCTTATACATAAAATGTTCAGTAGCAATGTACAGACCTTCCACACTAAAACCTTTATTAAACCATCGTACAAGCTTTTCCAGGAGTTTTAAAGGTACCGTTGATCCAGGACATGCCCCAACAAAGTGAAAGAACAACGGGAGTCCAAGATTTTGTATCTCCAGCGTACAATAAGCCATGAGTGCTGACTTCCCAGAGCCTGAAGACCCCAGAACTATTAGAGGAGGAAGACGTCCTGAGCCAGACCCATCAGATATGGTTCCATGTTGAACATAGTTCATTACAGTAGTAATCTCTTCCCCACGTCCAAGTACAAGTTGGCCTCTCAATTCAATGAACTGATTATGCATTGAGAGCTCTGCGGTTTGGAGGATTGGATGTCAAGAAATAAAATTTACAGACAATGTTCTGTGATACTATTGATAATATGCTAGCCAGGCCCTCATGATAAGAGCTGCAGGATGCGCGTTTCTCCGCCTGCAAGAAGATTGAAGACGTGCACTCTTTTCATCAGCTTGCTTTGCAAAAGGCCTCACATTTTCTCGCAGATGAAGAAACGCTCGTGCCGATGCGTTGATGACGAGGGTTTGCTATGACTATAACACAACTGACGACAACACGCAGCATTACAACTTGGCCTGTTCTCGAGCCTGGACCTATCAACCGATACTCCTGCGAGCTACCTGTTAAGTCAACCCATTTCCACCTGAAATTAAGCTGCTTCAAAGAAAACTCACCAATTTCTTCCACTGACAATGTCTGGTTTACGGTCGGAATTGATCTGTTGATAGCTGACTTGAAAAATTCGAGCACAATTTGACAGAAAACCTCTAACCCTTTGAGTTTGACCTGCAATATCAATAAAAGTCGAACAAAATAAATTTATTTTTAGTCAAAGGTAAATTGTCTAAACCACTCAGCACTATGACTGATAATGTGGTTGGCTCGAGTGTTGGACTTTCAACAGAGCAATTATTTGTGATGAGGTTGTTTACCTAGCAGAGCTTTACAGAGTGCATCTCTAGATACCTTCTAGTATAAAAGAGTACTGAGCAACTGTTGTGGAAGCTTATTGCAATGCCAAAGCTTCCCACTTCGAAGAAGAAGAAGAAGAGCCCTTGGTCCCCCCTCCAGCAGCAGAAATCAGAGGTGGAAGAATTTTGTGAGTTGCCTTAAATACAGAATTCATTTCAAATTAGGGCTTACTTTTGAAAATGCATGTAAATTTTCTTTTATAGTCAAGAGCGTATTTCTGAGAATATAATGACCAAAACAATCGAATTTTTAAACTTTGGACAATACTGTCCGATTTGAGATTTTGGACACTTTTGTCAGATTTAAGATTTTGGACACAAGTGGCTGACTTTGTATTTTGGACCCTAGTGGCCGATTTCGTATTTTGGACCCTAGTGGCCGATTTTGTTCTTTGGACATCAGTGGCCGATTTTGGATTTTGAACCCTTGTGGCCAATTTTGTATTTTGGACCCTAGTGGCTGATTTTTTATTTTGGACCCTTGTGGCCAATTTTGTAACTTGGACCCTAGTGGCCGATTTTGTACTTTGGACACTAGTGGCCAATTTTGTATTTTGGACTCTAGTGGCTGATTTTACATTTTGGACTCTAGTGGCCGATTTTGCATTTTGGACACCAGTGGCTGATTTTGCATTTTGGACCCTAATGGACGGTTTGTATTTTAGACTCTAGTGGCTGATTTCTTATTTTGGACTCTAGTGGCCAATTTTGTATTTTGGACTCTAGTGGCCGATTTTTTATTTTGGACTCTAGTGGCCAATTCTGTATTTTGGACTCCAGTGGCGGATTTTGCATTTTGGACCCTAGTGGCCGATTTTGTATTTTGGACTCTAGTGGCCAATTATATATTTTGGACTTTAGTGGCTAGTTTTGTATTTTGGTTTAAGTTGCCAATTTTGTATTTTGGACCCTACTGGCTGATTTCGTATTTTGGAAACTAGTGGCCAATTTTGCATTTTGGACCCTGGTGGCCAATTATGTATTTTGGATTCTAGTGACGGATTATGTATTTGGACTCTAGTGGCTGATTTTGTATTTTTGACCCTAGTGCCGATTTTGCATTTTGGACGCTAGTTGCCTATTTTGTATTTTGGACCCTGGTGGCCAATTTTGTATTTTGGACATTGAAGGCCGATTTGGGACTTTGGACATTTGCGGCCGATCTTGTAATTTGGACTCTGGTGGCCTATTTTGTATTTTAGAACCTAGTGGCTAATTTTGTATTTTGGACTCTTATGGCTGATTTTGTATTTTGGACACTAGTGGCTGATTTTGTAAATTGGACCCTGGTGGCTGATTTCGTATTTTGGCCCCAGTGGCTGATTTTGTATTTTGAACACTAGGGGCCGATTTTGTATCTTGGACTCTAGTGGCTGATTTTATAATTAGGGCACTAGTGGCCAATTTTGTATTTTGGACTCTAGTATCCAATTTCATATTTTGGACCCTAGTAGCCGATTTCATATTTTGGACCCTAGTAGCCGATTTCATATTTTGGGCACTAGTGGCTGATTTTGTATTTTGAACCCTAGTAGCCAGTTTTGTATGTTGGACCCTAGTGGCCTATTTCATATTTTGGACACTAGTGGCTGATTTGGTATTTGGGACACTAGTGATCGATCTTGTGTTATGAACTCTAGTGGCCAATTTTGTATTTTGGATTTTTGTGGCCGATTTTGTGGTTTGGACACTAGTGGCTGACTTTTTATTTCGGACACTACTGGCTGATTTTGTATTTTGGACCCTGTTGGTTGATTTTGACTTTTGACCCTAGTGGCCAATAATTTTTGTATTTTGGACCCTAGTGGCCGATTCTGTATTTTGGACACTAGTGGCCAATTTTGTATTCTGGATTAAAAATTAAAAAAATTCCAAATTTTGGGACTAATCATGGATTCTTGATATCCTAAGAACTACACACTTAAGTACTTCAAATATATAAAAGCTACAGAAACAGCAATTACTACCTTTGACCTTCCTGTTGATTCATCAATCCCACCATATTGACAAGAATAATCAAATACTTGTTCAGGATATCTTTGTCTCAGATTTTCCTTCAATGCCTTCAAAAGAATTGTGGTATATGTTTTAGAGAAATTTGCCAAACTAGGAAAAAAAACAGTAGATGCTCAACAGTACTCCTTTAGACCTTTACTTCAGTATGCATATTCTCCATACTGTTCTCTGTACATTTCCTAAGGTGCTGTCAAGGAGTATTTGTTTCACTGCAGTCAAGAGCTCCTTTAGGTAAAAGATTACATTAAAGTAGCTGGTACTTCAGGAAAAAAGTAGCAGCTGAAAACAGTGGTGTAAAAGTTTATTCATACAGAATTTACCCTTAAATTACCTTTAAATGTGCCTTATTCAGAGGATGATCATCCACAAATGCTTTCATCATCTGTGGGGGCAGATCTGCTAAAAACTCAGAATCTCTCAAAAGAAATAGTGCGTTTTTATTTTGCATCTTGTATGCAGCATGAATGATTTCCATGTGTGTTATTGATGTTTGAAAAATCCACTGGTACTCCTCTTTAATTTCTTTTGATATTTCTGATGATTTTGGAATCCATCCATATCTACAGATGTAAATGATCTGTTTAGTTTAAGCATAACTGTTACATTTGTGTATTTGATACAGTTTAAGTGACTTAAACACTAAAAAAAGGTAACAATCAAAAGTTATTTGAGACTAAAAGCTGTGAGATAACTTATCAATAAGTTAAAAGAATTTGGTTTTAGATCAAAATAAAAACTTACATCTGATAAGTTTGATTATTCTTGTAACCTGTTTGATGGATAAAGTATGGATATCAAAAAGGAGAAGTTACATGTTAATCACTTCTGGGAGTTTAAGGGTTAAGGGTTAAGGATTCAGTTTAGACTCTAGAAATTAGAAAAAAAATTTGAAAGTGGTATACATTACCGCTCTCCCAGCATGTTTAAGAAAAATGGTTCCCCATCTGCCTCTGCTGCACAGCGATTAATTTCACCCAAACAAGTTCTGATAGTTGTTTCTGTTGTGGAGTCTTTTGGGACACCCCATCTGAGGTCACATTCAATCAAATTGATTGACTTCTCTTCACACCACTCACGCAGCTCTGGAACAACCTATCAGACACAAGACTCATCACAGTAAATCAAGGGCTTAAGTAAAAGCTGGCTACGAGCAGTCTACTGCCCCCCTATAAAACTTCTTGCTGCCATCTGTGAAGTCTGCAAGTGTTTAGGTTTTGCCTTGTGGCCCCTTCTCCTGTATTTATGTTCACAATACTGTAATTCCTAAAGAATTAACCATGGGTAAATAAAAGTGATTTGACCTGGTTTGAAATTCTATTTAGTCCTTTATCATCTGATGCTTAAGTTGAAATTGACTTAGCCAGAACAACTTAATCCTTTAACCCCTAGGGGTGACTGGCAGCTAGTTTCTCCTTACCATATCACCCCTGAATCAAACATTAAGGTCAGGCAAGTAAGGGATCTCATCACAAACTAAAGAAGTTCTTGATTGTTAGACAAATTCTCCTTGTCAGCACCTTAGAAAATGTATAGAAAATAGTATGGAGAATATGCATACTGATGTCAGGGTGTAAAGGGTTAAGCTTAATAAGTCTTAACACCAACAGCATCTTCCTCCTTTCTCTTCACACAAAATTCTTTGTATCCACCCTCACTTTACCCAAGGTGACTAGGACTCCTTACCCTCCTCCCATGCACCTCTCTTAGTGATGTCTCCAGGGAATCAGAGAACTCTCTATAAATAGTTTCTGACAATTCTTCATTTTCACATGACGTCACACTTCTTGAAGATTTTGAAATTTCAGTTCTGAGCAATGTTAAACAACTGAGTCAGGGGTGCTGGCAATGCCTCGTTTTGTTTTGGTACATAATTCTCATTATAAGGAGGCACCAAAGATGCTGTGCCTCGTGTGCCACTTTTTTGTTCTTACCACATTTTGACGTCATCTGTGATCTATTACTGAACAGATGCACGGCAACTTGGAATCTATTTGTTAAATTGTGCACGCTCATGACGTCAGCAAACGAATCCCTTGAGAATTTTGTATTCAATCAGAAAATAAAGTTCATCCACACGCATGAATTCACCTGTCAGTTTTTTAACCAATCTAAGACAAGATCGCTTACAGCGTAGCGAAATGCTTTCCTGAAACAAAATTATCAACGCGCTGAAGCGTAACAGAGGGAATATTAACCCATTTACAACATTTAAACCATCGGGTTGAAAATGTCATAAAACAATTGGTTTATACGTCAGCTGTGCGTTCATCGAGATATGAAGCACTTGGAAGTTTGGAGAGCACTCAATACACTTGACCTTTAATTCAGAAATAGCCGACAACTGAATCATCTTTTCTATATCTGATGATGATAAAGAAATTAAATACCGTTTACCATTGTATAATCAGAATTGAGTGCTCTTACGCATCTTTCGTGCTCTCCAAACTTCCGCGTGCTTCATATCTCGATGAACGCACGCTGACGTATGAACGTATGTTTTCTTTATGAAATATATCCTCAAGCTAACTAAGAAGCACCATTTTATAAGAAAATTGAAGACTAGGAAAAAGACAAAAATTAAACAATAATAATTCAAAGCTTGCTTTGTGCAAACTACCGTAAAGGAAAAAATGCGAATGTTAAAAAAGACACAAGACTTACCTTTTTGACTAAAACTTCCCTTTCAGCATGATAATCGGCGAACGTTGATGAAACAAATAGCCTAACGACTCTCCAACCTCTAATTCTTGGGTCAAAAGGCGATGATAAAGATTTTTTAACCGTTTCATCTCCGCAAATATCCCCGATATCCTGCCAGCACTTGTCAACAACTGCTTGGATTTCTTCTTCCGAAGTTTGTGTTAACTTATTCATCAGATGATCGCCGTGGTCAATTCCGACAAGAAAGAGGTTCAACGAGTGAATTAGTAATTCAACGTTTAATCAAAGTGGCGACTCAAGCGAACACATCCAGCGAAGTTAATAACTTTTATCTTAACTCCTTGCTCGTGAGTATGGTCAACCGTGTGTCTCGAAGCGAAACAATGTATCAAATATCAATCTGAAAACACCGATGAGTCGGACTAGCGACTAATTCATCGCCGGAATATCGCTGAACAAGCAACACTCTACCTTCTCTTCATTATGTAAGTAGTCATTTCTTGTTTGACTCATCAACCGACTCATACAAGCGACTAAATACAGGAATGGCTGCGACCTGTGATTGGATGATAAACTTCTAATCTTAACTCCTTGCACGTGGGTATGGTTAACCGCGTGTCTCGAAGTGGAACAATGAAATATTAATGCGAAAACGCCGATGAATCAAACAAGAAATGGCTACTTACATAATGAAGAGAAGGCAGAGTCTAGCTTGTTCAGCGAGGTCGTTCAGCGATATTCCGGCGATGAAAAAGTCATCCGCTGACAAGCTCCTCTGACAAAACTCATTTAATCAGTTTGGGCGGGCGACCAGAGACTGGAGCCATTCCTGTATTTCACCGCAGACAGGAATAGCTAATAGCTAATTTTTACTATTTTTATCATCCAATCACAGGTCGGAGCCATTCCTGCGGTATTTAGACGCTTGTGCGAACACATGTCTCTCTGCAGACCCCCCTCGAATAACAAGCTGGCATTCCTCAGCGAATCCATAAATAATGATGTCCTTAGTCTAAAATGATTATAAACAGTAACACAAATCCAACGTTCTAATGAGTAACAAAATAGTCAATAATAGAGTTCAGACATCAGCTTCTGATGCCTTTTCGTTCCCTGAAACTTGATCGTCAGTAAAGATTTCTGTGCAGGTTGCGTGACCTTTGTTGGCGCTATCAACAAACAAACAAACATTCTTGACCTAACTGCGATAAAGCAACTTCGAAAGATTGCTCAGTCTTTACATCACAAACGGTTATTGAGTTTTCTAGCTCATGGTTTTGGATTTGTGAGCTGCTGTCTGCAACGTGATATTGACATTGTGACTGCGAAACAACCTTCTCATTTTTCGTCAGTGAAATTTCTTTCCGCTCAGAATCTGGCATGAGTGCTTCCTGATTGTACTCCGATTTCCATTCGTGCAAGTTTGGAGTCGATCTGACCTCGCCAGGTGATAACACTCCGCTTTCTAATTGATTCTCCTCTCCTGGAAAATCGTATGAAGTTTCTTCCGGCCCAAACGACGAACAACCTCCTCTCATTAAAAAAAGATCAAGAGAAAATTAGTCAAGGAAACGAAATTTTGGATCCAGTCACGAACTCCTCTAATTTTTTTAAGTGACCGGGAAAACCCAAGCCCTAGATGGAGGAACTGAAAATAGGTCCGCCGGGCGCAGGCGTGATAACAGGGAAGCGTTCTCCGTTTCTAGAAAAAAAATGAAGCGTTGTTCGTTTGGTATGTACTCGCTTCATATTTTTGATTGAAACGGAGAACAATTCCCTTTGTTCTTAGAAACGACAACGCTTTTAGAATCGTTGCTCAAACATATTTCTATTCCGAGCATACGATCGATTTCTGAATAGTCAAAGTCTTCATAGTATTGTTAGAAACCAAGAAAGAGTTTCTCAAGCTCATGAAACGTCCGTGAGTAAGAAACGGTTACATACCAAACGAAAAACGCTTCATTTTGTTGTTGGAAACGAATGTTTCACTTTGTTGTTAGGAACGAACAACACTTTAAGAATCTTCATGGTGTTGTCGGAAACAAAGAGCACCGTAGTGATAAAAATTTCTCAACGTTATTGCCTATTAACAGTCTGAAATTCAGATCTTTTTAATACTTGTTTCTTCGGGCGACTTGACTTTTTTTTTCGGGCGACATGACTAAAATTTCGGGCAACATAACTCACGTTTCGGGCAACATGACTTCGGGCGACTTGACAGTAAACCGCTGTTATAGCGTTAACTTGATATTGCAACCAGGAAAAAAAAAGCGCCTCTCTATTTCGAAATTTTGATGAGGCTAGCCTAACATCGTGCACAATAAGGAGCGGCTACTTCAATTTAGAGCCGATAGGTCGTTTTCGATCCCAATGCAAGAGTTATCTTCTCCCAATATTGAAGAAGTTCGGCGTCTAACTATTTAGTAAGGTCCGAATTCGAGTTAATCACAATGGTTGTACACAGATTTATAAGGCACGTTCAGCAGCAACTCACAGGACGGTGGTTTATGAGTTTGGCTCTTGAATGGTTCTGGTCTTGAACGAGGACTGAGGCGAGCCAGTGAAAAAAAACAAACCAAACAAAACAAAACAAAAAAAACACAGCAATGCAAAGAAGACTTCCGAGAAATTAAGAGTCTTTTATTTGAAATTTGATTCACTGCGCTTTAAAGCGTTTTCACATTCCAGTCCAACATTTGCTGTGTCTCAAGATGGAACATAAATTGTTGTAGTAAAAGATGTCATTTCATTGTTCTGTGTTTGCAATTTTCAGTTGTCATCTTCAACTTCCAGTTGACGTGGTCGGTAAAGCAAAACGTAAGCACAATGCCAGTCACCTAAACAAAGAATCACCATAGTTATCTTAAAATATTTGATAATGTTGAACTAATCACGTACTCCGATTGGTCTTTATTCATGATCTATTTAAGGACAGATACGTTGATGACGTCATCATTAGCATTCATCCGTCGCCGTCGTGAGTTGCTTAGGTCCCTAGTAACAGATCACAGACGTCAAAACGTGTAAGAATATCATCTTTGCGCCTTTTTTTTTTATTTTACCACGCTTTGACGTCATCTCTGATCTATTACTGACTCCGGACTAGCTTTTCCCTTGAAACACAACGACATACCACAAACATCTTTAATATTCACGGTTTTCTGAGTTTCCAGTCATACGGAAGTCTATTCAGCACTTTTCTTTTGAACGCTTAGCAATCAACTATCTAATCCTGAGCATTTAGGCTTACGTTATTTAATTGCAAAAAGGTTCAATAGTCTTACCACCGCCAGACAGTTTGATAATGTCTTCGGTTGTGACGTTTGACATCTTGTCATCATCACACTTCACCCAGTCATCTACAAAGGACAAAATATCTTTTACCATCTCCTAAGATTATCAACCCCTTTATACCCTAATATCAGCATGCATATTCTCCATACTGTTCTCTATATATTTCCTAAGGCGCTGACAAGGAGAATTTGTTTAACAATCAAGAGCATCTTTGGTTGGTGATCATTTCCTTTGGTCTCGTGACCTTAGATGCGATTCACTCTTAGGGAATAAAAGGAAAAACCTTACGATAAATCAGTAGCAAACGTCTTATTGGTTGAGATAGTATTTCACCCTAGCTACATGTACTAGTCCGTCGCTTTGAGTTAATTAAAAAAATTTTTTTTCACTATGTTTTATTCCCAAACATTGTCAAACGACTTTTAAAGAAACTTCGAAATACAAAGTTCTGAGTTGTCTTTGCATTACAGACAAATCATTACGTGCTTTCTTAACGTACGAAAAGAAACTCAAAGATAATTATAGTTTGCAAGGCTATACAAACATCAAATGAATTGAGTTCAAGAACCTTCACGTCTAGAAATTTCGAGCAGGCTTTGCATTGCGTTAGGGGCATACTGTTAAAGCTTTCCTTTAAATAACGATGAAAAAATATACTTGATACTAATACTTTTCAAGGCAAGACAAAAACTTAAGAGGTAAAAAATAAACCAAAAGCAATAAGGGAGGAAAAGGATGGAGAAAGTAGAGACAGATTAAAAATAACCAGCTGGGGTACCTCCTTTCCTTCTGATCCAAGCCAGATAATGTCCAGATGAAGAAGACCGTCCTTGGTGAGTCAATACTGCTGTTAGTTCGTAATAACCGCTGTTGTTTGAACCGATATCTATAGGGGGGGAAGATATTTGCTTTGAGATATATCTGTAGAAATTCACTTGACTAATATTGCATATGGAAAATGAGTAAGTACCAGCTAAAAAGTGAACGTTTAGTTGTATTAGAGAAAAGTTCTTTAGCGGCTGATTAAATCTCTAAGCTAAAACTAATCATTGAGGTTCATAACAGACCATCATGGAATGAAAAGGGCTCCAGTTTTGTTTTCTTGTCCACATCCATCGGTTGTTTGCCTTCTTTTTTACGATTCTAGAAAAAAAAAATAGTATATCAAATGAAGAAGACAAAGTCAAAGTAGTGTGTGGCAAGTTTATGAGGCCAAAAAATTGAAGTGATTGATAGATGACCCAGCAATCAATTAGCTGGCCAGCTGAACGACCATTTTCTGACCTACTGAATGAATCACAGCCTAACCGACTGACTGACTGACTCATTTACTAACTGACTTAATGATTGACTTACTAACTGACTGAGTAACTCACTAACTGACTTAGTGACTCAGACTGACTAAATGACTGACCCACTAACTCATTAACAAACTGACTGGTTCACTAACAGAATGACAGACGAACTACCTAACAGACTGAATGCCTGAGTGACTGTGTGACTGAGTGACTCTCAGACTGACTGACTCAGTGATGGGCCTGTAGATTGGCAACCAACAGACTGATCAGTCAACCTAAAGACTGATTGACGGACCATCCAATTTCGAAAAGTCAATAACTTGTTAGTTTGCAAGGACAACGTAGGTATCTTAACCTTACCGCAGCTTCTTCAACTTTCTTGTCCTCAACTTCTTTGAATTTTGTTCGAACTGGCAACAGCTTCTGTTGAAGTTCTTCAGTGCACAGTTCAAAGACATCAAGAGACATTGGGAACTTCACATCCTGTTTTTTATATTATATAAAAAGTACACAATAGTCATGGCATGAAAACGATGAAAATAACTCACAAGAATGGCACACAATCAATGAATCTCAGCTCCAGCCAAAGAATGAAAACTAAACATGGATAAAGGATAAATGGACTTGAAAATTTTCCAGAGTCTGCAGAGAGCTACCATAGGTTACCAATAGGTACTAATCAATGCTGAGAGTTTCTGAGAGCTCATGAGAGATGCAAACAAAGTTTTACTTCACCTTGAGAATCTTGGCATTAATTGCATCCTTCTCTTTGAAATAAAACCGGACAAACTGGACAGTTAGGTAGGCAGGGAGTCGACTCAGCTTTGACTGAAAAGAAATAAAGAGCAATTTTTTGGCCAAATTTCAAAGGAATGAGCTGCCCTCATCCACCATTGATAAAGAATAGTAATTGACCCTTTTAATGTCATGCTGTTCTGATATTTGTTGGAAACATTTTGATATTCTTCGCACTGGAAATGAAGCACAAAACTAAGAAGCGTTCTGGAATTATACTTGAACAAAGTAACAATTAACAGCTTACAGTTTTTGTGTACACTGCATCACGACCAAGTGTTGGTGAGCGTTTTTCAATAGTTTCTTCAAGACGCTAAGCCACAGGAAAAAACATTAAAAAGAAGATTTTAAAACATACATTTGTGATGTGCAAACAACAAGGAAAAAAAATACAGCAATGAAGGTATTGTTTACAGGAAGTTACCACTCTCTAACTTTCTTTAACCTTTATCTCCCATGAGTGACCAAGACAGAATTTCTCCTTACAATATCAATACAATGTCATGCAGATAAGTGATGAGAATAAAGAAAAATATCAATTTGGGGATAATTAGTTGATCCAATACTTAATTCTCTGACTAACATTATAAGAATTGTATGGTTGACAGTAAGGAGAATGACAAATTTGATCTAGGAGTTAAAGTAAGGAAGAGAATTAAGAAAAACACTTACACTTTTTAGACCAGTATGCATGTATTTCACATCTGAAAACAACAAAAATGTTGTTTAAATTAAAATTGACTCATGTCGAGAATACAAGATTTAAAATTTGCAGTAAAGGCAAAATTAATCACAAATTGCATAAAATTTTCTACAGTCTTCCAGTTAATAATGTGGTTCAATGTCTGGATCTGAAAATAACTGCTTTTATTATTTCCTCTGATTTCCTTTTGTTGCTCCATCTTTAACGCAAATCCTCTTCAGAAATTCTATGCAAACTTGTAATTTCAAAATCTAAGGATTCATAACAACTTGGACATTTCCATTACAATCAAGCACTGCCAATTTCAGCTTGTTAAGCCCTTTAACTCTCAGAAATGATAAAACATGTTACTTTTCCCTCTAACATCCATACATTATCCAGCAAACATATAATGAGAATACTCAAACTTATCAGGTAGAAGTTGTTACCCTGATGTAACACCAAATTCTCTTAACTAATTTACAAGGAAATGCAAAACAGCTAAAGGGGAGAATTAACAATCAGATCTTGGAAGTTAAGGGGTTAATAGAATACACAATGCAGACAGAGGGGTATCACTTTTCTCCAGCTAAATCATCACCCACCTTGTGAAATAAAACAACTCAACTGAAACAGTGTTTCCTTGGATTTTGTCTCTGGCTCCTCTGGTGCTTCATTACACTTCATACTATACCACAGTTAGGGAAAAATGTTGTGTAAAAGTTTCTTTTAACCCATTACACCCTAACATCAGTATGCATACTCTCCATACAATTTTCTCTACATTCCCCAAGGTGCTACAAGGAGTATTTGAATAACAATCAAGGCCTCTTAAATTGGTGATCATTTCCTTTATTCTCATGACCTTAATGTGTGATTCAGGGTGATATTGTAAGGAGAAATTAGACACTTATCACTCTTAGGGGTCAAAGGATTAACATTCATTGACAACATTGAAGTAAGATTACAGTAAAATCCTTAGTCCCTGACCTCCAAACAATGATTTTAATAATGTTAATAAAATTTAAAGGATACATTGACTCTGACTCAATGCCTGAAAGGAAAAAATGAAAAGGTAAGGTCAGTATGTCATTACAGTATCACAACCAATTCAAAGAGGAAAATATTCTGGTCACTATCTGATAAGCTGAGTTAAATTAAAAATCTTAGGTAATAGAAAGATTTCTATTGTGTGACTATTGGCCATTTTATAACTGTACTTCATAATAAAGGGCTAATGCTCAAAACATCAACTTTGAAACTCTTGACAGTGGCCAATTTACATTTACCAACTCAGTTGTTAAACCAAATCATCTTGTTATACTCCCCCATTGATGCAGCACTACAGTTTCTTTAGAAACTAACCCCCTTCCCCCTCTATTCATTTGCACTCCATAGCAGTTTTTTCCCAATGGTACATTTTGACCAATCCCATTTGTGAGGGGGGGGGGGGGGGGGGGAAAGAAGGGAAAGCCTATAAAATAAAATTGACATATCTAAGCTTAAGACTCTAGGAAATTTATAGGAGTCTACTAATCTGTCTGTGATACAATACTTGTCAAACAATTCCCTTACCAAAATACTGATCAATGAATCCTTTTGCTGCAGCTGCACTGGCTCCAGAGTCATCTCCATTTTCATCAGGTTTTATGGCTGGTATCTTCTGCTGCAGCATGCGAATTATTTGTGTCCAGCATTCATTTGCATCCTGAAAAGTTTTTTTTTCAGAAACAAACTCTAAAATTTACTTTTAATTAATTAATAATTGTTCCAACTTATAATATAAACTTCTTAAGTCTAAAGGGTTAAAAAAAGAACCCACTACATGGTTAACTGAAACTTCCCTGTATTGTGACAAAAAAACTTTCCTTTAGCTCAGATTTACCCTCCTAAATTAAAATTTATTTCAAATGCTACACACAAAAAAACCCAAAGGTATAGGAACATAACTGATTAATGTATCTCAAGGTTAGAAAAATACAGGATCATGGAAAACTCAATGCGAACATTAGTAACCAAATGCTCGAAAAACAACAAGATGTTGTATTTTATAACCTGTTGCATGTATATTCCTTGTTCAGTTTTCTCTGCAAATTGAGGAAACACACTGTGCAGTATCTGGAAAAAAAAATGGTTCACAAGTCAAAAAGTTATTGACCTTAATCCACTCAACCCTTTAACTGCTCAAAGTGATTAGAATCTAATTTCTCCCTACAGTATCAGCCTTTAATCAATTATAAAGGTCAGGAGAATAAAGTGCATGAGCACCAACTAAAGAAGCATTTGATTGTTAAACAAATTCTCCTTGTCAGCACCTTAGAAAATGTATAGAGAACAGTATGGAGAGTATGCATACTCAGATTAAAGCGTTAAGGGTTTAGTAAAATTTTATGGCACGTTTTGTAATGGTTTGAGTACAAGTTGTATGCTAGGCTCCTTGAAATCTGATTATGTTTTCCTTAACCTTTTTAACTTTAACAGTGATCAACATCTAACTTCTCCTTGCAGTAATTTCTATTGAACCATTCATTAAAATCATGAGAATAAAGGGAATGATCACCAACCTAAGAAGTTTTGATTGTAAAACAAATTATCCCTGTCAGTATTAAAAGAAATGTATGGAGAAGAGTATAGAGAATATAGATACTGAACAGATGTCTGGGTATAAAGAGTTAAAGCTTTCCAAGGCAATATAAAACAATAAAACAAAGTAGTTCAATCTGTTTTCAAGTTCATAGTCAAGACAGGTAAGACAAACCTGTAGAAAAATAATTGGCGGCATAGAATCTGGTGTTTTGTCCATAATCCTGTAAAGATCTCTAAGTGCCACTGTAATGGAGTGCGCAGAATCTCTTGGGTTCCCACTGATATTATATCTGATACAAAATCATAACAAGAATGTGTCAATGTGTAAGAAAAAACTTTAAATTTGTGTTCATATGGAATTTATTAGAAAAAGAAATATTGTAAAAAGAAACTATTAAAATACCTTCTCCTTAATCCTTTCACTCCAAGGATCTCATTTTTAGTTCTCTTTACTGTCTGCCATACAATTCTCATCATATTAGTTTGGAGAATTTGGTATTAGATCAACTAATAATCTCCAATTTGATATTTTTCTTTATTCTCATTACTAGTCTGCTTGACATAGTATGATAATGTACGGAGAAATTCTGTCTTGGTCACTCATGGGAGTGAAAGGGTTAAAGATAAAATAATGATGAAACTGAATGTTTGAATGTTTGAAGCACGATTTGTGTTGCAACATTCAACATTTCATATTTCTCATTCAAAAGGTAAAATAACCTCAAGCTTTAACCCTTAAACTCTCATGAGTGATCAAGATAGAGTTTCTCTTTACAATGTCAATACAATATCAAGCAAACAAGTCATGAGAATGAAGAAATATATAGAGAAGAGGATTATTAGTTGATCCAATACCAATTTCTCCAAACTAACATCATAGGAATTTTATAGCAGATAGAAAGGAAAATTATTTAATAACAGATATTAGAAGTGAAAAGGTAAACACTTCCTGGGAATTTTTTTTTTTACCAAGCATAATTTCCAAGGCTTACTTTGCAAGGGCATCCTTCAGCTCTGGAACATTACGAAGGCACTGCACAGTAGCATTCATGTAACAAGTGTTGCCGAGGTTTTGTAGTCCAGTAGGCATTTCATACTAAGGAAAGGTAGAACCATAACATGAGACCACAGCAAATAGTTTCAGATTGAAGTAAAATTTCAAACAGGGTTTAAAGTAAATTGATAATTAATATTAAGAATCCACTCTTACTGCTGATGCCAGCTGTGCTTCGGTCATGTCTTCAACAAAAAGAGTCTTCTGTTCAGGAGCTTGTGGCAGTTCTCCAACAGATCCCATCATTAGTAAAGTAATTCCCTAAAGAAACCAAAAATATAACCTAAAGACAACAATACATGGAGACCAGACAAAAGCTTTGCATTAACCTGTTAACTCCCAGATCTAAATAGTAATTCTGCTTTACTACCTGCCATAAAATGTTCATGTCAGTTTGGAGAATTTGGTATTGGATTAACTAATAATCCCCTTACTAACATTTTTCTTTATTCTCATCACAAGTGTTCTTGGGTATTTTTCCTTTTCATAAATTCATTTCTTGAATTTATTATCTTTAGTGTATTTATATTAGTTCATGGGTGATCTGTTTTTATATGGGATTTCAAACTCCTTTGCAGATTATCCTTCGGCCTTTTTGACCATAGATTGTAATAAATAAATAAAACTATGCTTGTACTTGGACTTTGTACTGATCTTGTAAGTGTGAATTGAAGTTATTCAGTACCAAAAGGTGTTGTTACATCATGCAGAACTTAAATTTTTTAAGGAGGCAAAGTACTGTTTTTGAGCAATGTGGCATTTGATCAGGAAATGCCAGCCAGTGATCCCTTAACTAATAGCTTTAAGTACTCTGCTCTTATCATTTACTTACATTTTTAAGCTTGAAGTTTCCCCAGTCATTATCCTAAATTAAAGAAGAAATTTTTTTCAAACATGAGTATAACCCTGAAACTCAAAAGACCTCATGAGAAGCTCCTTCACGTTATGACCTTAGTTTAGCAATGGTATTACCTGCCTGAACAGGCTTACCTTAATATCAAGTCATGTGACACCATTTTGTATTGCCTCTTTGAACAAAATAATCACCTTGTTCAGCATATCAAGTCTTTAGTAAAGTTTAAATTATCATGCTGAAGAGGTTCAGAGCCATCTTAAATGTTTTGAAAATGTCGTGATACCCCAGCACTATGTGAAACATAACTAATATACTACAAATTAAGCATTTTTTTGTTTGAATTGACAGTCCTGATGAAAATTCATACCATTTCTTGTTCAAAGTAATTTTTTTATCCCATCACTCTACTATGAAACCCTTATGTCTAAATAACCACTTTGCTGTGGGATGCCTACGGGTTTCTGATCTACGGTTTGTTGCCAGAAGTTTCTAAGGTTAAAAGCTTGGATCGACAATCTAAAAGGAAATGAAATCTTTTATAGCTACAGAATGTTACACTTTTCCATTTTGACGAGCTCGACACGTTAGATACAGGACAAACGGAAATATTGTAAACTCAATATCAATTATCATCATAATGATACTGTGAAAAATAACGGATTTAAGTGTAACACCCGGCGTCAATGTGTCATAAGATAATTCAATCACGTGGTAATTAATCTAGACATGGACAGGAATTGTCAAATCCCTAAATAGTTTTGCAGTTCAAGGAGGATGCATTATAACTGCTCTGTTAATGAATCGAGCGATCAATGTACCTTAACTACGGATCCCTTGAACATGACTTTTTGTCTTTCAGGCGCCACTCCTGATAAAGCGAAAAGTTGAGCTTTGAAGAGCTCCGGAGACTCATCGCTGTTCAACTCGATGTTATCAAACTTCTCACGACCCCACTTTACAGACACTAGTTTAAGAGAATGAAGAAAGGAAATTACATCAATTACACAATATTTAGATAAAATTCAAATATGGCACGAAGGTGGAATTATATACCTGTGAAAACCGGCATTTTATACAGATTTTTGAGCAGAAATAGTTGGGTGAATTTTGTTTTCTCGTGCAAGTTTTAACTAATTTAAAGTTATCCGCTGACCAACTAGAACTCAGGTCTCTTGACTAGAAAATCGTTCCCAGGGTGGGGTGGATTGAAATAACATTATATCCCAAAGTACCAAAGTGATGGATCTTATTCACCCCGAACAGAAACAACTTAAAGTTGATGTCCTTTTTTCGTCCAATTCAAAGACGTTAATTTTTTTCGTTACTCGTAACTCAACAATCATGGATTCTACAAGACCCTAGAAAAACACTGAAAAACTTAAGGAAAAAACAGTAGAAAATCTTGATAAAAAATTAAAATGTTACAATAATTGGATATCAGATGCTCATCCTCTGTAACTGAGATCTGGCTGTTTCCCCCCCCCTCCCACTCTTTGGCTCCGCGGGGGCCCTGCCCTCCTGCTTTGCCGACGATGAAATACTTACTTCCTCTGAGTCATCTCTTCAATTCAATTCTCAGCCAGCACTATGTACATGAGTTAAAAATATATATGAAATAAAGCAATTTCCCTGAAAACGGATCTTTTTTTGATCAACCCTTCTATGCGCCTAAAAGCTAGTTATTTTCGCCCGAAAAAAAAAAATTCAAACTTTTTCTTTGCGTGCCATTTCTTGAAAGAAGAAAAAAGCGCTCAAGTAATAACTCTTTTGGAACAAAAGGTAACGTTATGATCACACGGGAAAATAATTTATTTATTCAGCTGTGGTTTTTGTTCTTGTCGAATTTGTTTTTGTTCTTGTGCAATTTGTTTTGATCTGGTTTCAAGATGTTTATGATGAAATTTTTGTGTAAATGGAAATGCTAAGGCTGTCGCAGTTGTGCTACGGTAAAGTTCTGCAAAGTGCTAGTATTTGCGTGGAATCCTTGAGAAAGTGCTGATTAATTTTATCTTCAAAAAGTTATTGAGTTTAGTCCCCAAAACAAGACTGCAAGTGTTGAGAAAAAACTGACTGGACTTTGGATCAGTTGGCACAGACAACAAAACGCATGGAGAAAAAATAGAATTTTGTTTTCAGGAAGGTCAGTTTAAAGTTTATACCACACCCTTTGAGAACTATATGTCGATAGATAGATCAAGTTCTTGAGCTTTATTTTTAACCGGATGCGTCAGAAAACTACAGAGTGCTATTAGTTATTTCTACTAATTCGTTTCAGATCATCAAAATTATTGGAGATGGTCTCATGATTACGTCATAAGCACAAAAAATATAAGTAAGAGCTCACGTACGAGAGAGCCAAAATTTAATGGATGAGTGAAGAAAACTGAGATAAATTTTGAATCAACAGAATTAAGCAAAAGATGGTTAACTGTTTTTAAATACTTCTGTACTTCAAGGGCCACATCATGGAGAGTCGAAGACGTCTGTTTTTTGTACCGATCATTTTTACGTTCGTAACGCTGTCAGCGGCGGTACAGAATCCTGTACCAATATTCATTTCGGAAGTAGGTAGGTTCAAGATATTATAACCAGCAGCTTATAATCTCCCGGTAGGTTATAAAGTATTAAGTTACAGTTTTGTGGCAGAAGTTTGACATGATTTTTTCAATACCGTGTATGAAAAATTAACAAAGGTTTCAGGGATAGAATACAAAAAAACCTGACGAAAAAGTTCGGGGGAACAATGAGTCTTTGAGAGAATCGTCTGGGTACAGTTATACTTTTTATCACACTTTGATTTAAGGAAGAAGATTGGAAATTCTTAGAAGGCAATAGGAACTCTCGCGAGTTAAGAGACATTGAAAGTCCCTAAAGGAGGATTTTGGTTGTGGTTGTGTCACAATAGAATTGACCCGACCCCCCCTGAGGCTCTGTTGGATTCTAATGACACTCCCTCATTAGTAGTTAATTTTTTATGGCCCCTCTATATATTCTGTTAACAACAATTGATCCACCCTCCGTTCCCTCAGAAAACCATGTGATCCCCTAGAAAGGAAGATTCTACGATAGTTTCCGGTCTTTTGCGATCTTATGCTCCAATTTAAAAAGCAAACAATTTTTGAAAAGTCTGTTTGTCCTATTTACTTTAATTTTCTTAAACAGATACGTTTCTAGAGACGGAACACGAAGAAGAAAAAGCGAGTTCAGTGTTCGAATGCGTGAAGCGATGTCTATCTTTCAACTGCAAGTCCATTAATTACAAAAAATCGGGGGAAGGAAAGAATTGCTTTTTGAACAAATTGAATCAAAGGGAGGCGGGCGAGGCGGCCGTAAAGGTCAACAAGGAGTTTGTGCATTACGATTTGAGTTATCATATTCAACGAAGTGAGGAAACTGAGTTTGGAACCACAAACGTGGTGAGTGTAAACAGGAAATTATAGACCTCTTTGTCACTTGGTAATGCGGTAACAGCTTTTTAACCCCGAATCTTCCCATTATATTCCGTAATCCTTACCTACCAGAATTGTCTTACTATTACAGAATTGTCTCAAACACCGAGAAAGAAGGTTTTTATTCAGATTTGTATGTGCAATGGAGATGTTACCAGCCGGGTAAATACACTCTCCGACGAGGTACAAGAAAGCCGGTGGAGAAATGTTCGAGTTGCTATAGGATTGTTAGTTACACTACTAAATTCAACCTCATTCCCAGGGTCCTCTCTCATCCTCCCTCTTGACTTACGGAACGTGGTTAAGCTAAATTTTCTTAATGTTAACATATTCGAATGCATACTGCTTATTTTAAATTCTGAGTTCAAAACCAGGCTTCTACTTAAATGAAACTGAATTTCCTTATATTAATATTATAATATTGCTTTCATTTTCTACTTTCCCCCTTTTTCATCGAACTTTGAACTCTTGTCTGCCGCATTGATGCTTTTAGAATATCTTTTAAAACATTGTTACATCTCTTACCCGATAACAGCCCACTGTTCCTCCAGTGATACAGAGTCCTTGTCGCTTTCAACCCTGTGAAAATGGCGGGACATGTATAGAGATAGCCAGTAATAGGACTTTCAAATGTCAGTGCGCTGAAAACTTCTATGGCAAGAAATGTAAACAAAAAGTGACATGTAAGTATAAAAAATTTAACCTCAAAGGCCCAGCCAAACGCACGTAACATTTCAACGCAATATCTTGCAATATTATTGGCTCATGCTGTAAGATGTTATAAAGGAGCTGGCCAAACGTGCGCAACATCTTGCAACATTAAAAAATATGCGATAAGAATTTGATCATTTTCAAACTTGATCCAACATCTTGCAACATGTTACTACAGAGTGCCGGCCAAACGTGTGCAGTACGCGGCGCGCAACAGTGTTGCAAGATGTTGCGTTGGAATGTTGCGTGCGTTTGGCCGGGCCTTAACACCATTTGCCTCTAAACGCTCAATATAGTAGAGTGCCTGGTAGCTTATTTCACTTAAGAGATCACCCCTTAGATCCCGACTAAAATTTTCTGTCAATTCCTTAATCCTGACGGTTTATACAGACCAATCCTGATCCCGACCCTAAAATTTTTCCCTAGTCCATTTCCTTAACCTTGGAGGGCTTTTTCGGTGGGTGATGATTTTCTCAACCACCATTGATCTGTTGAAGTCTATGGTCACCCTAAGGCGTAAGTTATCTCTTTTCACTAAAATGATGATATAGTTAATTAAGTTTAGAAGTTTTAAAGGTATTTCACAAATAACGTACGCTATAGTCACGGTAACGACTTCCTTCCGTTAAAATTTGACCACGAACAAACGTATCAGTACAGACAGGTTATTATCAAAGAAACGAATAACGATTTCAACAAGTGCATAAAACGCAAAAGGTGACGGCAACCCCATGGTTCCATAACAACGGAAATAAAGAAAAATCAAATGAACACAGTTCTGCTGTTGAAGCGAATACTTCTTGCGAAGCGGGAACCTCTTCCGAGGTGAAAATCAGCCCCTTGTTCCAAAGATGGAATGTCACCATCATCAATCGGGGAATCGTAGTCAAATATTCCATCTTCCTCTTCGTCTTGTTTCCCGCTGTTTTCTCGCTGCTCTTCGAAGTCAGAGCGTTCGACGCTGACCAGTTGGCCGGGCTTAATTTCTCTGATAGAGATAAGACAGAGAAGTTCCAGCTTTTGTCATCGTTGTTAGCGCCCAGTCCCTCATCTTCTGTATGCTCTGTGGTGCCATCGGTACAGGTGTTAAGAGTTGAATTGCTGGTATGGCCAACAGGATCATGGCACGTTCGGGTACAGGATACCAAGAATTTGGATTTGTAAAATAGTACGTCGCCAAATGGGTTGTCCTCTTTACCCCCTCTTTGGCTGCGTTTCCAAAGTTTCTTGAGTAATCTAACACCATGAAAAGTTTACCTTTGTGATGCAAAACCGAGTGATTATTCTTTACGTTTAGTGTCATACAACTTAACAGGTTAAGAGCGTCATGTCGGTATGATTCTTAGACTTGCTGGGGGTTTTTCAAGGCCGTTAAGCTTTTCAACTGACGCAGCAGTCTTAGATGCCACGTCACCTTGTGGGCCGTTAAGGGTTTTTGGTAAATTGGCGACTTCACTTCTCAGGATATAATTGTCTTTCTAGCGCAATATCTGTAGACTGTCGCTGAACAGTCCGACCGCCTCCTAAATGCTAGACAACCTCTACGCCTGGTACTTTCATGGAGTGATAAATTCTCGTCAACTGACATCCCGGTTCTCGGTTAATTTAGGTGATTATTTCCCAAATCCCGCTCCTCAAAATCGCCGATTCCCGTGTCCTGTTCATAATAGCGATCCCACATCTCGCTCCCCTCTTACTTTAAATTCCCGGATCCAAGCCTTAAAATAACCCCAATCCCGGATCCCGAAAAACCTATTGGGGACCCTCATCCACAACTTGAGAAGTTCTTGATTATTTAACCAATTCTGTCTTGTCAATTATATAGAGAAAACTAATGCATACTAATGATAGGGTGTAAAGGCTTTATGGCTCCCACGATTTTTCCATCTCAAAAGAGGGGATGCGGCCAGGACTGATGACGATCAGTATGACGATGACGAAAATAAATAAATATCAATCGCAATGATTTATCAAGTTACATCTTGCTTTACATCGATTCACTGTAAAATTCACCTGTAGAAGTTTTCACCACTTACAATACACTTTTATTTTATCCATCAGATTGTGACGCTAATCCTTGTAAAAACGGTGGAACGTGTATAGAAGTACCCAGTACAAAAACCTACAAATGCAATTGTACGGATACATTCACAGGCAAAAACTGTTCAGAATCAACAGCCGTCGCGCAGAGTACGGACGCATCCCGTGAGTATAGTAAACTTCATTTTTTCTCTTCACTTTTTCCATTGCCAAGATATCCCACGAACTCAACCTGTCATTCCTTATGATGCCATTACAATGGCCAAAGGCCGCTTATTCCCTAACAAAATAAGAAAAGCCAATAATATATCAATAATGTGCAGTTTTTAAAACATCCAATTTCTAACACAAACCTCTTATTAATATTAGTTTGCGGTGCAGTTGTTTCCTTAGAGGAGTATGACGGTGACGAAAAACAAATAAATATTAATCGCAATGATTTATCAAGTAACATCTTGCTTTACATCGATTCACTGTAAAATTCACCTGTAGAAGTTTTCACCACTTACAATACACTTTTATTTTATCCATCAGATTGTCACGCTGATCCTTGTAAAAACGGTGGAACTTGCATAGAAGTACCCAGTACAAAAACCTACAAATGCAACTGTACGGATGCATTCACAGGCAAAAACTGCTCAGAATCAACAACCGTCGCACAGAGTACGGACGCATCCCGTGAGTATAGTAAACTTCATTTTTTGTCTGCACTTTTTCCACTGCCAAGATATCCCACAAACTCAACCTGTCATTCCTTATGATGCCATTACAATGGCCAAAGGCCGCTTTTTCCCTAACAAAATAAGAAAAGCCAATAAAATGTCAAGAATGTGCAGTTTTTAAAACATCCAATTTCTAACGCAAACCTCTTCTTAATATTAGTTTGCGGTGCAGTTGTTTCCTGAGAGGAGTGAGGTCTGGGGCCTACTAAGGAATACGAAGAGACCAATTTACGATTTATTTTGCTGAAATATCGTTAAATCTCAACTCAATTAAATCTTAAAAAACGATTGCTGAAAAAAGCGAAGTAGCAAAGAGTGTAGTCATAAACTTCCCAATTTTAATGTAACAGTTGTACTTGTTTTCTATTTCGTAGCAACTGTTGCAAGTCTTGATAGAGGCAATGGACAACCTGAAGATTCAGATGACTATGACTTTGAGCTTATATTCAGAAAAACTCAACATACGAGCTATGTGAAACACGATATAAATAAAGAGTGGATTACACACTTTACCGTCTGTGCCTGGATACACACACCAGATTTACAACAGAGCCAAAAGATGACTGTGATAAGTATTTTGAACGAGAAGAATGGCGGCAACCAAAACGTTGTGAGATTGAGAATCGACGGAGAAGGCAACATCTACTTTTCATCAGGAAGTGACGGGTAAGAAGTTTTTGTGAGCCACTATTACCAGATAGGAATCATTTACCTTATCGTTATCAATTTATATAGGCGCTTTTTTTCGTTAAAATAGAACAGACTCTTCCTGACTATCCTTTTAGCTTGGCATTTTTTGTTTCAAAGGCTGATTTTTAGACAAGTATATCGACATTCAATGGTTTTTTCGTAACAAAGTAAAAAAATCAAATGTCTATGTTTGAGTTAAGTAGTACGTGTTTAAAACGAAGGAAAAATATTGTAACCTTTGATAAGAGTTGCTTCAATGTTAGTTAACAACCACTCACTGACACTGACGTAAATAATTGTTGCAATATATACCACATAGAAACCAAATATATAAGCTTATTTCTGTCAATTGACCAAAAACGGAAATTAAATTGTTGACGCGCGACTTTGTCTCTTTGGCGACTTGGAGGTGAATAGTACTTACAGATACTGATACAGATCTTTATCGAAGCGCCCTGACTGGGTTTTTCAGCATCAATACAAATGGTTAAAAGATATAAAACTAAAACTAAGAATATAAAACAATTGTTACAGCTGGAAATATACATCAGAAGAATAAAATTACTAAATAATGAAGTTAACCTAATAGCAGCTTCGTGAATCTATGTTTAAATTTCTTGGGACATTTGAATTGCTCAAGATTGCTGCTTAAGCTCATCACTTCCAAACCAGCCAATCAGCGCGCGCGAAAGGCTCTCTTCGCCTGCGTGGTATATACTAAAATGAAAAGAGCTACATAAATTCAGTTATATTCAATACTCTAGGGGATAAAGAGATTACCTTTTAGTGCATACTTGGTTTTTTTTTTGAAGGACCTCCCTTTCCAACGTATTCGCTACCAGTTCTCCGAAGAATGAAATGGTCTTTCTCTGTGTTCGTATCCAAAGTAACCAGTCATCTTATATAGAAGCGATCGTAAATGCAGATTTCGGTTCAAAAAAGACTAGCGACGGAGTTAAGTACGAAAATGTTCAGTGGACTCAAGTAATCGTCGGACAAAACCAAAACAGTGACGGAACTATTGCAAACGACACCCCATTCTATGGAAGGATTTCGAACTTAAACATCTGGTTTAATCTCCCTGATCACGAAATTACAAATTGGTTCAGAGGTCAGAAATATACCACACCTAACATCCTTAAATGGCCACAACTTGGTTCCTCCAAGAGATTTGGAGACGTTCATTTTGTAAAGGTCACTTCTGCTGAGAGACGTAAGTTTAATGGACTTGATACTCTGCCTTATTATCCAACTGCACTGAGTAGATTGCGAATAACGCGCGAATCGAGTACAAATATCCTGCGATATTATACAGTTGGTTATTTTGTACAGAAAAAACCTGTTGAATCGGTCGACTGCGCGTGCTACGCTTCTCTATCTGCATCGCTTTTCCTACTCTTACAGAAATGCGCATGAAATAAAGCAGTTGGATCATAAATATCTCATTAGATTAGACTCATTGTTTGTAGTTTGACACGCCCTCCGAGCTCGTCAATATACGGCACAAGTCGTAAAAATACTCAGCGATACTACACACCAAAAAGTCTAATATGATATATTTATTGTGCTTAATGCAAAGTTAAATTTATCTCGAAAAAGTGGGTGGGAAGGGATGGAGAGTTGGAAAGTGCTCAAGGACACCCGACCTTCTGTCGTTTACCAATAACCCAAGGGAAAGCTATATTTGAAGCACAAAGCAAAGGAAACTGCTCATCGCTAACTATTAGAAAGGATTTGGAGATCTGACAAGGCTTGAAGGAGAGGGGAGGGTTTCGGAACCCTCTGACCTTCGCCCTCCCCCAGATTTCCCCTTGTCAACACTCAAATGATGGCACAAAAACTGTTTTTAATTATTAAACTAAGTAGAGCTATCGGGTGTATAACTTAATTACAGTGGGTGTATTTATATTTTTCTATTTAGAGTGGCATGACGTTTTGGATGCTGAGGTGCTTGTAAAAGATTCTCTTAATGTTGTTGCAAATAAAACTGTTGAAAGTGGATCTGGAGTTGTTATCGAAGTTGAGCGTCAGTCACCACCAGTCTCTTGTAATAATACAATCGATTCGGCCACAGTTGACGGCGTGTTGATATCTGTATCAGGAAGCTGGAAACGAATTAAATACAAGCAGACGTTCATGGAAACTCAGAAATGTTTTGCAATTTTTGGGAGCGTTCCTACCTGGTGAGATATTTACTTTATCTCTCATATTTCTCTTGTGAGTACGGTCCATTTGGAAAGTCGAAGAAAGGGGAGGGTGAGGATACTTTGGGATTCATTAATTCTAAATCTTGAAAAAGACTTTGAAAGGTCAGTGCGCCAACTTTCTTTCTATTTAAGGAACTCACTGTGCATGGAATTGTTTCGTGAATTCAATTTTCCATTCCTCAACCCCTCCTCGAACTACTTTTTCTCATATTGAGTGAGGACACATCTGTGTATTTCATGAACTTGCGAATTGCAGTTTTGGAAAATCACTAGATTTTCTGGCTGTCAACCTCGTTTATTTGGAACGGCTTCACTTCACGTGTTTTAAAGCCCTGACAAAAAGCAATTACAACATTATCTGGAGAAAAGCAAAAATAACGTGCCATAGAGGACTCAATTTACGTTTTTGGCGTCAAACGCAGGAAAACAAGGGCATATCAGGTTGTATCGTTACTTAAACAAAGCAGTGACTTTTTGATTTTGGCCAAAAGAAATAATTTGACAAGTAACAATCCTTGGTTAATTCTTTCATCACTACAGGGCGTCTGGTATATTCAATCCCGGTGTTTCGGATTTCGACCTTAATTTGGATGAACTTTGGAAAGAAGAATATCTTGGCCCAAATGGTAATAAACGCATCTAATAAACCTTGTAAGGGATTTAAAGTTAACTGGTAACGTCACTTAAAGAAGTGTGCCTCATGGGCCTAAAATAATTTGCTTTAGTAAGTTTTTCCCTTAATTCTCAGATTTAAATTATGAAACTATTCAAAAATGACGATGGAACTTCACCGTGTGATATATAAAATGAAATTATTTAAAGCCCTCACTCCTCACCTCTATAAGGAAAGGAATACAGTTACGGCACTGAAAAACTCATCATTTAGTTTGCATTTGGTGATTGCTTCACTTGTAGTTGTATCATTTGACGACTCTTGCGTCCGCATCACACTCGACGTTTCCTTTGCTGCATAGTCTCACCGTTACATCAATTTGTTTTGGACAAAAATAAATCATCGTGGTGTGATCTTTAAGACTGTGCTAATATACACAGGAAAAACATCTGTGTAGAGTTCAGCTATTTATGATAACAATAAGCATGCCGATGATTAAACACTGTGATACTACATTAGATTTGTCTCCCTATTCTTTCAAGGCAATCATTTTGATGGCGTGAATGCTTTGTGCGGTGACGAACACTTTTGGATGGTAAATCAACCAAATACTCCGGTAGCCGGTGTCAGTCTGAGACGAAAGAGCGGCGGGCTGACTGCCGGGATATCCACCTTCGGCAAGTGTGGGATGTTCAAGTTCAAGATTTCTGATATTCGTGTTCTGGAATAAAAATTCTGTATCAAGTCCTGGCTAATCCAAGTTGTTATTGGCGACAGAAGTTGCGGTCCTCTCCCACCTGATACTTGTGATATCATGACAGAATGTCACGTGGCATCCCAAATAAAGGCTTCGAAGTAGAATAAACACGTAATTGCCTTTAGCGCCTTTGACTGGCTAGGACTTGAGCGTGCGATTAATCGATAAGTTTGTACAGTTAAATCACCTTTTAAGCGTAACAGCTCCATGACAGTAAAGTGCTTTAGAAGCAGAGCTGGATATTACTCTACGTTGAAATAATTAGAGTGTTCGCTATTTTGTAGACACTGATAGTCGAATGAACAAAAACTGTTGAGGGAAGACGATCAAGATCTCACATTTAGCTTGTTTTCACTCGTTCTAAGGCCGTTTTTTTCACATCTAATTATAAGAATTAGCACAACAAACAGCCTGTGGCTAGAAGTAGTCATGTTCTCACTTCACTTTAGAGGCGAAAAGGGGAAATATATGAATACGTTGCTGGGTGTTGTACTACCGTTGTAATATTTTGAACAAGGTTTATGGTATGTAATGTTAAAAGTTTTTAGTTCATTCATTCCAAAAAATTTTATTTAAACTCGTGTTGAAATTATACTAGGGAAGGAGGTACTGGGAACTAGTTTAGCCTTCGCACTTATTAAGAAAGCAAAGAAAATGCTGAAATAAAATTACTTCGCACTGAAAACCCACTTAGTTGTCGTATGTTCAGAAAAGACGCGTTTCAAATGCTGGTACACCACATGGTGAGTCAGTATGAACTGTTAGTATGACTCTTGGGGCGCAGGGTATTCCAAGATATTAACTTACTTATGCGTTAAAAACCAAACAGAAGATAATCAGAAAACAAACATGAGTGAATCAGAAGACTTGTTATTATTGGCACGTTTGGAACGAAAGGGACTGGTGCCAGGTTTTTTAATATATCACTCGAAGTACAATTACTGGGTGCCAACGCCATCTTGAATGTTGCTTGTTTCCACAATATATTCTATTCGTGATTATAGTTTTAATTCCTTGGTAACTGCTTGAGAATGTGGTGTGAGATTTTGCCAGACCAGTCACATAGAAACTCAAAATAGAAAAATACCGGATTACAGATTACTCTCGACACTCAAAAGAAAAATTCTCCACTGAGTTAGAATCCGCGGGAAACTAAGCACCTGGAACCGCTTCGGGGCGTTGTTTCGCTTGCTTATTCGCTTATCCGCTAACTTGATTGAACCGAGACCAATACAAGGCTTAAACATGTTTTGAAGCTGCTTTGTTAAACAAGATCGAGAATTGTTTTCTACATAGAAGCTACTTAAACCGATGTTTGTCGACTTCAGTTGTTGCACATAAAAAAAATTAAGTTAGCGAGTACTTTAATCCTATGGAAAATAGAGCTCTTTAGTTCTCTGTTTGTGATTTTCATTTAGTAAAACCCGGTTTAACCAAGCATTGTTTGCTGGTGTGAATGAGGTCACGAATAGGGAAATATTCCTTCTTTATGTTTTTCGAGGAAAACAAAACAGTTAACACACATACACAGGGAACAGCAAGGACGAAAATGAGAAATATTTCATTCTTCTTCCTGAGCTAGCTTTGCGATGGGAAAATTTTCCTCGCCAGCATACATAATATATAACAAAGGAAAATAAACATTATAAAGCGAATGAAGTTGTTTTAATTGAAATATCTGGACTCTCAGGGTGCAAGAGTGGATGGTCGAATGGGATTCCCCGCTTCACCGGCCTAGGTGCTCTTGTAGCGAGGTATTTTATGAGGTCGCCCTTGTTACACAATGCAAGAACACCTGTTCGAGATCAATGAAATATATATTTTTATTTCGATTAAAACATGAGACCAATTCGTCCAGTTGCAGATATATAGAGGTTATATGTTATCAACTATAATTAATTTAGTTAGATTCTGCCAGATCAGTGACATAGCAAATGAAAATAGAAAATTACCATTCCAGATTACTCTCGACATCAAATGAAAATTTCTCCACTGAGCTAGAATCCGCGGGAAATTAAGCGCATTGAGCCGCTTTCGGGGCGTTTTTTCGCTCGCTTATTCGATTATTCGATTGAAATGAGACCGAGAGAGTCACGGATAAGAAAATATTCCTTTTTTATGTTTTTCGAGGAAAACGAAACAGTTTATACGCAACGTTTAGTTTTGTTTACTCGAGTTTCTTCAGTGGCTACCACACGCACAAGGAACAGCGAAGAACATATAGGGGAAAGAATGGACGAAAAGAGATCTTAATATTACCGATATTTTATTGTTCTTCTTGAGCTGGCTTTGCAATAAGAAATTTTCCTCGCCGGTAGAATTATTTGATGACAAGGGAAAATAAACACAATAAAGCGAAAAATAGCGTTTTAATTGGAACCTCAGGGGACCTTTAGGGTGCTTCACCGGTCTAGGTGCTCTTGTAGCGAGGTATGTTATCAGTTCGTCCTTGTCATGCAATGTAAGAACACGCATTCGGCATTAAGGGAACAATGAAATATAACTAATTCGATTAAAACATCAGAGAAATTCGTTCAGTTGTAGATAAATAAAGGTGATATTTTACCGAATACTGTGTGGTAAGTTATTGCTTTTGATTTGGGAAATCTATAGCCTGCAAATACAACCGCTGCAGTTAAGGGTAACTGCGAGGGACAACATGCGTAATAATTTGAAAGATAGAGCTTTTTGGTCGCTACAGCAAGTTTTAATTTCATCAGGCACTCTGTCTTCAAACGTAAAATAAAAATATTCTCGGAAATTTCAAAAACAATGAATGAGGTGGGATGTTTAAAATGTTTTTCTGCGGAATGAAGCTTGTTTAGAAAACAGAAGTACTCTCTGATAGCTTTGGGGGTTATACGAGGGTTTCGAATGCTTTCTGTAAGTCTCAACAACATGAATACTTTAGGAGCAGCTTCACCTCATTGGTTACACAGGAAATTACCTCACAAATATACTTTTGCTTTCCTAGTAGAACTTGTAGAGAATGTTTATCTAAAATTAGTGACTACTTTTAAGAACTTGTCCTCTATTGTTAGTAATTTCTAAACTGCTATTTATGCAGGAGATCAAAGGTACGGAAATGAAAAACTCTCCGGCTATTCAAAGAAGTGAGAATGCAGTTAATATTCTAGTGGTTAAAAAAAGGAAATAAATACCAAAAGCCGACTGGGGTGAAATGTAAATAAGAGAAAAAACAACTTGTTTTTCCATCTGTTTGCGAGGAAGCTATAACTGCAATCAGTCAGCAAAAGATACAACGAAAGCTCCTTAGAAAGCTACGCGTAAATTGGCTAAATAGGCTATGAAGGACTGAAAACAGTTTTCTGACATCTTGGAAGGTGAGGAACATTTTGGGTTGCGATTTCACCACAAATTTGTTAAGGATTAACAATATTAATCACAATTCTGTTATATTTGATAGTTTAGAGCAAAGAGATATTTCCGTCATTTGAATAGGATTTTTAGAATGTGGCCGTTGTCATAAAAAGAAAGGGTTGATCAATGTTTTTGGCCGGGAATGTTATTTTTTTCACTGTTATGTAAAAAGATTTTCAACTTCGGTTGCTATCCGAGTCTATTCTCTTTTAATATTTTAAAACCAGATTTCGTCATGAAAGACCAAAAAAACACTCCCATACATACACGTAGCATATTACTTGAGATCTTTTCGTTCTTTATCAGTTTATTGAACGCTAAATAAGCGGACACCTCTTTCCAAATTCGTCTTTTTTCCCGCCCAGAATTGATCCGCGAACTGATCTTATACAAATTTCAATTATTTTCCTTCCACTTTCGTCGAAAAAGAGAAGGAGAATTTATCAGACAATGGTGACCAATTAACTTGAAATCTATCGATTGTATACAGGTCAACATAAGGCTAATGCTAGTCATATCGAAACTTAAAACGCGTCAATGAAAGCAAGTACTCTACTTCTTGATTTATATTTACTTGTGTGATCGGATGGAATTGATTAATACTCTCGCAGCACTATTCTTGATTGAAAACAAACCAGAGGTTAGTAGCGTCTTTCTCTTGATGTATAATTTATTACCGAATATTCTTGACGAACATCTGACGGTGCGAAAGAACAGCTGTCCTTTTTAATCTCTTTCTTTCTCTTGAACGCATGACTTTGGTTCGCGTGCGCGAGACCTGCTCGTGTACACGGTATCTTTCGCTCGAGTACACGTGACTTTCTGCTCGTGCACGCATGACTGTTTGATCGTGACGCATGACTTTTCGGTGGCGCTCGCATGACTTTTAGCCCGTGTAAGCGTAACTTTTCGCTCGTGCGTGCATAAGTTTTTGCTCGCGTACGCGATACTTTCCGCTGGTTTTGCGACTGATTTATTCCCTCTATGAGCTCAACTAAGATGCGTTTTATTTCAAAACACAGGTAACATGACTTGGACATGTTGTATTTTACATCTTTTGGCATCTTTCACCGCCCTCGTTATGGCTGGTGCTCAATGCCGGACAGAAATCAGTATTCCTGGTATGGCTCTTGATGGTTTTGTCTTCAAAATAATGTCAGCAACAGCCCCATATCAGTGTGAAGTCCATTGCGAAAGAGAAATCACATGTCAAAGCTATAACTACATCGTAGGGGAGAGGATTTGCGAATTAAATAACCGTACCAAGGAGGCGAGGCCCTTGAATTTCCGCTCTGACCCTAAACGATTTTATAAGCGACGTTCTGTAGACAGAGGTATGTGAACGTGTTTTAATGGTTTCTGACAGTTAGTTTACTTCGGTGCCTTGATGAATCACCGACCAGTACTAACGCCCTTCCTATGATGATGATAAAGATGTAATCAAAAAAATAGTCTGACTTTTTTGGGCCGGCGAACCACAGCAACGAAATTGTTTCTCAAAGACACTCTTAATTTTTCAGTTCCCTTGGGTTCCATTCCTGAATTACCAGCTATATCTTGCCAGGAAATAGAGGCGAGTGAAGGCAAATACGACATCAGCAACAAGCACTGGCTGGATAGCATTTTCACGGGACAGGCAGAGTTGGTTGATTGTAGTGACACAGTGAAAGGTAAATTTTAGGTTCTTCTGCCCTTGTATTACACTCTACTTTTTTTTCTTCATATTTTAACCATTCATTTGACAGTCGAGGCTAAGAGAAAATTAATGGACCACCAGCGAGCCTTTGCTTTCTCTTGATTGTAACGACGCCTTTCTTCTATTTCATAATGCTCTATAACTCTTATTGTTTGGTTTGTGACGTCACAGTGGCAATTCAGATGATGATGTTCATAACGAGGATGATGACGATAAGAAAACAGTGGCGAAAATTGCGATCAGAAAACAAACGAACAAACAAAAATATAATATACAATGATCACATTAATTTATCAATTTATCAAATTCCATGATGCTTAATAGTAATTCATTATACGATTTAACAACAAATACGTCAATTCACAAGGAGCATTTAGAGAGAAAACCAGTAATATGACTTTCAAATGTCAGTGCGCTGAAAACTTCTGTGGCATGAGATGTTCGCAGATCGAACAAATGTGCGCAACATCTTGCAACATGTTGCTACAGGGTGACCAAACGTGTGCAACACGCTGCGCGCAACAAGGTTGCAAGATGTTGCGTTTGAATGTTGCGTGCGTTTGACCGGGCCTCAACACCGTTTGCCTCTTAACGCTCAATATTGTAACCCTGGTAGCTAATTTCACCTCAGAGATCACCCCTTATTCAAACTTTAAGGACATGAGATTAAAGCAACTGATCGACAACTTGAAAAGTTCTTGATCATTCATATAATTCTCTCTTGTCTATTTTATAGAGAAAATGCATACTAATGATAAGGTGTAAAGAGTTTATGGTTCCCACGATTTTTTCCCTCTCAAAAGAGGGGATGCGGCCAGGACAGATGACGATCACTAACGACCACGAAAAAGAAAAAGATATCAATCGCATTGATTTATCAAGTTACATCTTGCTTTACATCGATTCACTGTAAAATTCATCCTTAGAAGTTTTCACCAGTTTCAATACACTTTTTATCCATTAGATTGTGACGCTAATCCTTGTAAAAACGGTGGAACGTGTGTAGAAGTACCTAGTACAAAAACCTACAAATGCAACTGTACGGATGCATTCACAGGTAAAAACTGTTCAGAATCAACACCCGTCGCGCCGAGTACGGACGCATCCTGTGAGTATAGTAAACTTCATATTTTCTCTTCACTTTTCCTATTGCAAAGATATCCCAAGAACTTAACCTGTTATTCCTTATAATGCCATTATCATGGTCGAATGCCGCGTATTCCCTACCAAATTAGGAAAAGCCAATAAAATGTCAATATCTAATTTCCAACACAAACCTCTTGTCAATATTAGCTTGCGGCGCAGTTGTTTCATGGAGGTCTGGGACCCAATGGACCAAACAAATAACGTGCATGACCTGTAGAAGTTTGTATCACTTTCAGTACACTTTTTTTTAATCCATTAGATTGTGACGCTAATCCTTGTAAAAACGGTGGAACGTGCATAGAAGTACCCCATACAAAAACCTACAAATGCAACTGTACGGATGCATTCACAGGCAAAAACTGTTCAGAATCAACAGCCGTCGCGCAGAGTACGGACGCATCCCGTGAGTATAATAAACTTCATTTTTTCTCTTCACTTTTTCCACTGAAAAGATATCCCACGAACTCAACCTGTCATTCCTTATGATGCCATTACAATGGTCGAATGCCGCATATTCCCTACCAAATTAAGAAAAGCCTCTAAGATGTCAAAAATAAGCAGTTTTTAAAATATTCAATTTCCAACACAAACCTCTTATCAATATTAGCTTGCGTTGCAGTTGTTTCCTTATAAGAGCGAGGTCTGGGACCAAATGAACCAAACAAATAACGTGCATGCAATGTGTGGGGGGTGGGGAGGGGGCAGCGGAGGAGGGGGAAGAAACAAGACCTACTAAGGAATACGAAGGCACCAATTTACGATTTATTTTACCAAAATGTCGTTAAATCTCAGCTCAATTAAATCTTAAAAAACGATGGCTGAAAACAAGCGAAGTAGCAAAGAGTGTGGCCAGAAACTTGCCAATTTTAATGTAACAGTTGTACTTGTTTTCCATTTCGTAGAAACTGTTGCAAGTCTTGATAGAGGCAATGGACAACCTGAAGATTCAGATGACTATGACTTTGAGCTTATATTCAGAAAAACTCAACATACGAGCTATGTGAAACACGATATGAATAAGAAGTGGGTTTCACGCTTTACCGTCTGTGCCTGGATACACACACCAGATTTACAACAGAGCCAAAAGATGACTGTGATAAGTATTTTGATCGAGAATGGTGGCAGCCACAACGTTGTGAGATTGAGAATCAACGGAGAAGGCAACATCTATTTTTCATTTGGAAGTTACAGGTAAGGAGTTTTTGTAATCCACAATTATCAGAGAAGAATCATTCACCTTGTCGTTATCAATTTCTATAAGCGCTTTTTCTGTCGTTAAAATAGAGAAGACTTTTCCTGCCGATCCTGTTAGCTTGGCATTTTTTTGTTTCAAAGGCTGATTTTAAGACAAGTATATCAACATTCAGTCGTCCTGTTTATTTTAATGTTTATTTTTAAGTTAAGTAGTATGTGTTTAAAGCGAAGGAAAAAATAATGTAACCTTTGGTAAGATTGTTGCAATGTTAGTTCACAACTACTCACTGACACTGACGTAAATAATTGTTTTAGTATATACCACACAGAAACCAAAAATACTATCTTATTTCTGTCAACAAACCAAAAAATGAGCGGCGGTTAAATTTTTGACGCGCTATTTTGTCTCTTTGGCCACTTGGAGGTGAGTAGTACTTCCTAATCACTTCCGAACCAGCCAATCGGCGCACGCGAAAGAGCTACATAAACTCAGTTATATTCAATACTATAGGGGATAAAGAGATTACCTATAAGTACATGCTTGCGTTTTTGTTTTTGTAGGACCTCCCTTTCCAACGTATTCGCTACCAGTTCTCCGAAGGATGAAATGGTCTTCCTCTGTGTTCGTATCCAACCTAAACAGTCACCTAAAATGGAAGCGATTGTAAATGCAAATTTCGGTTCAAAAAAGACCAGCGACGGAGTTAAGTACGAAAACGTTCAGTGGACTCAAGTAATCGTCGGACAAAATCAGGGCAATGACGGTACTATTACAAACGACACCCCATTCTATGGAAGGATTTCGAACTTAAACATCTGGTTTAACTCTCTCACTGATGCCCAAATTACAAATTGGTACAACGAAGTTCAGAAATATTACATACCTAACATTCTTAAATGGCCAGAACTTGGTTCTTCTTCCAGGATTGGAGACGTTCATTTTGTAAAGGTCACTTCTGCTGAGAGACGTAAGTTTAATTAATGGACTTGACACTCTAACTTATTATCCAACTGCATTAAGAAAAGTACGAATAACGTGGGAGTCGAGTACAAATATCCTGAGATATTGTACAAGTGGTTAAGCCTGTTTAACCGGTCGGCTACGCGCACTACGCTTCTCTACCTGCCTCGCTTTTCCTACTCTTAAAGAAATGCGCTTGAAATTAATAAAGTAGTTGGATCATAAATATCTTATTAGAGTAGACTCATTGTTTGTAGTTTGACTCGCCCTCCGTGCTCGTCAAAATACGGCACAAGTCGTAAAAATACTCAGCGATACTACACACCAAAATGTCTAATATGATATATCTGTTGTACTAAATACAAAGTTAAATTTATCTCGAAAAAGTGGGTGGGAAGGGATGGAGAGTAGGAAAGTGCTTAAGGACACCTGACTTTCTGTCGTTTACCAGGACTTACCAATAACCCTAGGGCAAGCTCTATTTGAAGCGCAAAGCGAAGCAAACTGCTCATCTCTAATCATTAGAAAGGATTTGAAGGTCTGACAAGGCTTGAAGGAGAGGCGAGAGTTTCGGAGCCCTCTGACCTCCCCCCCCTAGATTCGCCCTTGTCAACACGTAAACGCTGGCTATAAACCTACCAAAAAACTGTGTTTTTAATTATTACACTAAGTCGAGCTATCGGGTCTATACTTTAGTTATGGTGGGTGTTTCTTTATTTTTCTGTTTAGAGTGGCGTGACGTTTTGGATAGTGAGGTGGATGTGCAAACAACAAGTAATGTTTCGGCGACGAAGTCTTTTAAGAGTGGATCTGGAGTTGTTATCGAAGTTGAGAGTCAGTCACCAGTCTCTTGTGGTAATGCAACTGATTCGGCCACAGTTGACGGCGTGTTAATATCTGTATCTGGAAGCTGGAAAAGAATCAAATACAAGCAGACGTTCATGGAAACTCAGAAATGTTTTGCAATTTTTGGAAGCGTTCCTAAACGGTGAGATATTTACTTCATCTCTCATATTTCTCTTGTAAGTATGGTCCATGTGGAAATTCGCGGGAAGGGGAGGGTGGGGATACTTTGGGATTCATTAATTCTAAACCTTACAAAAGCCCTTAAAAGATCAGAGCACCAAATTATTGTGTTTTATAGTGTGTGAGGAAACATCTCTGTCATTTATGGATTTGCGAACAGCAGTTTTGGAAAAGCACTGGGTTTTCTGTCTGTCAACCTCGTTTATTTCGAACGCTTCAATTCAGGGTTTTAAAGCCCTGAGAAAAAGCAATCATAACATTATCTGGAGAAAGACAAAAATAACGCGCTATAGAGGACTCAATTTACGTATTTGGCGTCAAATACAGGAAAAAAAGTGTATCAAAACTTGTATCAAGCTGTATCGTTATTTAAACAAAGCAGTGACTTTTTTATTTCGGCCAAAGGAACTTTTTGGATAAGTAACAATCCATGGTTAATTCTTTCATCATTACAGGGCGGCTAGTATATTCACTCCCGGTGTTTCGGAATTCGACCTTGGTTTGGATGAACTTTGGAAAGAAGAATATCTTGGCCCAAATGGTAATAAACGTATCTAAAAAGTCTTGTAAGGGATTCAAAGTTAACTGGTTCATCATTACAGGGCCGCTAGTATACTCACTCCCGGCGTTTCGGAATTCGACCTTGATTTGGATGAACTTTGGAAAGAAGAATATCTTGGCCCAAATGGTAATAAACGTATCTAAAAAGTCTTGTAAGGGATTCAAAGTTAGCTGGTAACGTCACTTAAGGAAGTGTGCCTCATGGGCCTAAAATAATTTTCTTTAGTAAGTTTCTTCCTTCAATTGTCAGATTTAAATTACGAAAGTGTTCAAAAGTGACGATGGAACTTCACCATGTGATATAATATATAGATTTAGGCAAGCCTAAAAGCGAAGCTCGCATTTTTTTTCCCGCACGTCTCTTCAACAAAACTAGAAGACAGATTATATTATGGATGCTAAAGGGTTAAATTTTAAAGTATATGGTTACTAACAGTATATATGTTATTAATGGTTATCAAAAGTCTATACGCAATTTTTGGGGGTCTCCATAAAAAAAGCTTGCAGCGAGAAAATATGAAACTATTTAAAGCCCTCTCTCCTTTCCTCGTTAAGGAAAGGAATACAGCAGAGTTATGGCGCTGATAAATTTATGAATTTAAGGGTAGGTTGCATTTGGCGAATGCTTCATTTGTAGTAACATTATTTAACGACTCTTGTGTCCGCACCACACTTGGCGTCTCCTTGGATCCAAAGTCTCACCGTTACATTGATTTGTTTGGGACAAAAATAGATCAGTGTGGTGTGATCTGTAAGACTGTGCTAATATACACAGGAAAAACATCTGCGTTGAGTTCAGCTATTGATGATAACAATAAGCATGTTCATAATTAAACACTGTAGTACTACATTAGATTTGTCTTCCTGTTCTTTTCAAGGTAATCATTTCGATGGTGTGAATGCTTTGTGCGGTGATGAACACTTTTGGATGGTAAATCAACAAAATACACCTGTAGCCGGAGTCAGTCTGAGACGGTTCGCGTCGAATGCTGGGATATCCACCTTTGGCAAGTGTGGGATGTTCAAGTTCAAGATTTCTGATATTCGTGTTCTGGAGTAAAATTCTGTATCAAGTCCTGGCTAATCCAAGTTGTTATTGGCGACACAAGTTGCGGTCCTCTCCCAGCTGGTGCTTGTGATGTCATGACAGAAATGTCACGTGGCATCCCAAATAAAGGCTTCGAAGGAGAAGAAACACGTTGCTGCCTTTAGGGCCTTTGACTGGCTAGGACTTGAGCCCGTGATCAATTGATAAGTTTGTGCAGTTAAATCACCTTTTAAGCACATCAGCACTATGACTGTAAATTGCACTGGAAGCAGAGCTGAAAATGACTTCACATTGAAATAATTAGACTTCTCGCTATTTTATAGACAATGATAGTAGAATGAACACAAACTGTTGAGGGAAGACGATCAAGATCTTACATTTAGCTTGTTTTCACCCGTTCTAAGGCCGTTTTTTTCATATCTATTATAAGAATTGACACAACAAACAGCCTGTGGCTAAAAGTAGTCATGTCCCAACTTTGCTTTTGAGGCGAAAAGGGGAATTAATGAATACGATGCTGGGTGTTCTGTAATATTTTGAACAAGGTTTTGTAGTATGCAGTTTTAAAAATTTTTAGTTCATTTTATTTAAACTCGTAAATTGAAATTCTACCAAGGAAGGAGGTACTGGGAACTAGTTTAGCCTTCGCACTAATTTTAGGTAAGTTCTTTGTGGAGTTTTACCAAAGAAAATGCTCAAATAAAATTACTTCGCACTGAAATCCCACCTCGTTGTCGTATAGTCAGAAGAGACACGTTTCAAATGTTGGTACACCACATGGTGAGTCAGTATGAACTGTTAGTATGACTCTTAGGGCGAAGGATATTCCATTGAATGAATTTCCTTGCTTTAAAAACCGAACAAAAGATAAATCACAAAACAAACATAAGTAAATCAGAAGACGTGTTATCATTGACACATTTGGAGCGAAAGAGACTGGTGCCGTCTTGAATGCTTCTTGTTTGCACAACATATTCTATTCGTGATTATAGGTTTAATTACTTGGTAACTGCTCAAGAATTTGGCGTGAGATTTTGTCAGACCAGTTACACAGCAAATCAAAATAGAAAAATACCGTTCCAGATTACTCTCGACACTGGAATGAAAAATTCTCCACTGAGCTAGAATCCGTTGGAAATTAAGTGCGTTGAACCGCTTTCGGGGAGTTGTTTCGCTCGCTTATTCGCTTATCCGCTTATTCAATTGAACCGAGACCAATACCCCATTCACACCAAGGCTTAAATATGTTTTAAAGCTGTTTTGTTAAGCAGGATCGAAAGTTTTTTTTCATAGAAGCTGCTTAAACCGATGTTTGTCGACCTCAATTGTTGCACATTGAAAATGCAAGTTCGCGATTACTTGAATCCTATGGAAAATTTAGTTTTTCAGTTTTCCGTTTAGTCACGAATAAAAAATATTCCTTTATTATGTTTTTAATTTCGAGGAAATCGAAACAGGTTACACACACACACACAAGCAACAGCAAAGAAGACATGGGGGAAAATGGACGAAAAGATCTAGGTATTGTAATGACCAATATTTTACTACTCTTCCTGAACTAGCTTTGCAATGGGAAAATTTTCCTCTCCAGTAGATATAATACATGATGAAGGAAAACAAACATTATAAAGCGAATAAAATTGTTTTAATTGAAACCTCTGGACTCCCAGGGTGCAAAGGAAGATAGTCGAATGGGATTCCCCGCTTCACCAGTGCAGGTGCTCCTGTAGCGAGGTATTTTATGAGCTCATACTTGTTATGCAATGGAAGAACACCTGTTCGAGATCAATAAAATACATATTTCTATTTCGATTAAAACGTCAGACCAATTCGTCCAGTTGCAGATATGTAGGTTATATGTTATCAACTACAATTAAGTGGGCTATTGTTTTCGTTTTGGAAAATCTAGCCAGCAGACGGTGGCGTTATTACGAAGGGTAACTGCAGAGGACAAACATAAGAATAAACTGGAAAAGAAAGCCTATTTTGGTCACTACAGTAACGTTTAATTTAATTAGGCACTCCTCGTCTTCGAATGAAAATGAAACAATTCACAAAGATTTCCAAACAAATTAATGATGTCTGGTGAGGTAGATGTCTTCTTCACGAAGAAAACGAAGTGAAGCTCTGAAGTCGTTAGAAAACAAAATTATTCTCTGATAGCTTTAGCTTAGTAATAGATAGTCTCGGGTTTCGAGTACTTTCTGCAAGTATCAACATTATAAATAATTTAGGAGGTTACTTGCCTCATTGGAAGTAAAGGAAATTACCTAACAAATAGAACCTGCAAAGACAGTTTACCCACATACAGTGTCTACACTGAGAAAGACTCAATACCTTTCAGGGGGTTGCCGTTGAAATAAACCCGATGTCTATTGCTAGCGATTTCTGAACTGGCGTTTATGCGGGAGGTTAAAGGTATGTAGATGAAAAACGTTTTGGCTTTTCAATGAGAATGCAAGAAGTATTCTCGTTTTTTTTTTTTAATTAAAACCGATGGGGCCGAAATTTTGAAAGGAGGAAAAAATAAAATGGCTGGACTTAGCTACGTTTCGAGTTGGCTAAAAACGCTATGAAGAACTGAAATCACTTATCTGTCTTCTTAGAAGGCGTGGAAAATGTTGGGAGAAAAATTCATCTCAAATTGCTTCGGATTAACGATAGGTCTCAAAATTCTGTTGTCCTTGATGATCTAACCTCAAGAGGAATCTCCTTTTAGTTTTAGCAGGATTTTTATAATGTGCATGAGCGTCGTCCTTTATACAAAAGGGTGAATCACTTGTTTTTGGCCAGACGTATTTTTTCTTCAGTAAAAAGTGACAGACCAGAGGGGTTTCAACATGCTATTCAAGCCTGTTCTCCTTGATTGTTTTTGGCGAGATCTCGCTATAAAAGACCAAGAAACACTCCAAAAAGACGGGATTGATTCCGGTAGCGTTTGACCAGAAATCTTTTAGATTCCCTTCAGTTGTTTGTTGCTAAAATAAACTGAAAAGAAAAATTAATCCGAACACCTCAAGCTAACCACAAAAAATTATAACAAGATTCCCTCTCCTTTTACCGAGGAAAGATATATCTGACAGTAGTGACCAATACTTTTCTAATCTATGGGTGACAAAGAGTTCGTTCTCTGTTTGGGTTGATGCTAAAGGTATTCAAATGTAAAAGGCATAATCACTTCTTGATTGATATTTGCTTCTCTGAGTGGAGGGACCTTTGAAATATTTGTGGAGTTCTGTTCTCGATTTGAAAAAAATAAAACAGTGGTTGATAGCGTCTTTCTTTATGTATAATTTATTAATGTTTTTGACGACTGCATTAACTTGAAAAATATAATAGTGACAGCTAAACCTTTACAATAGCCATCAATTATTCTCATATAACAAACTGCGTTTTTAAACGACGCACAGTGTTTTAATTTAGCGTAATTGATATTAAGCAACTCTTCATATAGTCATGTCGTTTACAACAAACAAGAACGTGCGTAAGACTGACGAGAGCAGCTGCCTCTTTCTCTCGTATGCGTGCTACCTTTCGCTGTTGTGCGTGTTTCTTAGCAGTTATGAGAGTGAATCTTCGCTCTTGTGCGTGTGACTTTTTGAGCTTGTGTACGTGATCTTTCACATATTTGAGCACGACTTTTTCTGGCACACGCGTGCATGACTTTTCACTCTTGTGTGGGCGACTTTGTGCTCTTGTGTGCGTGACTCTTCGCTCTCTAATAAGTGACTTTTCGAGCTTGTGTGCGTGATCTTTCACATATTTGTCCGCGACTTTTTCTGGCGCGTGTGCAAGCTTTCGCTTATGCTTGTCGGACTGATTTATCCCTGCTACGAGTTTAACGGAGAAATATTCAATTTAAGCACACAGATAACATGCCGTGGACATATCTTCTTTTATATATTTTGGCTTCTTTCACTCCCTTTGTGATGGCTGGTGCTCAATGCAAGACAGAAGTCAGTATTCCTGGTATGGCTCTCGATGGTTTCGTCTTCAAAGTAATATCCGTAACAGCCCCACGTCAATGTGATATCCGTTGCGAAAGAGAAATCAAATGTCAAAGTTTTAACTACGTCATAGGGGAGAAGGTCTGCGAATTGAATAACCGCACCATGGAGGCGAGGCCCCTAAATTTCCGCGCTGACCCTACACGGTTTTATATGCGACGTTTTGTCGGCAGAGGTATGTGATCAGCTTAATTAAGCTGCTGGTTGAAAATCATTGGGTGCCTTGATCTTTCCCCGATCAGTACCGCAGTATCGTAGATCTGTAAAAAAGACGCTGAAAAAGAGGTCGGACTTTTCTATGCCAAAAACTCGACGCTGAGCAAACCACAGCAACGAAATTTCTTCTCAAAGATACCCCTTAATCTTTCAGTTCCCTTGGGTTCCGTACCTGAATTACCAGCGATATCTTGCCAGCAAATAGAGGCGAGTGAAGGCAAATACAACATCAGCAACAAGCACTGGCTGGATGGCAGTTTCACGGGACAGGCAGAGTTGGTTGATTGTAGTGACACAGTGAAAGGTGAGTTTTAGGTTCTTCTGCCCTTGTATTACTCTCTACTGTTTTTACTTCATATTTTATATTTTATACATTCAAGTCTAAGAGAAAATTAATGGACCACCAGCGAGCCTTTGCTTTCTCTTGATTGTAACGACGCCTTTCTTCTATTCCATAATACTCCATAACTCTTATTGTTTGGTTTGTGACGTCACAGTGGCAATTCAGATGATGATGTTGATAACAAGGACGATGACGATAAGAAAACAATGGCGAAAATGGCGATCAGAAAACAAACGAACACACAAAAATGTAATATACAATGATCACATTAATTTATAAGTTTATCAAATTCCATGATGCTTAATAGTAATTCATGATACGATTTAACAACAAATACGCCAATTCACAAGGAGCATTTATAACGATAGCCAGTAATATTACTTTCAAATGTCAGTGAGCTGAAAACTCCTGTGGCATGAGATGTTCGTAGACCGTGACATGTAAGTATAAAACTTGCTCTTAAAGGCGCGGCCAAATGCACGCAACATTTCAACATCTTGCAATAATGTTGTATTGCGTTGTAAGATGTTATAAAGGAGCAAAATGTTACTACACCTTGTAACAACATGTTGCTACAGGGTGACCAAACGTGTGCAACACGCTGCGTGCAACAATGTTGACCGAGCCTTAACACAATTTGCCTCTTAACGCTCAACATTGTAACCCTGGCAGCTTATTTCACCTCAGAGATCACCCCTTATTCAAACTCTGAGGGCATGAAAATAAAGCAACTGATCGACAACTTGAAAAGTTCTTGATCATTCAATTAATTCTGTCTTGTCTATTGTATAGAGGAAATGCATACTAATGATAGGGTGTAAAGAGTTTATAACTCCCACGATTTTTCCCTCTCAAAAGAGGGGATGCGGACAGGATCAGGACAGATGACGATCACTGACGATGACGAAAAAGAAAAAGAAAAAGACATCAATGGCATTAATTATCAAGTTACATCTTGCTTTACATCGATTCACAGTAAAATTCATCCTTAGAAATTTTCACCACTTTCAATACACTTTTTTTCGTCCATTAGATTGTGACGCTAATCCTTGTAAAAACGGTGGAACTTGTGCAGAAGTACCCAGTAGAAAAACCTACAAATGCAACTGTACGGATGCATTCACAGGCAAAAACTGTTCAGAACCAACACATGTCGCGCCGAGTACGGACGCATCCCGTGAGTATAGTATACTTCATTTTTTCTCTTCACTTTTCCCATTCCAAAGATGTCCCAAGAACTCAACCTGTCATTCCTTATGATGCCATTACCATGATCAAATGCCGCGTATTCCCTACCAAATTAAGAAAAGCCAATAAAATGTCAATAATGTGCAGTTTTTAAAGTCTCCAATTTGCAAAACAAACCTCTTATCAATATTAGCTTGCGGCGCAGTTGTTTCCTTATAAGAGCGAGGTCTGGGGCCAAATGAACCAAACAAGTAACGTGCATGCAATGTGTGGGGGGTGGGGAGGGGACAGCTGGGGAGGGGAAGAAACAAAACCTACTAAGGAATACGAAGAGACCAATTTACGATTTATTTTACTAAAATGTCGTTAAATCTCAGCTCAATTAAATCTTAAAAAACGATGGCTGAAAACAAGCGAAGTAGCAAAGAGTGTGGCCAGAAACTTCCCAATTTTAATGTAACAGTTGTACTTGTTTTCCATTTCGTAGAAACTGTTGCAAGTCTTGATAGAGGCAATGGACAACCTGAAGATTCAGATGACTATGACTTTGAGCTTATATTCAGAAAAACTCAACATACGAGCTATGTGAAACACGATATGAATAACAAGTGGGTTTCACGCTTTACCGTCTGTGCCTGGATACACACACCAGATTTACAACAGAGCCAAAAGATGACTGTGATAAGTATTTTGATCGAGAATGGTGGCAACCAAAACGTTGTGAGATTGAGAATCGACGGAGAAGGCAACATCTATTTTTCATTTGGAAGTGACAGGTAAGGAGTTTTTGTAATCCACAATTATCAGAGAAGAATCATTCACCTTGTCGTTATCAATTTCTATAAGCGCTTTGTCTGTCGTTAAAATAGAGAAGACTTTTCCTGCCGATCCTGTTAGCTTGGCATTTTTTTGTTTCAAAGGCTGATTTTAAGACAAGTATATCAACATTCAGTCGTCCTGTTTATTTTAATGTTTATTTTAATGTCTATTTTTAAGTTAAGTAGTACGTGTTTAAAGCGAAGGAAAAAATAATGTAACCTTTGGTAAGATTGTTGCAATGTTAGTTAACAACTACTCACTGACACTGACGTAAATAATTGTTTTAGTATAAACCACACAGAAACCAAAAATACTAGCTTATTTCTGTACAGTAAGTACATGCTTGCGTTTTTGTTTTTGAAGGACCTCCCTTTCCAACGTATTCGCTACCAGTTCTCCGAAGGATGAAATGGTCTTCCTCTGTGTTCGTATCCAACCTGGCCAGTCACCTAAAATGGAAGCGATTGTAAATGCAAATTTCGGTTCAAAAAAGACCAGCGACGGAGTTAAGTACGAAAACGTTCAGTGGACTCAAGTAATCGTCGGACAAAATCAGGGCAATGACGGTACTATTACAAACGATACCCCATTCTATGGAAGGATTTCGAACTTAAACATCTGGTTTAACTCTCTCACTGATGCCCAAATTACAAATTGGTACAACGAAGTTCAGAAATATTACATACCTAACATTCTTAAATGGCCAGAACTTGGTTCTTCTTCCAGGATTGGAGACGTTCATTTTGTAAAGGTCACTTCTGCTGAGAGACGTAAGTTTAATGGACTTGATACTCTGCCTTATTATCCAACTGCATTAAGCAAAGTACGAATAACGTGCGAGTCGAGTACAAATATCCTGAGATATTGTACAAGTGGTTAAGCCTGTTTAACCGGTCGGCTACGTGCACTACGCTTCTCTACCTGCCTCGCTTTTCCTACTCTTAAAGAAATGCGCTTGAAATTAATAAAGCAGTTGGATCATAAATATCTTATTAGAGTAGACTCATTGTTTGTAGTTTGACTCGCCCTCCGTGCTCGTCAAAATACGGCACAAGTCGTAAAAATACTCAGCGATACTACACACCAAAATGTCTAATATGATATATCTGTTGTACTAAATGCAAAGTTAAATTTATCTAGAAAAAGTGGGTGGGAAGGGATGGAGAGTAGGAAAGTGCTTAAGGACATCTGACTTTCTGTCGTTTACCAGGACTTACCAATAACCCAAGGGAAAACTATATTTGATGCACAAAGCGAGCAAACTGCTCATCTCTAATCATTAGAAAGGATTTGAAGGTCTGACAAGGCTTGAAGGAGAGGCGAGGGTTTCGGAGCCCTCTGACCTCCCCCCCTAGATTCGCCCTTGTCAACACGTAAACGCTGGCTATAAACCTACCAAAAACTGTGTTTTTAATTATTACTCTAAGTCGAGCTATCGGGTCTATACTTTAGTTATGGTGGGTGATTCTTTATTTTTCTGTTTAGAGTGGCGTGACGTTTTGGATAGTGAGGTGGATGTACAAACAACAAATAATGTTTCGGCGACAAAATCTTTTAAGAGTGGATCTGGAGTTGTTATCGAAGTTGAGCGTCAGTCACCAGTCTCTTGTAGTAATGCAATTGATTCGGCCACAGTTGACGGCGTGTTGATATCTGTAGATGGAAGCTGGAAACGAATCAAATACAAGCAGACGTTCATGGAAACTCAGAAATGTTTTGCAATTTTTGGGAGCGTTCCTGATTGGTGAGATATTTACTTCATCTCTCATATTTCTCTTGTGAGTATCGTCCATCTGGAAATTCACGGGAAGGGGAGGGTTGAGATACTTTGAGATTCATTAATTCTAAACTTTACAAAAGCCCTTGAAAGGTCAGAGCACCAAATTACTGTGTCTTATAGTGTGTGAGGAAACATCTCTGTCATTTATGAATTTGCGAACAGCAGTTTTGGAAAAGCACTGGGTGTTCTGTCTGTCAACCTCGTTTATTTCGAACGCTTCAATTCAGGGTTTTAAAGCCCTGAGAAAAAGCAATTACAACATTATCTGGAGAAAAGCAAAAATAACGTGTCATAGCGGACTCAGTTTACGTTTTTGATGTCAAACGCGGGAAAACAGGGGAATTTCAGGCTGTATCGTTACTTGAACAAAGCAGTGACTTTTTTATTTCGGCCAAAAGAACTTTTTGTCCAAGTAACAATCCTTGGTTAATTCTTTCATCACCACAGGGCCTCTGGTATATTCAATCCCCGTGTTTTGGATTTCGACCTTGATTTGGATGAACTTTGGAAAGAAGAATATCTTGGCCCAAACGGTAACAAACGCATCTTATAAACCTTGTAAGGGATTTAAAGTTAACTGGTAACGTCACTTAAGGAGGAGTGCCTTATCAGCCTAAAATAATTTTCTTTAGTAAGTTTTTCCCTTAATTCTCAGATTTAAATTATGAAACCGTTCAAAAGTGACGATAGAACTTCACCATGTGATATATAATATCAAACTGTTTAAAGCCCTCTCTCCTCACTTCTACAAGGAAAGGAATACAGCAGAGTTAAGGCACTGAAAAACTTATCAATAACAAGGCTAGTTTGTATTTAGCGAATGCTTCACTTGTAGTTATATTATTTGACGACTCTTGGGTCCGAACCTCACTCGACGTTTCCTTTGCTCCAAAGTCTCACCGTTACATCAATTTGTTTTGGACAAAAATAGATCATCGTGGTGTGATCTGTAAGACTGTACTAATATACACAGGAAAAACATCTGTGTAGAGTTCAGATATTTATGATAACACTGAATAAGCATGCTGATGATTAAACACTGTAATACTACATTAGATTTGTCTCCATGTTATTTTTAAGGTAATCATTTCGATGGCGTGAATGCTTTGTGCGGTGATGAACACTTTTGGATGGTAAATCAACCAAATACTCCGGTAGCCGGAGTCAGTCTAAGACGAAAGAGCGGCAGGGCGATTGCCGGGATATCCACCTTTGGCAAGTGTGGGATGTTCAAGTTCAAGATTTCTGATATTCGTGTTCTGGAATAAGAATTCTGTATCGAGTCCTGGCTAATCCAAGTTGTTATTGGCGACACAAGTTGCGGTCCTCTCCCAGCTGATGCTTGTGATGTCATGACAGAATGTCACGTGGCATTCCAAACAAAGGCTTCGAAGGAGAATTAACACGTAATTGCCTTTAGCGCCTTTGACTGGCTAGGACTTGAGCCTGCGATTAATTGATAAGTTTGTGCAGTTAAATCACCTTTTAAGCCCAACAGCACTATGACAGTAAACTGCATAAGAAGCAGAGCTGGATATTACTTTACGTTGAAATAATTAGAGTGTTTGCTATTTTATAGACACTGATAGTCGAATGAACACAAACTGTTGAGGGAAGACGATCAAGATCCCACATTCAGCTTGTTTTCACTCGTTCTAAGGCCGTTTTTTTTTCACATCTAATTATAAGAATTAACACAACAAACAGCCTGTGGCTAAAAGTAGTCATGTTCTCACTTCACTTTAGAGACGAAAACGGGAATATATGAATACGTTGCTGACTGTTTTACAGCCGTTGTAATACTTTGAACAAGGTTTATGGTATGTAATGTGAAAAGTTTTTTGTTCATTCATTCCAAAAATTTTGTTTACACTCGTGTTGAAATTCTATCAGGGAAGGAGGTACTGGGAACTAGTTTAGCCTTCGCACTTATTATAGGTAAATCGTCTGTGGATTTTTACCAAAAAAAAAAGGCCGAAATAAAATTACTTCGCACTGAAAACCCTCTTAGCTGTCGTATGGTCAGAAAAGACACGTTTCAAATGCTGGTACACCAAGGGCGCAGGGTATTCCATTAAATGAAGTTACTTATGCGTTAAAGACCAAACAGAAGATAAATCAGAAAACAAACATGAGTGAATCAGAAGATGTGTTATCATTGGCACGTTTGGAACGACAGGGACTGGTGCCAAGTTTTTTTAATATATCACTCGAAGTACAAGTTCTGGGTGCTAACGCCGCCTTGAATGCTGCTTGTTTCCAAAATATATCCAATTCATGACCATAGTTTTAATTCCCTGGTAACTGCTTGAGAATGTGGTGTGAGATTTTGCCAGACCAGTCATATAGAAACTCAAAATAGAAAAATACCGGATTACAGATTACTCTCCACACTCTAAAGAAAAATTCTCCACTGAGTAAGAATCCGCGAGAAACTAAGCGCCTTGAACCTCTTCGGGGTGTCATTTCGCTCGCTTATTCGCTTATCTGCTAATTTGATTGAACCGAAACCAATACAAGGCTTAAACATGTTTTGAAGCTGCTTTGTTAAACAAGATCGAAAGTTGTTTTCTAAATAGAAGCTACTTAAACCGATGTTTGCCGACTTCAGTTGTTGCACATAAAAAAAATCAAGTTAGCGAGTACTTTATCCTATGGAAAATAGAGCTCTTCAATTCTCTGTTTATGATTTTCATTTTAGTAAAACCCGGTTTAACCAAGCATAGATTGCTGGCGTGAATGAGGTACAAGAGAGTCACGAATAGGGAAGTATTCCTTCTTTATGTTTTTCGAGGAAAACGAAACAGTTTACACACACACACGCACACAGGGAACAGCAAAGAATACATAGGGAAAAAAATGGACGAAAATGACAAATATTTTATTCTTCTTCCTGAGCCAGCTTTGCCATGGGAAAATTTTCCTCGTCAGTAGATATAACATATAATAAAGGAAGATAAACATTATAAAGCTGTTTTAATTAAAACCTCTGGACTCCCAGGGTGCAAAAGAAGTATTTTATGAGCTTATACTTGTCACGCGATGCAAGAACACCTGTTCGAGATTATTGAAATATATGTTTTTATTTCGATTAAAACATCAGACCAATTCGTACAGTTGCAGATATATAGAGGTTATATGTTATCAACTGTAATTAATTTAGTTAGATTCTGCCAGATCAGTGACATAGCAAATGAAAATAGAAAATTACCATTCCAGATTACTCTCGACATCAAATGAAAATTTCTCCACTGAGCTAGAATCCGCTGGAAATTAAGCGCATTGAGCCGCTTTCGGGGTGTTTTTTCGCTCGCTTATTCGATTATTCGGTTGAAATGAGACCGAGAGAGTCACGGATAAGAAAATATTCCTTTTTGATGTTTTTCGAGGAAAACGAAACAGTTTATACGCAACGTTTAGTTTTGTTTACTCGAGTTTCTCCAGTGGCTACCACACGCACAAGGAACAGCGAAGAACACATAGGGGAAAGAATGGACGAAAAGAGGTCTTAATTGATATTTTATTGTTCTTCTTGAGCTGGCTTTGCAATAGGAAATTTTCCCCGCCGGTAGAATTCTTTGACGACAAGGGAGAATAAACACAATAAAGCGAAAAAAAGTGTTTTAATTGAAACCTCAGGGGACCTTTAGGGTGCTTCACTGGTCTAGGTGCTCTTGTAGCGAGGTATGTTATCAGGTCGTCCTTGTCATGCAATGTAAGAACACCTGTTCGGCATTAAGGGAACAATGAAATATATAACTAATTCGATTAAAACATCAGAGCTATTCTTTCAGTTTAAGATAAATAAAGGCGATATTTTACTGAATACTATGTAGTAAGATATTGCTTTCGATTTGGGAAATCTATAGCCTACAAATAGAGCCGCTGCAGTTAAGGGTAACTGTGAAGGACAACATACGTAATAATTTGAAAGATAGAGCTTTTTGTTCGCTACAGAAAGTTTTAATTTCATTAGGCACTCTCTGTCTTCAAATGAAATTAAAAAGATTCTCGGAAATTTTAAAACAATCAACGAGGTGGGATGTTGAAAATGTTATTCTGCGGAGTGAAAGTTGTTTAGAAAACAGAAGTACTCTCTGATAGCTTTTGGGGTTATACGAGAGTTTCGAGTGTTTTCTGTAAGTCTCAACAACATGAATACTTTCGGAACAGCTTCGCCTCATTGGTTACACAGGAAATTACCTCATGAATATACTTCTGATTTCCTAGCAAAACCTGTAGGGAATGTTCATCTAACATTAGTGTTTACTTTTAAACACCTGCTTTCTATTGTTAATAATTTCTAGACTGCTATTTATGCAGGAGATAGATGGTATAGAGATGAAACACTTTCCGGCTATTCAAAGAAATGAGAATGCAGTTAATATTCTAGTGGTTTAAAATAAGGAAATAAATACCAAAAGCCGACTGGGGTGAAATCTAAACAAGAGAAAAAACAATTTGTTTTTCCAACTGTTTTCTAGGAAGCTATAACTGCAATCAGTCGGCTAAAGATACAACGAAAGACCCTTAGATTGAAGCTACACGTAGAATTGGCTAAATAAGCTATGAAGGACTGAATACAGTTCTCTGACATCTTGGAAGGTGAGGAACATTTTGGGTTATAATTTCACTACAAATTTGCTAAGGATTAGCGACAAGAATCACAATTCTGTTATGTTTGATAATTTAGACTTAGGAGAAATGTCCTTTTTTTCTATAGGATTTTTGGAATGTGGCCGTTGTCCTAAATATAAAGGGTCGATCAATGTTTTTGGCCAGAAATGTTATTTTTTTTACTGTTATGTAAAAAGATTTTCAATTTCGGTTGTTATCCGTGTCCATTCTATTTTGATATTTTATTACCAGATTTCATCATGAAAAAAACCAAAAAAACACTCCCATACGTACACGTAGCACATTACTCGAGATCTTTTCGTTCTTTATCAGTATGTTGAGCGCTAAATAAGCGGGCACATCTTCCTAACTTCGTCTTTTTTCCCGCCCAGAATTGACCCGCGAACTGATCTTACACAAATTTCAATTATTTTCCTTCCACTTTCGTCGAAAAAGAGAAGGAGAATTTATCAGACAATGGTGACCAATTTACTTGAAATCTATCGATTGTATACAGGTCAACATAAGGCTAATGCTAGTTATATCGAAACTTAAAACACGGCAATGAAAGCAAGTACTCTACTTCTTGGTTTATAATTACTTGTGTGATCGAAAGGAATTGAATAATACTCTCGCAGCATTATTCTTGATTGAAAAGAAACCAGAAGTTGGAAGCATCTTTCTCTTGATGTATAATTTATTACCGAATATTCTTGATGAATATCTGACGGTGCGAAAGAACAGCTGTCCTTTTAATCTCTTTCTCTCTCGTGAACGCATGACTTTCGCTCGTTTGCGCGAGACCTTCTGCTCGTGTACGCGGTATCTTTCGCTCGAGTGCTCGTGACTTTCTGCTCGGGTACGCATGATTGTTTGATCGTATACGCGTTACTTTTCGCTAGTGCGTGCATAGGTTTTTGCTCGCGTGCACGATAATTTCCTCTGGTTTTGCAACTAATTCATTCCCACTATGAGCTCAACTAAGATACGTTTAATATAAAAACACAGGTGACATGACTTGGACATATTGTATTTTACATCTTTTGGCATCTTTTACCGCCCTCGTTATGGCTGGTGCTCAATGCCGGACAGAAATCAGTATTCCTGGTATGGCTCTTGATGGTTTTGTCTTCAAAATAATGTCAGCAACAGCCCCACATCAGTGTGAAGTTCATTGCGAAAGAGAAATCACGTGTCAAAGCTATAACTACGTCGTAGGAGAGAGAATTTGCGAATTGAATAACCGTACCAAGGAGGCGAGGCCCCAAAATTTCCGCTCTGACCCTGCACGGTTTTATATCCGACGTTTTATCGGCAGAGGTATGTGATCAGTTTTAATAGTTTCTGACAGTTAGTTTACTTCGGTGTCTTGATGAATCACCCACCAGTACCAAAGCCCTTCTTATGATGATGATAAAGATGCAATCACAAAAATGCTCAAACTTTTTTGAGATGACATAGAGCGAACCACAGCAACGAAATTGCTTATCAAAGACACTCTTAATTTTTCAGTTCCCTTGGGTTCCATTCCTGAATTACCAGCGATATCTTGCCGGGAAATAGAGGCGAGTGAAGGCAAATACGACATCAGCAACAGGCACTGGCTGGATAGCAGTTTGACGGGAAAGGCAGAGTTGGTTGATTGTAGTGACACAGTGAAAGGTGTGTATTACACTCTACTGTATTTACTTCATATTTTACTTCATATTTTATATTTTATACATTCAAGTCTACTGAAGAGAAAATTAATGGACCACCAGCGAGCCTTTGCTCTCTCTTGATTGTAACGACGCCTTTCTTCTATTCCATAATGTTCCATAACTCTTATTGTTTGGTTTGTGACGTCACAGTGGCAATTCAGATGATGATGTTGATAACAAGGACGATGACGATAAGAAAACAATGGCGAAAATTGCGATCAGAAAACAAACGAACACACAAAAATGTAATATACAATGATCACATTAATTTATAAGTTTATCAAATTCCATGATACTTAATAGTAATTCATGATACGATTTAACAACAAATACGCCAATTCACAAGGAGCATTTATAACGATAGCCAGTAATATTACTTTCAAATGTCAGTGAGCTGAAAACTCCTGTGGCATGAGATGTTCGCAGACCGTGACATGTAAGTATAAAACCTGCTCTTAAAGGCGCAGCCAAATGCACGCAACATTTCAACATCTTGCAATAATGTTGGATCGCGTTGTAAGATGTTATAAAGGAGCAAAATGTTGCTACACCCTGTAACAACATGTTGCTACAGGGTGACCAAACGTGTGCAACACGCTGCGTGCAACAATGTTGACCGAGCCTTAACACAATTTGCCTCTTAACGCTCAACATTGTAACCCTGGCAGCTTATTTCACCTCAGAGATCACCCCTTATTCAAACTCTGAGGGCATGAGAATAAAGCAACTGATCGACAACTTGAAAAGTTCTTGATCATTAAATTAATTCTCTCTTGTCTATTGTATAGAGGAAATGCATACTAATGATAGGGTGTAAAGAGTTTATAACTCCCACGATTTTTCCCTCTCAAAAGAGGGGATGCGGCCAGGACAGATGACGATCACTGACGATGACGAAAAAGAAAAAGACATCAATGGCATTAATTATCAAGTTACATCTTGCTTTACATCGATTCACTGTAAAATTCATCCTTAGAAATTTTCACCGCTTTCAATACACTTTTTTTCGTCCATTAGATTGTGACGCTAATCCTTGTAAAAACGGTGGAACGTGTGTAGAAGTACCCAGTACAAAAACCTACAAATGCAACTGTACGGATGCATTCACAGGCAAAAACTGTTCAGAACCAACACCCGTCGCGCAGAGTACGGATGCATCCCGTGAGTACAGTAAACTTCATATTTTCTCTTCACTTTTCCCATTTCAAAGATATCCCAAGAACTCAACCTGTCATTCCTTATGATGCCATTACCATGATCAAATGCCGCTTATTCCCTACCAAATTAAGAAAAGCCAATAAAATGTCAATAATTTGCAGTTTTTAAAGTCTCCAATTTCCAACACAAACCTCTTGTCAATATTAGCTTGCGGTGCAGTTGTTTCCTGGAGGTCTGGGGCCCAATGGACCAAACAAATAACGTGCATGACCTGTAGAAGTTTTTATCACTTTCATTACACTTTTTTTTAATTCACTAGATTGTGATGCTAATCCTTGTAAAAACGGTGGAACGTGTGTAGAAGTAACCAGTACAAAAACCTACAAATGCAACTGTACGGATGCATTCACCGGCAAAAACTGTTCAGAATCAACACTCGTCGCGCAGAGTACGGACGCATCCCGTGAGTATAGTAAACTTCATTTTTTCGCTTAAGATATCCCACGAACTCAACCTGTTATTCCTTATGATGCCATTACAATGGCCGAATGCCGCTTATTCCTACCAAAAGAAAAGAAAAAGCCTCTAAGATGTCAAAAATAAGCAGTTTTTAAAATATTCAATTTCTAACACAAACCTCTTATTAATATTAGCTTGCGTTGCAGTTGTTTCCTTATAAGAGCGAGGTCTGGGGCCAAATGAACCAAACAAATAACGTGCATGCAATGCGTGGGGGGTGGGGAGGGGACAGCTGGGGAGGGGGAAGAAACAAAACCTACTAAGGAATACGAAGAGACCAATTTACGATTTATTTTACTAAAATGTCGTTAAATCTCAGCTCAATTAAATCTTAAAAAACGATTGCTGAAAACAAGCGAAGTAGCAAAGAGTGTGGCCAGAAACTTGCCAATTTTAATGTAACAGTACTAGTTGTACTTGTTTTCCATTTCGTAGAAACTGTTGCAAGTCTTGATAGAGGCAATGGACAACCTGAAAATTCAGATGACTATGACTTTGAGCTTATATTCAGTAAAACTCAACATACAAGCCATGTGAAACACGATATGAATAAACAATGGATTACAGACTTTACCGTCTGTGCCTGGATACACACACCAGATTTACAACAGAGCCAAAAGATGACTGTGATAAGTATTTTGATCGAGAAGAATGGCGGCAACCAAAACGTTGTGAGATTGAGAATCGACGGAGAAGGCAACATCTATTTTTCATCAGGAAGCGACGGGTAAGAAGTTTTTGTGAGCCACAATTACCAGATAGGAATCATTTACCTTATCGTTATCAATTTATATAGGCGCTTTTTTTTCGTTAAAATAGAACAGACTTTTCCTGACTATCCTTTTAGCTAAGCATTTTTTGTTTCAAAGGCTGATTTTAAGACAAGTATATCGACATTCAGTCGTTTTTTCGTAACAAAGTAAAAAAATCAAATGTCAATGTTTAAGTTAAGTAGTACGTGTTTAAAACGAAGGAAAAAATATTGTAACCTTTGATAAGAGTTGCTTCAATGTTAGTTAACAACTACTCACTGACACTGACGTAAATAATTGTTGCAATATATACAACATAGAAACCAAATATATAAGCTTATTTCAGTCAATTAACCAAAAACGGAAATTAAATTGTTGACGCGCGACTTTGTCTCTTTGGCGACTTGGAGGTGAATAGTACTTACAGATACTAATACAGATCTTTATCGAAGCGCCCTGAATGGGTTTTTCAGCATCAATACAAATGGTTAAAAGATATAAAACTAAAACTAAGAATATAAAACAATTGTTACAGCTAGAAATATACATCAGAAGAATAAAATTACTAAATAATAAAGTTAACCTAATATCAGCTTCGTAAATTTATGTTTAAATTTCTTGGGACATTTGAATTGCTTAAGATTGCTGCTAAAGCTCATCACTTCCAAACCAGCCAATCAGCGCGCGCAAAAGGTACTCTTCGCCTGCTTGGTATATACTAAAATAAAAAGAGCTACATAAGTTCAGTTATACTCAATACTCTAGGGGATAAAGAGATTACCTTTTAGTGAATACTTGCTTTTTTTTTGAAGGACCTCCCTTTCCAACGTATTCGCTACCAGTTCTCCGAAGAATGAAATGGTCTTTCTCTGTGTTCGTATCAAACCTGACAAGTCACCTTATATAGAAGCCATCGTAAATACAGATTTCGGTTCAAATAAGACTAGCGACGGAGTTAAGTACGAAAATGTTCAGTGGACTCAAGTAATCATCGGACAAAATCAGGACAATGACGGAACTATTACAAACGACACCCCATTCTATGGAAGGATTTCAAACTTAAACATCTGGTTTAACCCTTTCACTGATGCCCACATTACAAATTGGTACAACGGAGGTAAGAAGGATTACAAGCCTACCATCCTTACATGGCCAGAACTTGGTTCTTCTTCCAGGATTGGAGACGTTCATTTTGTAAAGGTTACTTCTGCTGAGAGACGTAAGTTTAATGGACTTGATACTCTGCCTGATTATCCAAGTGCACTAAGTAGAGTGCGAATAACGCGCAAATCGAGTACAAATATCCTGCGATATTGCACAGTTGGTTATTTTGTACAGAAAAAACCTGTTAAATCGGTCGACTGCGCGTGCTACGCTTCTCTATCTGCGTCGCTTTTCCTACTCTTAAAGAAATGCGCATGAAATAAAGCAGTTGGATCATAAATATCTCATTAGATTAGACTCATTGTTTGTAGTTTGACACGCCCTCCGAGCTCGTCAAAATACGGTACAAGTCGTAAAAATACTCAGTGATACTACACACCGAAAAGTCTAATATGATATATTTATTGTGCTTAATGCAAAGTTAAATTTATCTCGAAAAAGTGGGCGGGAAGGGATGGAGAGTTGGAAAGTGCTCAAGGACACCCGACCTTCTGTCGTTTATCAATAACCCGAGAGCAAGCTATATTTGAAGCACAAAGCAAAGGAAACTGCTCATCGCTAACTATTAGAAAGGCTTGGAGGAGAGGGGAGGGTTTCGGAGCCCCCTAACCTTCTCCCTCCCCCAGATTTCCCCTTGTCAACACTGGAATGATGGCTATAAGCCTCACAAAAACTGTTTTTAATTATTAAACTAAGTAGAGCTATCGGGTGTATACCTTAATTACAGTGGGTGTATTTATATTTTTCTATTTAGTGTGGCGTGACGTTTCAGTTGGTGAGTTGGTCGTAGAAAATACTGTTAATGTTGTTGCAAATAAAACTGTTGAAAGTGGATCTGGAGTTGTTATCGAAGTTGAGCGTCAGTCACCACCAGTCTCTTGTAGTAATACAATCGATTCGGCCACAGTTGACGGCGTGCTGATATCTGTATCAGGAAGCTGGAAACGAATCAAATACAAGCAGACGTTCATGAAAACTCAGAAATGTTTTGCAATTTTTGGGAGCGTTCCTACCTGGTGAGATATTTATTTAATCTCTCATATTTCTCTTGTGAGTATGGTCCATTTGGAAAGTCGAAGAAAGGGGAGGGTGAGGATACTTTGGGATTCATTAATTCTAAATCTTGAAAAAGACTTTGAAAGGTTAGTGCGCCAACTTTCTTTCTATCTAAGGAACTCACTGTGCATGGAATTGTTTCGTGAATTCAATTTTCCATTCCTCAACCCCTCCTCGAACTATTTTTTCTCATATTGAGTGAGGACACATCTGTGTATTTCATGAATTTGCGAATTGCAGTTTTGGAAAATCACTAGATTTTCTGGCTGTCAACCTCGTTTATTTGGAACGGCTTCACTTCACGTGTTTTAAAGCCCTGACAAAAAGCAATTACATTTTTATCTGGAGAAAAGCAAAAATAACGTGCCATAGAGGACTCAATTTACGTTTTTGGCGTCAAACGCAGGATAACAAGGGCATATCAGGTTGTATCGTTACCTAAACAAAGCAGTGACTTTTTTATTTCGGCCAAAAGAAATAATTTGACAAGTAACAATCCTTGGTTAATTCTCTCATCACTACAGGGCATCTGGTATATTCAATCCCGGTGTTTCGGAATTCGACCTTAATTTGGATGAACTTTGGAAAGAAGAATATCTTGGCCCAAATGGTAATACACGCATCTAATAAACCTCGTAAGGGATTTAAAGTTAACTGGTAACGTCACTTAAAGAAGTGTGCCTCATGGGCCTAAAATAATTTCCTTTAGTAAGTTTTTCCCTTAATTCTCAGATTTAAATTATGAAACTATTCAAAAATGACGATGGAACTTCATCGTGTCATATATAATATGAAACTATTTAAAGCCCTCACTCCTCACCTCTATAAGGAAAGGAATACAGTTACGGCACTGAAAAACTCATCAATAACAGGGCTAGTTTGCATTTGGTGATTGCTTCACTTGTAGGTGTGTCATTTGAAGACTCTTGTGTCCGCACCACACTCGACGTTACCTTTGCTCCAAAGACTCACCGTTACATCAATTTGTTTTGGACAAAAATAGATCATTGTGGTGTGATCTGTAAGACTGTGCTGATATACACAGGAAAAACATCTGTGTAGAATTCAGATATTGATGACAACAATAAGCATTCTGATGATTATACACTGTAATACTACATTAGATTTGTCTCCCTGTTCTTTTCAAGGTCATCATTTCGATGGCGTGAATGCTTTGTGTGGTGATGAACACTTTTGGATGGTAAATCAACCAAATACTCCGGTAGCCGGAGTCAGTCTGAGACGAAAGAGCGGTGGGGCGATTGCTGGGATATCCACCTTTGGCAAGTGTGGAATGTTCAAGTTCAAGATTTCTGATATTCGTGTTCTAGAATAAGAATTCTGTATCGAATCCTGGCTAATCCAAGTTGTTATTGGCGACACAAGTTGCGGTCCTCTCCCAGCTGATGCTTGTGATGTCATGACAGAATGTCACGTGGCACCCCAAACAAAGGCTTCGAAGGAGAATAAACACGTAATTGCCTTTAGCGCCTTTGACTGGCTAGGACTTGAGCCTGCGATTAATTGATAAGTTTGTGTAGTTAAATCAACTTTTAAGCGCAACAGCACTATGACAGTAAACTGCATGAGAGGCAGAGCTGGATATTACTTTACGTTGAAATAATTAGAGTGTTCGCTATTTTATAGACTCTGATAGTCGAATGAACACAAACTGTTGAGGGAAGACGACCAAGATCTCTCATTCAGCTTGTTTTCACTCGTTCTAAGGCCGTTTTTTTCACATCTAATAATAAGAATTAACACAACAAACAGCCTGTAGCTAGAAGTAGTCATGTTCTCACTTCACTTTAGAGGCGAAAAGTTGCTGGGTGTTGTACTACCGTTGTAATACTTTGAACAAGGTTTGTGGTATGTAACGTTAAAAGTTTTTAGTTCATTCATTCCAAAAAATTTTGTTTACACTCGTGTTGAAATTATACTAGGGGAGGAGGTACTGGGAACTAGTTTAGCCTTCGCACTTGTTATAGGTAACTTGTCTGTGGATTTTTTACTAAAGAAAATGCTGAAATAAAATTACTTCGCACCGGAAACCCACTTAGTTGTCGTATGGTCAGAAGTTTTCAAATGTTGGTTCGCCACCTGGTGAGTCAGTATGAACTGTTAGTGTGACTCTTAGGGTGCAGAGTATTCTAAGGAATGAAGTTACTTATGCGTTAAAAAGCAAACAGAAGATAATCAGAAAACAAACATGAGTGAATCAGAAGACTTGTTATCATTGGCACGTTTGGAACGAAAGGCACTGGTGCCAGGTTTTTTAATATATCACTTGAAGTACAAGTACCGGGTGCCAACGCCATCTTTAATGTTGCTTGTTTCCACAATATATTCTATTCGTGATTATAGTTTTAATTCCTTGGTAACTGCATGAGAATGTGGTGTGAGATTTTGCCAGACCAGTCACATAGAAACTCAAAATAGAAAAATACCGGATTACAGATTACTCTCGACACTCAAAAGAAAAATTATCCACTGAACTAGAATCCGTTGGAAACTAAGTGCATTGAACCGCTTCGGGGAGTTGTTTCGCTTGCTTATTCGCTTATCCGCTAACTTGATTGAACCGAGACCAATACAAGGCTTAAACATGTTTTGAAGCTGCTTTGTTAAACAAGATCGAAAGTTGTTTTCTACATAGAAGCTACTTAAACCGATGTTTGTCGACTTCAGTTGTTGCACATAAAAAAAATCAAGTTAGCGAGTACTTTATCCTATGGAAAATAGAGCTCTTCAGTTCTCTGTTTATGATTTTCATTTAGTAAAACCCGGTTTAACCAAGCATAGTTTGCTGGTGTGAATGAGGTACAAGAGAGTCACGAATAGGGAAATATTCCTTCTTTATGTTTTTCGAGGAAAACGAAACAGTTTACACACATACACAGGGAACAGCAAGGACGAAAATGACAAATATTTCATTCTTCTTCCTGAGCTAGCTTTGCGATGGGAAAATTTTCCTCGCCAGTAGACATAATATATAACAAAGGAAAATAAACATTATAAAGCGAATGAAGTTGTTTTAATTGAAATATCTGGACTCTCAGGGTGCAAGAGTGGATGGTCGAATGGGATTCCCCGCTTCACCGGCTTAGGTGCTCTTGTAGCGAGGTATTTTATGAGGTCGCTCTTGTTACACAATGCAAGAACACCTGTTCGAGATCAATGAAATATATATTTTTATTTCGATTAAAACATGAGACCAATTCGTCCAGTTGCAGATATATAGAGGTTATATGTGATCAACTATAATTAATTTAGTTAAATTCTGCCAGATCAGTGACGAAGCAAATGAAAATAGAAAATTACCATTCCAGGTTACTCTCGACATTCAAATGAAAATTTCTCCACTTAGCTAGAATCCGCGGGAAATTAAGCGCATTGAGCCGCTTTCGGGGTGTTTTTTCGCTCGCTTATTCGATTATTCGGTTGAAATGAGACCGAGAGAGTCACGGATAAGAAAATATTCCTTTTTATGTTTTTCGAGGAAAACGAAACAGTTTATACGCAACGTTCAATTTTGTTTATTTGAGTTTCTTCAGTGGCTATCACACACGCACAAGGAACAGCGAAGAACACATAGGGGAAAGAATGGACGAAAAGAGATCTTAATATTACCGATATTTTATTGTTCTTCTTGAGCTGGCTTTGCAATAGGAGATTTTCCTCGCCGGTAGAATTATTTGATGATAAAGGAAATAAACACAATAAAGCGAAAAATAGCGTTTTAATTGAAACCTCAGGGGACCTTTAGGGTGCCTCACCAGTCTAGGTGCTCTTGTAGCGAGGTATTTTATCAGGGCGTCCTTGTCATGTAATGTAAGAACACCTGTTCGGCATTAAGGGAACAATGAAATATGTAACTAAATCGATTAAAAACATCAGAGTAATTCGTTCAGTTTTAGATAAATAAAGGTGATATTTTACCGATTACTTTGTAGTAAGATATTGCTTTCGATTTGGGAAATCTATAGCCTGCAAATAGAGCCGCTGCAGTTAAGGGTAACTGTGAAGGACAACATGCGTAATAATTTGAAAGATAGAGCTTTTTGTTCGCTACAGAAAGTTTTAATTTCATTAGGCACTCTCTGTCTTCAGATGAAAATAAAAAGATTCTCGGAAATTTTAAAACAATCAACGAGGTGGGATGTTGAAAATCTTATTCTGCGGAGTGAAGCTTGTTTAGAAAACAGAAGTACTCTCTGATAACTTGGGGGGTTATGCGAGGGTTTCGAGTGCTTTCTGGAAGTCTCAACAACATGAATACTTTAGGAGCAGCTTCGCCTCATTGGTTGCACGTGAAATTACCTCATAAATATACTTCTGATTTCCTAGCAAAACCTGTAGAGAATGTTTATCTAAAATTAATGTCTACTTTTAAAAACCTGCCTTCTATTGTTTAGTAATTTCTAGACTGCTATTTATGCAGGAGATCAATGGTATAGAGATGAAAAACTTTCCGGCTATTCAAAGAAATGAGAATGCAGTTAATATCTAGTGGTTTAAAATAAGGAAATAGATACCAAAAGCCGACTGGGGTGAAATGTAAACAAGAGAAAAAACAACTTGTTTTTCCATCTGTTTGCTAGGAAGCTATAACTGCAATCAGTCAGCAAAAGATGCAACGAAAGACCCTTAGATTGAAGCTACACGTAGAATTGGCTAAATAGGCTATGAAGGACTGAAAACAGTTTTCTGACTTCTTGGAAGGTGAGGAACATTTTTTTTCACCACAAATTTGTTAAGGATTAACAATATTAATCACAATTCTGTTATGTTTGATAAATTAGACTTAAGAGAAATTTCCTTTATTTCAATAGGATTTTTAGAATGTGGCCGTTGTCCTAAATAGAAAGGGTCGATCAATGTTTTTGGCCAGAAATGTTATTTTTTTCACTGTTATTTAAAAAGATTTTCAACTTCGGTTGCTATCCGAGTCTATTCTCTTTTAATATTTTACTACCAGATTTCGCCATGAAAGACCAAAAAACACTCCCATACATACACTTAGCATATTACTCGAGATCTTTTCGTTCTTTATCAGTTTGTTGAGCGCTAAATAAACGGGCCCCTTTTTCCTAACTTAGGCCTAGTTTATACGTCGCGCTGCAGTCGAATTTAATTCAGACGAATTTAATTCAAGGTCCCACAAGCAATTAAATTCGACGATAGCGCGACGTCTAAAACGAATTAAATTCGTCTGGTAAATTAAATTCGTCCTAGACGTTTTATCCGTCTTGGTAAGACGGATAGAATATCGATAAAGCGTCTTCAGTTTTAACGTCGCGCTAACTTCGCGTCGAGTGAAATGCATACATTTTCTTAATGTATTTCAATTTATTTTGGCGATCCCGCAGCGACCCGTGGCGAGCTTTTCAAGTATTCCGCATGCGCAGAAATTCCTCTTGGGCACTTCGGCGCGAGTTTACGTTGTAGTTCATAGCCATGGCGCTTTGGAGGAAAAGTTTGTCATTTTCTTGCTGTAATTGTGAGAGACAAACGAAGTATTCTTGTATAACGTGTGGTAAAAGTGTATGTGTCCGATCGGAATGTTCGATTCCTGAAGTTAATGAAGAAGCTATCGGCTGGCAACCAAATAAACGTGTTGGGTATTGTCTCAAGTGTGCTCTTTGTACAGAAAAGCTTGTCAAAGCTTGTCAGAGCGAAGTGGATGACAAAGACCATGGTCAGAGGGATCTTACAACATGTATTCGCGAAGAAGAAGAAGAAGAAGAAGAAGAAGAAGAAGAGTCAGATTTCATCGAGGAAGGTGAAATGGTGAGTTCTGAATGTGGGAAAAGGAAGAAAAGAATTGGGCGGAGAGCGACTTGGAAAGAAGATCGCATCACTGATATGGTAAATATCATTGTTAATGATGACCAGCTGGTCAAGAAACTGATATTTTGCAATACTAAGAAAGCAAGCAATACTGAAGCTTATGAGATGGTGCGGAAACGGCTGAACGTCGAATACAATAAGACCACCGGGAGTGATTTTCCTTTCAAAGTGCAACAAATGAGAAATAAATTTAAGTCATGCATTAGTACGTGTAAGCAGATCTGCATGACAATGAAAACTGCTTCAGGTATTGAAAGGTTTGTTGAAGAACGGGGATATGGTAAATGGTTTGACCTTCTTTATGTACTTGTTAAAACTAGAGATTCATGTCAACGAGAAAATGCATGTGAACCCTCTGTACATATTGGAAATGTAGACAAGCAAGATACCAGCAAGAATGATCAAGAAGTTGATGGTGATGATGATGACTGTGCAAGCGCTTCATCCAGCCTTATGGATAGCAGTGGAGAAGTTCCATCCAAGGGTAAACGTTTCTTGGCAAAGAAACCTGCCTCTAAAAGAGCTAAAACTGAGCAGATGGTGAAAGCTGTTGAACTACTTCAAAGTACTATTGAGAATGATCCCACCAAAGAACTTTTGCAAATTTTAAGGGAAGATATGAAGCAGTCTAGAGAACAGGAAATGAGGTACTTCCAGTTGATGTGTGGCCTACTAACGCCCAACAGCAATCCAAACATGCAACCCCATGGTAATTTCCATCCTTATAGCAGTTCTTATTCTGATGATTTTCATCATCAAAGCCATAATTTTGCACAACAATCTGTGTCCAATCCCAGAGCTAGCAGCAGTCACCCAAGTACCCCATCCTTTGGGTACACACCATTGATGTCATCTGCTCCAAAAAATGATGAGCAGTCTCTCCTACATCACGTTCAGTCAACTATGACTTCACAAGGACAATCTGGTGTTTCACAGTTGTACCAATTTTGAAAGGGTCTTGGCATGCACTCTAATATTTTAAAGTTATTTTGGAACTGCTTTGAAAAGAGCCTTCTACATTATGGTCTTGAAGTGCCTATAACTCAAATAATCTTTTTCCACCAGCAGAAATCTCAATATTGCACTGATATGATGGTTCAAGAAGTGTAGCATTTTGTTTAAATATTGGTTTTTTAAAAGAATTTGTAAATTAAGTCTGTTTTTATCTCAAACACAACCAAGCTGTGAGGGGCATGGATCTATTCCTTGTTCATGGCATCACAAACTGCTTTGCAGTGCAAAAATGCTTTGAAAGCAGTCTGTGATGTCAAACAGGAATAGAGCCATGCTTCTTGTGGTCCAAGTTGGTCGTTGTTGTTATCCATAAAAATCCAGGTCTTAAGTAAATTAAGACAAAACAGCAGAATTTTGCTCAGAGAAAAACAAATATATATTTGAGAGAAAAAACAAATATTTATTTGAGGGAAAAATTGGGGGAAACAGTTGGTGGGGAGGGGGGATGGGGGTGTTAAAGGCACTTTGAGAACATATTTTAAAGCAAATATCAACGAGGTGGTGATCATGTCCGACCAGTAAGTTTTGTACCGTTAACTGTCATAATTGATTGAATGAGCTGATAGCCAACTTATAAGGTGTATCTGGCAATGTTCCTGAAGTGGATGCAAGTTATGTACAGGTGCAGGCCAAACTATTTAATTTTTGGCAGCAGAGGTATTAATAATATTACCTGAGTTCCCATGTAGTTTCTTTGCACTGAGATACCACCATAGGTAGTTTGGTATGTTTTGGTTGTCAAGATACGATCCTCAATAATTCTCTGTTTAATGTTTACTTTGTGGTTATGAATAGTCAAAACAAAAACTTGTGCAATGGAAAATAAGTACTGCTGTCTCCTCAAGGCTACCCTTCGTATAAATGAGCCTAAATACATCTCATCTGGTGACAGTGTAGATACCCTTTCAGAGTTGTTCCCTCAAAAACATGAAAGGAACAGGATATCATAATGTGTATTATCGGACGTACCGCGAAAAGCGTAACAGAATTACTTATTTTTTCCGGGCGCCATATATGGTGCTGGCAGTTGGTAGAATTTCTACAGTGACGTCACTTTCCTACAAGCAAAGAGGCATGGCTGCTAAGCTGATTTAATGCGCGGGCCGCGCGAAATTGAACTGCTGATTCCGTCGGCGGATTTATCGGCAGAAGTCGGAAATGGCGGAGGTTTCTGCAAGTTCTTCTGCGAGTGATAATCCCAGGGTATGTATTCATTTGATATTTATGTCATCTTCGGCATTTCAATGTTTCAATTTTTAAGCTAAGCATACCTACTGAAAGCTTGAACTGAATCGTATTCGACTATTCATTCCAGTCGCTGTTTTCGCTCGATATAGTCGCTCTCCTTGTCACCATCTCCGAAACTTATCGTTCGAATCTTATCATCTTCGAAATTTATCGTTCTTTTTCCCAATAACTTTCAGCTGGAATTTAGTAGGAGCCCTGATGATACTTGCGTTTCGTACGATTTTCGACTGAAGTGTGAAATTAATCACAATCGCCACTTTTATCTGTATCAACGCTACAGAAACTTTTTGTTTTGCTTGTAAGATAACTGTGACGACGCTTCAAGTTTTCGTGAATCTTTTGTATAACTGATGTCTCGAGTGAGATTACATGTTAAGTATCAATAATATGAGGGCATACATACGCGGACTTTACACGCATTTTATGCATATGTAAAGTGCTACAACACGATATCGGAATTGAAGCGTGTTTGCTCTCCATCAGTGCGCATGCTGTGTCACTTGGAGCACGTTAAAGCAAGTATTTCTCGGCTTTATACGAATTACCCTGTATACTACTTATGTACAAATCAAAACAAACATCCAAAGGTATTTCACTACAAATATCCGTGCATAATTTTTAGCCAAATGTAGGCTATTGTGTTTACTATCCTTCATTTTACACAATGCTTGACCAGCAGGAAAACTTCCTGAGGGTGGATCACAAAAATGGCAATTCCGGCCCACTCCAGTTGGAGCGAAGTAATCAGAGGAAAAAACCAAAAACACGGAAACAAACATATGCAAAGGGACACAATAAACAGTTTTGCTTTCACCAGACTGGAATAACATTAATAACATGCATGTCTTTTCATTTAGTTAACATTTACCTAGAAACCTTATTGTTAAAGCCTGTGCGGAGTCCTTGGACGCACCGGAATTATACTTCTAGTTTTATGCGTTTTCAGCGCTTTCAGTTAAGTCTTGAGTCTTAAACTTTTCTCATGCTATCCTAGCATTCCTTGTGGGTTATTGTGCTAGTAAACCCCCAGGTTTTGCTCTGCAATGACCAGTAATTTGCCAGTGGTTTTTAGGGAGAGGAGAGGAGAAAGCAAGTGATCACTTTTACATTAATAGCTAATATGTATCATGCCTTCCTCATTTTCCACATGGAACAGTTTTCGTTTGTTTTCAACTAAATCATTTTATATCATAGATGTTGCCTGAAGAACCAATGTCTGAAGAAGAAGAAGAACAGGAAGAAGTGGAGGTACAGCTTTATGTACTTTAATTGTAATAAGTGTGCACAGTGATTGCATCTTAGTTTGTGAATTAAGTTTGTGAGACATATAACCACTGAAATGTTATTGCATTTCTGTAAAGAAGAGTCTTAAAAATGATGTGAGCAAAGGTAGTATGGTTGCATTGTAACTTGTACTGTCAAAGTTAAGTTTAGATTTATAATGACTGTCAGTGGGTGAATAGACTTGTTAACCTTCCTTGAGATTGTTGAATGGTGATCAAGTATTTTCTTTGACAAATTTGACTGAATGCTATTGCACTTGGGGCTCTCGTACTATTGTGACAAGTTACTACACTTGTGCCTTCAACAATGGTGTGTTTAATTCAGTGTGTAGGCTTCACTGTTCATTTATACATACAATATAATTTTAAAAGCACTTAAAATGGAGCAATAAATTTATTATCATCTTTTTGTGCTGCTTATTTTACAGAATTCATCAGCATCTGAATATGAAGATGCTTCTGATTCAGAAAGTGATGGAAATGATGAGGTAAATTATTTTTTCTCTACATATTCATAAAAATATGATGACTACAGGTTGTTTAAAAAAAATCAACTAGAAACACTTTCAGCTCTGGATTTCATAGCTACATGTACATGCATTAAGTGGTTTATGTTTGGCTTTTTTTCATTACAAATAATATTCTTGTCTTGTTTATCAAAGTTCTTAAAGTCTTTTGTTTTTCATGAAAAAATTTTCTTTATTTCTGTTGACTTTTGCTCTAGCTATCTAGGAAATATGTGCCAAGTTGATTTCCTTGATGTCCAACATGACCTGAATAGCTTGCAGAATTGGTCCCTGACTGATAATGAGATTTTTTTCCAACCATCTAAATGTGTAAACCTCACAATAACAAGAAAAAGACAAAGGTTATATAGGTTAATGGATAAAGATCTTAAATTTGTCTCTTCTGCAAAAGACCTTGGCTTCACTGTCTTGAAGGACTTGAAGTGGACTGCACACATTGCTCAGGTGGTTGCAAAATCTAAAAGAATGCTGGGATTCCTAAAAAGGAACTGCTCGGGTGACCTCAATAAGGAGTCTCTGAAGCTACTTTATATCTCTCTTGTGTGCTCTAACCTGTGTTATGCCTCACAGCTTTGGGCGCCACAATCTCCTACATTGATGCTAGAATTAGAAAATATCCAAAGGAGAGCTACACGTTTTATCTTGAACCTTAACCCCCTACCTCTCAACTACTAGCTGGAATATCTTGATTATTATTTCTCTACAAATGTATTTATGGAATTATTGTTATTAATTTAGATAACTCTGCTCAATTTTGTAGTGGGTGTTCCCATTGGGGATCTTCTGGGCTTTTTCTCAACAACAAAACTGCTAAAACATCTCTTTTCCATGATTCCTTCTTCATCCGAATAACTAATCTGTGGAATGCATTACCTATCGCTATAAGATCAGAGGTAAAGTTCCTTTTAAGAAAAAAAGTTAAAATGGTTTTTTATGATAGACTAAGTTCAATGTTCAATCATTATGATATTTGTTCTTATGAGTTAGTCTGTCTGAAGTGTCACTGTGCCAATACTATAACATGTTGTTCTTATTAATTTCAAAATTTTTTTTCTTTTTTTTTTTTTCATTATTATTTTTATCAGGGTTCCAGGGAAGGGTTGTCAATTTTTTAGGGGAATGGTTAGGTGGTGGATTTACTTAGCAGGGGACCTAAGGTTCTATTGTATGCCCACCTACCTCAAGGCGAATTTTGTAAATAAATAAATAAATAGCAAATAAAATAAGTTAATTTTACTATTCACTGCTTTCAACAGGTCAAGATTCGATGTTTCAATACGTCATGTTTTTAGAGTCCACCCATTTAAAAACATATTCATTTTTAAACACTGCATGTTTTTTCAGTCAGTTTATATAAGTTATAAAAATACTTCACTACACTTAATGGGTGATTTCACTGTAAAACTGAACCTCTGAAACTCATGCAGAAAAAAGAAATTAGATCCACATTGATCGCATTCTTGATTACCTTTGGCTTGATTTTGACTTACAATTTACAGTAGCTTGGGTTTGGACACGTACTGCATTATGATCATGCCAGGATAATTTTATATCTGAGGTACAAAATCGATTCATTGCAGAGTTTTTATTTTAAATTTTCTACTTTATTTCTTTTCTTGTGCACAGGACAGTGAATTCATGGACTTTCTATCTAAGCTAAGGGGATCAACTGAAATCAAAGAAATTCTGAACAGTGATGGCCACTGTTCCATTCCAAGAATAGTGGAAGATTATGAAGCAGTTGTTGGGATAACAGCCATCACTGATACCAGAAAGGAGGGGCCTTCATCACTTCACACTTTGCCATTTATTAACTCCTTGAGGGAAGTGTCCTCTCAACTGCAAACATTTCAGGCCTCTCCTGAGACTCCAGATGGAACAGCCTGTGGTTCAGCGCTGAATGCTGCCCGTCAAATTTTGTATTGGTCGTCTGTTTTTATTTCAATGATGGAGGCCAGCAATACAGGGCAGCCTACATGTACCGTATCATTATCCACTTCCACATCTACATTGTCAACACCAACATCATCTACATCAGTGTTAGCTTCATCAACATCATCTGCATCAACATCATCTGCATCATCATCATCTGCATCAATATCATCTGCATCACCATCATCTGCATCAACATCATCTACATTGGCATTATCTAGTTTGACATCATCTGTATTAACATCATTTACCTTGACATCTTCTGTATCCACATCACCTACATCATCTACGTCATCTTTATCCAGTCATAACCCACCTGCTACAACTTGTGCATCTTTGTTGTCAAATGTTATTCCACTATCAGTGCAACAGGACCTGCATCCTTTATCCTCATTTAATCAGCAGTCTTCCCGCTCAGTAGTAAATCCTCAACCTTCCACTTCAGATACTCTGCCATTTGGTCAGCATTCTCTGTCATTTCCTCCAGTTTTTTCTGCTACTGGTTGTACAGCGTCTCCGTTTTTTCATGCTCAGCTATCTTCATCAACTCCACTCCTACCTTCCACATTATCTGGACAACCTGCAACATTGCCTCCTCAAGCTCCCTCTATCTCATCCTTGCCAGTGGAAGTCACACCATCACCATTCCAACAAGTTTCATCATCTTTAAGCCTGTCACATCCGTCATGTAGTCAGCCTTCATCTTCACAGTCAAGTGTCCATAATTATTCAATTTCATCTATATTCTGCCCAGTCATTTCATCCACTGCATCCACTGCCTTGCAGACATTTCATCAAAATTCTCCTGCTCCAGCTCTTCAGCTATCTTCACCCTCAGTTTCATCTGTTTTGTATCATCAAGTGCCACCAGCATGCTCTTCTGTGGTATTAGATCCTGTGACTCTTAACATCCATGCCAAATATGGTCTTCCTGGTCAATCCTGTTTAGACTGGCTAAATTCATTAACAATTCCAAGAAATGTTGAAAGTCTGGAGCAAGTGAAGGAGATCTGGGAGCTTGAAGCCAACATTGTCCACCATTAAGAGACTGGACTATGCTAATGAGGAACTTTAAGTCATCCAAAGGACGGAATACTTCCATTTACAGTCAACGTAAATTTATTTATTTATTATTTCAACGTCATGGGTTTGATGTTAGCAGCATCTCTTCTCAGTACAATGAAGTTAAACCCGGTAAACTATACAAACTTTTAAACACTAGTAAACAAAATTGATGAATGTTGTTCCTGAAATCATTGACTACATTTTAATTCCTATCAATAAGTTAAAGCCTTGTATAAAGTAGCTGGTGGCTAACAAAAATTTCCCTTCTTTCCTGCATGAATCTTGACTGGTTACTTTGTTACTGGTTGTTTTCAAGTGCCGTATTTGTAGGAGTGCTTGAATTACATCTTGTTAGTGTTTTTAATTATTTAGACTTAACAATAATTGGTCAATTTACCTGGCAGTTTTCTCGATGTACATGTAAATATATGCCTGCAGTTCATTGTGGTAGTTTTGCTCAACATTTTATGCATGAAAAGTAGCATCTTGAAGTTTAATTTTCATGTGGCTTCTCAATACTTGTTATTGGTTTTACTGGCCAGTATTTCTGCCGTTTCCTCCACTTGCTTCTTGCTCGGCAGTGAACAAGAGGAAATGTGTAGACCTTAATACTTCTCACCCATGGATCGAAATACATTTCATTTGATTTATTTCAAAAAAGGAAAATGCACGACGCATTCCATTTTAGTTTTTGCATGGAACTCCTCTGATTCTCTGGAGGTGCTGTCATGATTTAAATGAAAACTATTTCAGGCCCTTATTTGATCAACTTCAAATGTACAAATACCTTTCTTGTAAGACCTTTGACGCATGGAAGTAACAATTTTACTCTGACACCATACAACACCATTTATACTGTTTCCATCTCTCCCTCGTTTCCATTTTCCCGTTCCTTCTTTCGCTTTCCCTTTCCTTTTCCCCGTCCTTGTTTGTCTCCCTTTCTTCCCAGGTTAGGGTTAAAGGCCGCTTGGTGTCTCCTAAGAGGATCCAGAATGTCGGCCTATCTTATTTCCCTAAAAATAAACATTTGTTTTCGATTTTAGGAAACAAAAAGGAACCTTTTCCATTTGTCGGCTTAAGAGGTTCTTGAAGTTAAAGGCTAAAGAGGTTCTTTAGCTTAACAGGATCTTAATCGTGTGTTATGTTACTGGGCGTCTTTATACGCGTTTAGCCGTCGCATTTGCCCGCTGGAATACTATGTTGTTTTAGCGCGAGGACAAGAATTCCAACTTGCAATTGTGACGGCAATACGCGTGTATTGCAAGTAAATACGCCCATTGTATCGACTATTGATTGAGGTTGTTATGAAATAATCGTCCTATACGGGCGGTGGAATGCATATTGCTTACACCTTATTGCATTGACGTCAATACCAAAGCAAAGAACCAAAATGGAGTTAGTTAAATGATAATACGTTTCAACACTAACAACCGTCTATTGCCGCAAATTAATACTGCAATTGAAATAAATAATTAGCATAAATTAAAGTTTTTCTGGTGCCATTTTCATGCGCAATACTGATTTATGTTGCTCATTTCAATTAAAATAAGGGAATGTAGATCACGTGCCTAATTACTTCCTGTCGTTGTTGTGTTTTTTTTTTTTTTGCGTTTTGCTTGTATCTTTTTCCTTTTTGAAATGACAACGTTACGGCGATTAGATGTCTTTCACAACGTAGAGTTTTGTCTGGATCCGCATTGCATTCGTTAAAGCGTTTCACCCGACTTTATTTCTATTTCCTTGGCTTGCATCATCCTTGTCGCCAGAGCCGCTTGTCCCTCTTAGCCGGCTGAGCCCGTGCACGAGAATCTTGGCCGGTTTTGCACAAAAAGAACAGCCAATCAAAGGAGCCGTCGTAAAATTACTTTGTTATACAGGAGTTTGAAAGTGTTGCTTCGACTGGCTCGATTTTAAACTCCCTTTCAAATCCGGCCGACCAAATCATGTGTCCCGAGAACCACTTGTTTCTCGTGCACAGGCTAAGAAGGACAAGCGGCTCTGAGGATCAGAATGGGCCTGAATATCATTGTGAACAGGCTGTTTGGTCAAGAACGTCTTTACTCCATCTTTTAATTCATTTAATGAACGATCGCAAAATGCGATACATCTACTGACCACAAATTGCGTTTTCACGTAATATGTGTTGTAAAAAGTAAAGGCTATAGTCCATACTTTTTATACCACATATTGCGTTATCGCAATATGTGGTATAAAAAGTAAAGGCTATAGTCCATACTTTTTATACCATATATTGCGTTATCGCAATATGTGGTATAAAAAGTAAAGGCTATAGTCCATACTTTTTATACCATATATTGCGTTATCGCAATATGTGGTATAAAAAGTAAAGGCTATAGTCCATACTTTTTTTTATACCACATATTGCGTTATTAATATGTGGTATAAAAAGTAAAGGCTATAGTCCATACTTTTTATACCATATATTGCGTTATCGCAATATGTGGTATAAAAAGTAAAGGCTATAGTCCATACTTTTTATACCATATATTGCGTTATCGCAATATGTGGTATAAAAAGTAAAGGCTATAGTCCATACTTTTTATACCATATATTGCGTTATCGCAATATGTGGTATAAAAAGTAAAGGCTATAGTCCATACTTTTTATTCTATATATTGCGTTAACGCAATTTGTGGCTCTAGTAGATGTACCACATTTTGCGATCGCGTTAAAGCGTCTTACTATTCTTTTACCAGGTTTTGCGTTATTACAAACTGTGGTATGAAAAGTATGGACGGTATAGCCTTTACTTTTGAAACCACAATTTGCAATAACGCAAAACCTGGTAAAAGAACAGTAAGACATATTTTTAAACCGGAGAACGAACCTCGCAAAATGTGGTACATCTACTAGAGCCATATATAAATCGCGTTAACACAATATATGGTATAAGTAGTCTTCCACACAATTTAGCTGAGGTCCTACTACTTAACTGATAAGTAAAGGGACTGATCCAGAACGCCAGCATCCATAGCTGACGGGCTCATTTTATTTATTCTGTTCTGTTTTCCTTTCATTTATGGGCAATTGAGAACAAGTTTCCAAACGTAATTGTGTATAGGTATTGTAATTTTGTCAACGATTAAACTTTAAACGCGGAATATGGGACTTCTAGTATAAAACGCAGTTTGCGGCGACTCAATCTTGGTCTGATTAATGAAAGCCATGTTTCGCGATCAGATTCTTATAGCAAAAGATGGGGTTTTGGTATAAAACACATTTTGCGATGTTTCAATCTGTGTCTAATTAATGAAAGCCATATTTGGCGATGAAATATTTAACGCGAAATATGGGATTCTTGTATAAAACGTATTTTGCGATGTTGCAAACTGCGACTTCATTTAACGCCACAGAATGCGACACCTCAAAATATGGTTTCTTGATGAGCACGATTTTCCAAATTCGCGAGACACAAACACTCCACTGGAAAATTAATTTTGGTTCTTGACGAATTTTTCGGATAACGTACTTCTGAGAACCCAGGTTTTGCGATATCTCAAACTATGGCACATTTTAGGAACACATTTTGCGATAACTCGATCTGTGTCTTATCGATGAAAACCATGTTTTGCGAACAAACTTTAAACGCAAAATATGGGATTCTGGTGCAAAACGCATTTTGCGATGATTCAATCTGTGGCTCATTTAACAAACGTACAAAGATTCCCTCGTTTTGATTTTATGGCGATTTCTGATTTCTTACTTTTCTTTAATATTTGGGAGGTAGTCATGTTGCGAATATACCTCTACGGGATCATCACCTAGTAGTGGTGAAGTGGTTCGTGTGCCTCTTTGAACCCATAGAGGTATGCCGGCGGGAGTCCCAATAATATATTTATACAGGGTAACCCTACAGTACATGAGCATTGTTATTAAAGGGGTCTTTTGGGTAAGGGGGGAGGGAGGGGGCTATAACTAGGTGTATTTTTTTGTTTCCAGGTATAAGGGCCTATAATTAGGGGGGACTTGAGAAAGGTTTCGAAGAGAAACACGTCAATACAAATGGGTGGGGGCAATACAAGAGAGTGGAGCGTGCAACAGCGGTAGAGAGGACATAATGGGAAAAGAAGCACTAGAAGAGATCGATGAGAATGAAGACATTCATTGACTGCTGCGCCTTCAATGATTTGTCCATTGAAGGCTCCTTCTTCCAACACAAGGAAATACACAAAGTAACATTACCTACACCTGCCTTCACTAGTACAATCAAATGGATCACATCACAGTCTCAAAGAAGTGGGAAAAAAAAACCCTTTTTGATGTTAAAGTCACAAGAGGATCGGATGTTGACTCTGATTATCACCGTGTGATTGGAATGTTTGAGATGAAGCTTGCTCAAGGATATAGTGACGACAGCAGAAGGTATTAGTCAGAGTGGTTTTAATATAGTCAACTCTCTCTCTCTCTCCAGTACCCCTATCACCTATGCTTGCTAAGTCATTCCTCTAAAAGAGAGTGGTATAGTAAACCATTTATATAAACCATGACAAACTCCATGTATGTTTATTGAGTAGGACTGGAACACTATACTACCCGTTCAAATCCTAGCACAAAAATAATGTTTAAGTCTCGAAAAAAAAAAATTAAGTTAATAATTAATGACAGTTGATTTAACAATCCAGCAACATAATATTATTGATGTTTCTTTTGAATTTCCTAGATATGTGGTTGGTGATCTACAATTACATCAAAACTGCTTCTTTTTTATTTTATTTTTCATTCCCAGGAAAAAAAAAAAAATTATTTAGGTATGAAGTTCAGAAGAGCTGATGTCATTAAATGTTTTGCAAAAGAATTACCAGCAATATTTAATCGAAGATGGAGTCAGATACAGTTAGCCTTCACAAACAAAACATTACAAAAATGATATATAAGACAACTAAATCACATGACTATTTTTAGCTCAAATGATTTATTGCAAGGCTTGATGAAAAGAGTGGTATTAAATGAATCAAAGA